AGGGTTTGTTCTCCAGATTTGGTTAACCAGTTAAAATTCATTTGAAGCCCTAATCCGCCCCCTTGGCTACAGGCCCTTGCCCCTGAGGCCACGCCCCCACCAGGCTCTCACGGTGCTTCGCCCTCTTGGCGCGGGCCCCCACGTGGCCAAGAGACAGGCATGGACTGACTTAAACAGCGCGAGAATCCACGCAAAGAACGCTGCTGCTGGGCCTGCTTCACTGGAGGAGACGAGGGAGAGAGCGCGAGGCGGGCTGGGCCCGCGAGGAGGCTGCAAGGCCCCTGCTTTCCCCTCCTCTCTTCTGGAACCTTCTCACTAACTGACTGACTGACTGGGAGGAGGTCCGTCTGCCGGCGGCGGCGCTGTGGAGGTTGAGGGGGCGGGACTTCCGGCACCCAGCGGCGGAAACGGGCCCGCTTCGTCGACTGCGGAGGGGCCGCGCGCCAGGCAGGCAGGCAGGCAAGTAGTCAGGCTCGGCGCTGAGGAGCGAGTAGCCAGGCCTCGCCTCCGGACCCTCTGCCTCGAGGAAGAAGGGAAAGAAGGAGAGAGGGAGACCCGAAGGGACTGCGTTGCCGCCATCATGACCGCCGAGGAAGGCAAGGCCGAGGAGATGAGCGCCGCGCCGGAGGGAGAGGCGGGCACCGACATCACCCCCAAGAGCGACGGGGGCGTCCTCAAGGTAAAGAAGGCCTCAAGGAGGCTCTTCAGAGGGGCGGGGGTCTATTCCACGCGCCGTTTCTCAGCAGAGGAAGAGGAGCCATGCAAACGACTCCTGGCTAAGAAAGGGGGTGGGACAGCAGGAAGTGAGAGAAATCTCCCTCTAGGAAGGGAAACCCAATCCAGGGGAAAAGGTGCCTCCACTGAACCTTCACCACTAATTCTTGTTTCCATAACAATCCAAATTTTTCAAAATCCCATTCTCACAGTGAGGTGATATCTTCTGAACAGGGGCGCAGGCAGCAGAACAACAGGGGTATTAACCCTTTCCTATGCTATTCAAGGCATGTTCTCTCTATTTCTCTCTCTCTCTATATATATATATAGAGAGAGAGAGAGAAAGAGAGAGAAATAGATAGAGTATGCCTTGAATAGCATAGGAATATATATAAATTATCTGTGCATAATGTGTACCTTAAAAACAAAAGAACCGATGAACGAAATCACACCAAATTTGGCAACAAGGAGTGAACATCACTCAAAACATTATGATTTTGTCATTTGGGAGTTGTAGTTGCTGGGATTTATTAATCGCCTACAATCAAAAGAGCATTGTGAACTCCACCAATGATGGAGTTTAACCAAACTTGGCACACAGGACTCCTATGACCAACAAAAAACACTAGAAGGGTTTGGTGGGTATTAACTTTGAGTTTGGGAGTTGTAGTTCACCTACATCCAGAGAGCATTGTGGACTCAAATAATGATGGATCTGGACCAAACTTGGCACAAATACTTAATATGCCCAAATATAAACACAGATGGAAATTGGGGGAAATAGCCCTTGACATTTGGGAGTTGTAGTTACTGGGATTTATAGTTCACCTACAATCAGGGAGCAGGTGAAACTATAAATCCCAGTAACCTACAACAAGGGAGAAGGAAAAAGTTAAATAACCTCTGTGTATGTCTGTATATGTTTGTATGTCAAAAATTGGCATTGAATGTTTGGCATATATGTGTACACTAATCCGCCCTGAGTCCCCTGCGAGGTGAGAAGGACGGAATATAAAAGCTGTAAATAAATAAAATAAATAAAAAATAAATACTCCGGAGCCCCCAGTGGCGCAGTGGGTTAAACCCCTGTGCCGGCAGGACGGAAGACCAACAAGTCGCAGGTTCGAATCTGGGGAGAGGCGGATGAGCTCCCTCTTTCAACTCCAGCTCCTCATGCAGGGACATGAGAGAAGCCTCCCACAAGGATGATAAAAACATCAAATCATCCGGGCATCCCCTGGGCAACATCCTTGCAGATGGCCAATTCTCTCACACCAGAAGCGACTTGCAGTTTCTTAAGTCACTCCTGACACGACAAAAAAATCAAAAAAATCAGGGAGCATTCTGAACCCCACCGACAACCCCTATGACCAACAGAAAATACTGGGTTTTCTGGTGGTCTTTGGTGACCCTTCTGACACCCCCCTGGTGACCCCCCCCCCCCCGGGGTCTTGACTTCCCAGGTTGAGAAATGCTGCCTTAAGGCCATCCAGTCCAACTCCCTTCACCAGGGCAAGAAAACATAATCAAAGTCCTTCTGACAAAGGTCCATCCAGCCATTCACACAGACACACATATATGTATATGACAGATGCAGTATCATAGATTTGAAAGGGACCCCTACAGAAGGACAATTACATGTTGCATGTTCCAGAGTAGGCAAACCAAACCATCTCCACATCAACATTGGCATGAAACAGCAAGAAGTGCTGTTTACTCACAAGCATAAAAACATTTCATATATTAGAAACCAACACTTTCTCATTACTTTATTTTCCAGATCACCAGAGTGGGCCACAGCAACACTTGGCAGGGGACCGCTAGTCTATCTATAATATTGCATATTTGTAAATTGTCCTTATCACACACACACACCCCTAAGGGGGACTCTGGGCAGCTTCACAGCAGGCATTCATTCAATGCCAACAACAGTAATAAATGATAAAAGCAATTAAAACAGAAAAATTACTAAAACATTCATGCAGGTTTGAAATCGTAGTCCAGGTCAGCTTTTACCAGGCAAAATGAAAAAAAATGAAATGCAAAGATACAGAATGGGGGACGCGTGGCTCAAGAGCAGTATGTGTAAAAAAGATCTTGGGATCCTCGTGGACAAGTTAAACATGAGCTAACAATATGATGCGGCGGCAAAAAAAGCCAATGGGATTTTGGCCTGCATTAGTAGGAGTGTAGTGTCTAGGTCCAGGGAAGTAATGCTACCCCTCTATTCCGCCTTGGTTAGACCACACCTGGATTTTTGTGTCCAATTCTGGGCACCACAATTGTAGGGAGATGTTGACAAGTTGGAATGTGTCCAGAGGAGGGCAACTAAAATGATCAAGGATCTGGAGAACAAGCCCTATGAGGAGCTGGGCATGTTTAGCCTGAAGAAGAGAAGGCTGAGAGGAGACATGATAGCCATGTATAAACATGTGAGGGGAAGTCACAGGGAGGAGGGAGCTTGTTTTCTGCTGCCCAGGAGACTAGGATGCAATGGAACAATGGCTTCAAACTACAAGAAAGGAGATTCCATCTGAAGATTATAAGGAGCTTCCTGACTGTGAGAGCCATTCAACAGTGGAACTCTCTGCCCCAGAGAGTGGTGGAGGCTCCTTCTTTGGAAGCTTTTAAACAGAGGCTGGATGGCCATCTGTCGAGGGTGCTTTGAATGCAATTTTCCTGCTTCTTCGCAGGGGGTTAGGCTGGATGGCCCATGAGGTCTCTTCCAACTCTATGATTCTAACTGGATATCAGTTTTTGCTTGTTAATGCCAATATATACTTGAGTGTTTTTCTCAAAACTTGGGGCCTTTCTCAAATAAGAATTCTTGTGTACATGATTAACCAAAATCAGCTTGTTTAGAAATAAATCAACATCACATCTGTTTTCTCAGATGATCAAAAGAGTCTCAGTACCTATGTCTGTGCATCTTCTTTGTTTATATTCAGGTGTGCTGAATATAAATATATGAATATATGACATCTATGGCTGGAGTTACACTTTAAAATGCACCTGTTTTAACTTACATTACAAGTTCAACTGAAGAACAAACCTACAGAAGCTATCTTGTTCATAACTTGGGGACCGACCATAATTAAAAGCATGGAAAGATGTTGTAAAAATGCCATATTAAAATATGTTTAAATTTGAGTGCAAAGCAGACGCAATTAAAGCCAAACAATTATATGAATTAAATGTAAATTAAAGCCACTCAGCCATATTACTGGTGAGCAAGAAATGTTATTTGTTACGGAAATCTCTCAAGGCATGGTACAACAAATTCAAAAACATATAAACATAAAATATATACAATCAACTACATAGATAAAACACAATAATATAATAAAACCTGCACCAGACACAGACACAGAATTGACATATAGTAGCAATAGAATATAAATCAAAACTCATGGTTGAATGCTGACTGAGTAGGCCTGCCAGGTAAAGCGAAGTATAAATAATAATAATAATAATAATTATAATTATTATTATTATTATTATTATTATTATTATTATTTCAGTTTAGCCAAGGGGCCTCCAGGAGAGCGGGGAATAGTTTGGCTTCTGACTCAAGTGGATCCCACCCCTGAATAGATTCTTTTTAAAGTGCCTTATGCAGGAGGAAAGGGAGCTGAGGTCACAATATATCCAAAACAAAGAGGCTTTTTCAAGCACAGCACGCCCACCTGGATTTCCTGAGGCCTGGTACTTGGGTGAGTATAAAGGTGGCAATGACTCAGGCAAGTACCTACTTAGCAAAGACATTACGAAGGTGTTAAATCAATCTCCTTTGCCTTAAAGGTGACATGATCTTATCAGTGTGGTCTATGCCTACTCCGGCTGGGAGGGGCAGGGGCAGCTGAAGCCCTGTGATCCCTTGTTAGGGACAGGGTGTCAGGGGCAAATGCCTTGTATGGGTGGAATGTAGCCCTCATGGCTGAGTGGTTGCAACTGATTCAACCCTAATGTGGCTGGGCAGGAGAGGAAACACTTCTCAGTTGGGACCTGAAGTTTCAAACTCCAAATCAATATTGGCAACAAGTTTTGCCCCAAATGTCAATTGGCAGCATCTCAACATTGCTTGTCCTTCTGTGGACACATTACATCATTATCCATCTTCAGTTGTCATACCCAGAACAGGATACAGTAATCCAGGTGAGGTCTGACCAAAACAGAATAAAATGGGACTAGACACTTTTAGACACTTTACTCCTATTGATGCAATTTAGAGCTACACTGGCTTTTTAAGCTGTTACTATACCTCCCAGTTTGTGTCATTTGCAAATTTGATAAGGATGCCCACTATTCCATCAACCAAGTAATTGATAATGATAGTGAAGGACACTAGACCTAGGACAGAACCCTGCAGCACCCCACTGGTCACTTCCCTGCAGGATGAAGAGAAGCCATTAGTAAGCACTCTTGGGGTTTGGCCAGTTAACCAATTCTCAGTCTACCTGACGATATCAGTGTCTAGCTCACATTTTATTAATGTTGTGAGAATATCATGGGCAACCTTGTCGAAGGTTTTACTGAAATCAAGCTATCTATAGCATTCTCTTCATCTGCTAACCTTGTAACTAAAAAAAAAAAAAAGATAAAATTAGTCTGGCATGACTTGTTTTGAGAATTCCAGGTTGAAATTCCTTTCATAGTGTTTACAGTTTTTTATGTTTAATGATGTGCTCTAGAATCTTTTCAAGTATTGATGTCAAGCTGACTTGTAATAATTGTTTGGGTCTTCTTTTTTTCTTTCTTTCTTTTTGAATATTATGACAACATTTGCCTTCCTCTAGTCTGCTGAGAGTAATTCTGCTCTCCAGGAATTCTCAAAAATGATTGCTAGTTGTTCTGGAATTACGTCTGCCAGTTTTTATACCATTGGATATAATTTATCTTGCCCTGGAGACTGGAATTCATTTAAAGTAACCCAATATTCTTGTACTGCCTCTTTACCTATTCTGTACTGCATTTCATAAAATATTTACTTCATCACTGAACACTTTTCCTTTTGGGAGATGACTGAATCAAAGAAAGTGATGAGCAGTCCAGCCTTCTCTCTGTCCTTTTAACAGTACACTGCCTTTCCCCATTGCATCATCTGTTCCATAACCCCAAATTTGAGCACTCATTACCTTATGAGAGAAGACCAAGGCAAAGAGGTATTCAGTAGTTCTTTCTCTTTTCTGGCCAGGTAACATTTTGCCATCACCTGTACGTAGTGACCCTACCATTTCCTTGTTCTTACTTTGAATCTGGATGTAACCAGAAAAGCACCTTTCATTGTTTTTAATCTCTCTAGCGAGCCCGAGCTCATTCTGCACTTTGGAGGTAGCAGCTAAAGTTTAGTGTGGGGGCTGGGTAAAGGACTTTGGCGGCCTGGGCCATAACTGAGCTGTGGGCTGTAGTTTGAGTAACTCTGCTCTAGAAGAATATAATCACTCCCACCTAAGGAATCTGCCATTTTCACTCCATTAACCAGGTAATCAGTATTGGCTAAGACCAGATCTAAAATACCGGTAGCAGCACTCCTTGTTTCGTTTTCCACCATCTGGACTATGGAATTTTCTGCAAGGCAAATGAGGAATGTATTCGACTGGATATTCTTAGTTTGTCTTCAATAAATATCAGGCTAATTGAAATATTCCATTATTACTACATCTCTCCTTTCTCAATGTGTGGGTGATCTGTTGTAGGAAGACATCATCCAAGTCCTCAATCTGATGTGGGAATCTGTGTTAGACCATGACAATGATGCCCTGTTGTTTCTTCTTTCTTTATATTTACCCAGATTCTTTCTACCTGGCTTCCAGGATTTTAGTTACAGATCTCTTGGCAGGTGTAAACATCCTCCCTGTCTTGTTTGGTCTGTTTTTCTAAAACCAATTATACCCCTGTATAACTTATTTTAGAGAAACAGACCAAATATATACCCCTTTATTACTACATTCCAATTATGGGACTCACCCCATTAGGTTTAAATGATGTCTATTTATCACACTTGCTTTGCTGTAATTAGAGTTCAAGGTTAAATTAATATATTAATATTAAATTCTTCTATCTTTCTTTTTTTCAAATTATGAGCTGGCCATTTTCTGATTTATTCCCAATTTGAAATGTTTCTGTTTTCCATATCTCCTAGTGTTTTTTCCCCAATCCCAGCTATAGCAATCATTGGAAGTTGTTTTTGAAACTATCTAAACTCATTAATCAATTTCCGAATCATCTGTAAGTTTTCTTGTCTCTTTATTTCAGAGTTTTATTGAATTAAAAACCCTCATAACGACTTTGCTAGCATCCCAGACCATCCTAATGTGGTTTATTTATGTTATCTTCAAAAATAGTTTTAGCTGCAGCTTTGCTTTCAAAGTCATTTTCTCATGTAATTATGATTTGTTAAGTCTCCAATTAAATGTCCCCTTTCTGTGGAACAACACCAGAGCAGCAGAATTAAACGCAGAAAGTTATTTTGATATTCACAAACATAAATCCTTCAATATGATGTACATCTTTTTAAAAGAAAGTTTATTCATTTGCTTGGGCATATTTATATTTCCAGGCATCTTGAATTGTAAAATTGTTCATTAATTCAAAAAGAGGATTTTGGTGATTTGCCTTGATCTCCTTTGATCTTTTTCTCTGATGGTCTGTCCAGTTTGAGAGATATCACTCCATTCCAGTCTCCCATCATTATCACATTTTATAGGAGAATTCATTAATTTCTGTTAGCAGTTTTTGATAAAAGCCCAACATTGCTCCTGTAGGGGTATAGATGGCAACCATCAGAGGTTTTACCCCCTGTAGTTTTATCTCCATCCCTAATTGCCAATTATTGTCCTGGAATATATTTTTAGGCACATTTCTTATTAACATAATTTACAAAAGTATAGAGGATGTGTCCCGTCAAGGGTGAGAATGTAAAACTAGTCTATAGCAGCAAAGGTTGGGTGTATTAATGTCAATGTTTTACCTGTTGCTTGCCTATCTTCTATGAGGGAGAAGAATATGCATATTATATTTGTGTTCACACATTATCTTTATTGATGGTTGACTTAGATCAGGACAAGATTCCGTGGTCTGAAATATGGAAACTTCTTTGTCTTTATCTCTTTGGCTGTTTTAGCAACTGGCTGTTGGGGGGTTCACCAGAAAGTCTCTTCGTTTTTTACAATTCCTGACAACCAGGAGCCGTAGTGGCGCAATGGTTTAAACCCTTATTCCAGCTGAACTACTGACCTGAAAGTCAGTGGTTCGAATCCACGAGACGGGGTGAGCTTCTGCTTGGCAGCTCCAGCTTCCCATGCAGGGACATGAGAGAAGCCTCCCATGGGATGGTAACACATCTGAGTGTCCCCTGGGCAACATCTCTGCAGACGGCCAATTCTGTAACACCAGAAGCGACTTGCAGTTTCTCAAGTTGCTTCTGACATGATAAAAAAATCTTGCCAATCCAAGGACCAACATAACATACAGGTTGTTAGCCCTTTAGCCCTTCTGCTGGAAATGAATTGATTACATGTACGAACACTGTTCCTTTCTGTGTATACTACAGAAATAATAAAATCTGCAACTTCTATATTTCCTGGATCATTTGTTTCCTTGGCTGTTATACAGACTTACATCTCTAGGGTTGCTTCTCCTGATGGGGATACTGAAAAGCCTTCCTTTTCCTACCTGTTAGAGTGAGTGGGAAGAGCAATCCAACCAGAGTATGATCTTTCTTTTTTCTTTTGGAAAAGAATGTATCACATGTAAAATGGATGCTGGTACTAAAAACGACATGGAAAGCAGCCAAAGCAGGAACACGGAGTAAACCGATTTCTGGCATTTGTCATGACTCTTGCCAGCATAGCAGGCGTTATGTTGGCAATTTCTTCCTGGATGTTGGTCTTCAAATCTTGTAGGGTCCTTGGACGGTTCACATAAACACAGGATTTCAAAATACCCCATAGAAAAAAATCACAAGGGGCCAAATATGGAGAGTGGGCCAGCCACTCCAAATCCGCTTGAAAAGTAGGCCTCAACGGCAAAAGCACGCTGCTCACTGTTCCAACGTATGATGGCGACTGAACTGTGTGAGGACAAAACTTTATACTCCCGCCTCCTGAATGAGATCACTAGCGCTCTGCTACGAATTCAACAGACTGAATGGCGCACATTTTTAAAAAGGAAGTTATGCTGCCTCACCCTGTAGTTTAAAAGGCACAATACAATTAAAAAAACAATTCAATAATACAMTGCAGATTAAGGTAAAAAACATTAAAATATAATAAATACACTTAAAATAGCCTTGAAAACTCACCCTCTCTCTCTCCCCCCCCCCCCCCCCCCCCCACATCTCACTCATACTTTCATAGCAGCATGCCCCTTATCCTTCCCAAATGCCTGCTGGCAGAAGAAGGTATTGGCCTGCCTACAGAAGGCCAGAAGGGATGGGGCCATCCTGGTCTTTCTTGAAAAGGAGTTTCACTGTCTGGGAGGAGCCATAAAAAAGGCCACCAAACACACTTGAGCAGATGGTGGGACAGAGAGAAGGCCCTCTCCAGTAGATTGCAGGTGTTTACCAAGTTTGTAGAAAGTGATACGGTACATCAGATAACTTGGACCAAAGCTGTATAGGGCTTTTTAGGTCAATACAAGATTACTATAGTTGTCTAGTTAAATTCTAATTGATGTTTTGTTTCCCTTTTCCCACAGGTTATCAAGAAAGAGGGTACAGGAACAGAAACTCCCATGATAGGTGACAAAGTGACTGTCCACTATACAGGATGGCTTTTAGATGGCACAAAGTTTGATTCAAGCCGTGACAGAAAAGACAAGTTCTCATTTGACTTTGGCAAAGGTAGTATATTTTGTGTTTTTGTATGTAAGAACATGATCTCTTAATACTTTGTTAAAAATAATAATAATAGTGACACTCTTCATTTGTAATGTCTCTTCTCAACTTGCTGTGCTAGTCTTCCTTGTGCTACCCTTTTCATCCTGGAAATAGGATTTAATTATTGTCATGGGTTCCACAAATAATATAAAACAGATGCAAAACCATCTTTTAGAAGTGTAATTGCACAATTGTGGTTTGTTAAGAGGGCTTGGTACAGACTATTTTATCACTTATTGCTTGGTTTGGCAGAAACAGACAAAGCCAATTCAGTATAAATTGTTAGGACAAGCTCCATGTTGCATATAAATGCATGTATTGTACTGACACTACAATGCTCTTTAACATATTTTGTTATGTTTCTTTGAAAGAGAAGAGGTAATAAACAACATTTTACCAATATTTAAGTTATAAACAGAATCCAAAACCAAAATTAGAAAAGACAATCATAAAAGTGTTTGATTTTTTTCCTCTTTTTTTGTTTCCCTTCCCCTATCCTCCTTTAACTTTACCAAATCAGTGCAACAGTCTTACATGATTTTTTACTGAATCTGCATATACAGTGGAAGGAAACCAACGAATATCTCTTTGGGTTGGAATCTTATCTTAAGCTATCAGGCCATGCCATAATAGGCAATAGAATCTTGCCTTTTCATTAGCTGCTGTAATCAGTTTAGCAGTTTGCATGTTTTATTGCAGTTGAAAGATACACTCCCACTAGACAATAAAAAACCTTTTCAGGATCAAAGGATGTTGTGCTTAATAGCATGTTAATTCTCAGGCTGGCAGGACAGGAGGAGCAATCCAGCACACATGGGGTCCTCTTGCATGCCATCTCGAACAGCAGGAGTCCAAGTTCTTATTTAGTACTGTTAAGACCCCTCTTTCTCTGGAAAAATAATTTAGCTCCTGCTTAATAGTCTTAACATATTTTGACCCTCTGGTATCTGAGCTTTAATTTTAAGGCTGTGGAGTGAAATATATTGGAAGTTGTGTAATTGATTGAAAGATTGAATTAGCCTGTGCGCATTCAGAAGACCTACAAGCCACTCTAAACACCTTTGCAGAAGCATATGAGAATTTTGGCTTTTCACTAAACATTGAAAAAAACATTCACCAGCCAATCACCTTGCAATGCCAAAAATACAGCTTAATGGTGTAACATTAGAAAATGTTGACCATTTCCGCTACCTTGGCAGTCGCCTCTCCACAAAAGTCAAAATTGACACTGAAATACAACACCTCCTGAGCTCTGTGAGTACAGCATTTTTCTGAATGAAGTAGATAGTGTTTGAGGATCAGGACATCTGTAAGGATATTAAGGTGCTTGTTTATAAAGCTATTATCCTCCCAATCCTGGTATATGCCTGTGAAACGTGGACTTTTTACAGGTGCTACCCAATGCAACTCTTGAAATGATTCCATCAGCATTACCTCTGAAAAATCCTGCATATTTCTTGGGAAGACAGGCGGACAAATGTCAGCATGCTGGAAGAAGCAAAGGCCACCAGCATTGAAGCAATGCTCCTTCGCCATCAACTCTGCTGGACTGGCCACATTGTCCAAATGCCCAAACACCGTCTCTCAAAGCAGTTGCTATATTTCCAACTCAAGAACGAAAAACATAATGTTGGTAGACATGAAAAGAGATTTAAAGATGGGCTTAAAGCCAACCTTAAAAACTGTGGCATAGACACTGAGAACTGCTCTAACTGGAGGTCAGCTGTGACCAGCAGTGCTACGGAATTTGTAGAGGCATGAATGGAGGACAAAAAGAAGAAATGTGCCAAGAGGAAGGCGCGTCAAGCCAACCCTGACTGGGACTGCCTTCCACCTTGAAACCAATGCCCTCATTGTGGAAGAACATGCGGATCAAGAATAGGTCTCCACAGCCACCTATGTATCCACTGCCAAGACACTACTACGCTTGGAGGGCCATCATCCTCAGATTACGAGGGATCGCCTAAGTAAATAAATCCAAAGTGATGTGAGATCGAGGACATTATCAGGGTAAAAAAGAGGCTTCCCAGATAGATGACTGCTGACAAATGATCTCAGTAGTTGAGCATAAGAATGACTTCAGAAAGATTTTTCCAAGCTCCAGTGGGAACAATATGGAGGAGCCATGTTCTATGAAACCAAGGATTCGGGGTTGAAAAAAGTTGATAACATACTTAAAAATAGCAAAAATAAAGACAGCATTAAGAAAAGTTAAAAGGTCTAGTTACTTTGAGAAAAGTTCCAAAAGTGTAGCGAAAACTCTCATGTAGATTAAGGAGGCCTTTGAATAAGTCATAGATAAGTAATATTAGGGGCGGATGGCACGAATTTAACTAAAAAGAGCTTTGTCTGCCATTTTTAAAATCAGCCCTCAAAGAAGAAGAGGCAGCCCTAATCTTGGTCAAGTAAAAGTTGAGAGAGGAGTACCATTAGAGTTCAGTGGTGTTGGGAAGGCTAACTGGGCTTAGGCAAATGCCACTGGAAGCAAAGGGGAGAGTTGATAGAGTAAGCTTTGCTATGTCACAAGAGACAAGCAAGTGCCAGTCAAAGATAGAGGGCATGGTTCAAACAATAAAGGGCTAAACAGTAGAAGCCTCATTTGCTTTGAGTGTAGCAATGGAGTTCAGAAATGGAAAAAGAAAGTTCATTGGAAAGACTTGGAGAGTGCACAAGGAAGATAAAACATTTAGAGGCTTCTTAGGTGGAAAAATACAGTGATGAAGACATGGAAAAAGAATATTGAGAAGGACAATATGGTTATTTGGAGGAGGAACAAAACTCAGCTGAATTCAGATGGATTGCTTCATTTAGGTAGTTTAAAGCATACACTAAGACAGGTGTGATGTACATTACTTTTAGAAGACATAACTCAGAAATAAGGATTATAAATAATAAAGTGGCATCTCTTTTGAAGAAACAACGTGTGCATAGGAATGAGGTGTTTGCTTGTTATGTTGAAAGAAGTAATTTCCAATAAATAGTCTGCTTCGTTGAATTCTCAAAATTCAAAAGTTATATGCATTGGATCTTAAGGAGATGGACTTGTTGAATGTCTTGCTTGTTGGTGTTTCTGTAGCTGTAGCTGTGCTTATTTCTGGCGAAATAAGGTGGGACACAGCATTGAAAGTGTTGGATGAGTGGAGGCTCTCAAAAAGGCACATGACACCTCAACTATGGCAATAAGGTCTTCAGCGATGTCATCTATGTTCTTAAGGGCAGCAGTGCTTTGTATGCAGGAAGCTTTGGAGTCACAGGATATTTGTTGGCAACATTTGAATAAAGCAATAGGAAGGATTATGAAAATTTTGGATTTTACTGCAGATGCTACATGGGATTCTTCGCATTTGCAGCACTATCTATTAATGCAAGTCACTGTAGGATTGAGGTCTCTGTGGTTAAGACGTTGGGATGCAGGTAGTAAATCACATAAAATTTTGACATTTGGAAAGGAAGCATTAGAAAAGATTTTGGTGGAGAATAAAGATAAAAGATGTGTGATGTCAACAGTACAAAGGAAATGGGGTAATACGAAGTTTTTTTGAGAAGGTTTTAATTCCTGAAGAGGATTCAGTAGATAAATGGATGCAAAGTTTTCAAGACATGGATTCAAACAGTGTCAGCAATCTGGCAGACAGGCATCTTTTGCTAGGGAGTAAGCAGGTACAGAAATGTTTCCAGAAGATGTAGGCCTAATTAAGTATTCAGAACTGATGAGGGGAGGACTACTATTTCTTGGGGAAAGATAGTCAGAAATTGCAACGGACCAATGGGGATGTTTCAAGTGGTAGCAAAGTATAGCGAATACTATTCCATGACATGCCAAAAAGCAGATTTTTATTCTCATTGAGAAGATCAGACAAGAGATTAGTAGCAAAACAAGAAATAAAAATCTGTTAGACAAATGCATAGAATTGGAAGAGATCACAAGACATCCCCAGTTCCTTAAGCCACTCCTTGTGGGCCTTGACTTCCAAACCTTTTTCTGGACACATTTCACCTTGTCAATATCCTTCTTGAATTCTGGTGCCCAGAACTGGACATAGTATTCCAGGTAAGGTCTGACCAAAGCAGAATAGAGTGGGCAATTGCTTCCCTTGATATAGACACTATGTTCCTATTGATGTAGCCTAGAATTACACTGGGTGTTTTAGCTGCCATATCATACTATGGACATATTCAACTTGTGATGTATTGAGATCTCTTTTGCATATCTTTTTTGCATATATTGTTTTAAGCCAGGTGTTAACCATCCTATATATGTACATTTCATTTGCTTTACACAAGTGTCATGCCATGCATTTTTCCCTGTTGAAATTCATTTTGTTAGTTTTCTAATTTATTAAGGCCCTTTTGGAGTCTTATCTTGCCCTTGGATTATTAGGTATTGTACAGAAGTTGATTGTAAATGATAAGATTATAACTGTATTGGTGTTTGCACTGGTTGCCCTAATGCTGGAGCGGCCTAGCTGTGAGGAGTGTGTTACCATGGAAACGATGCTATACAGAAGTGGGAGGAGCTTAGAGAGGAGAGTTTTGAAAAGCGACAGTTAAAGTTAGTTGCCTAAGTCAGAGGAGTGCGTTGCCATGGAGACGATGCAGTAGAGGGAGAAGTGGGAGGAGCTTAGAGGGGAGAGTTTGAAAAACGACAGTTTATGTTCAGTTAGGGTTTAGGTTCCGAGGAGTGAGGAGTTAGGGTTTTGGAGTCGGAGTTAGCAGTTGAGAGAGAGAGAGTGGGAAGTAGAGAAGCAGTGTTTGTGAATAGTCAGAGGTTTCTTCAGTTTAGGAAGGCTGAAGGGGAAACCTTATTAGTTTCATTAGTTAGAGAAGACTAATAGAAGCTTGTTTAGATCACTAGTTAAAAGTGAACTAGAGATCTGAGGTTTGATCACGGAAGGATCAAACAGGAAGACTATTCACCTCAGGAAACATTGTTTAATAAAGTGCTTCACCACAGCAAAAGTTATTTATAAGTTGTAACATCAGAAGTCTGTACTGTATCGCAACCAAGTTATATGTAACGTTCTCCAAGTATCTTCCAAGTTTATCACCAAACTGCAACCATACGCTTTGTTTCAAAATAAACTTGTTCTCTTTGATTTTAAGACTGCCTCATCTCCATTGATTCGGCGTTCAGTGTGCCCAATCTCCCAAAATTACCTCACATTACAAATTGGTGGCTCCATTAAGAATAATAAATAATAAATCGTAACTTCTCTCTCCTGAAAACCCCTTTTCTTTGAATTGGGGCAAGCCCTTCGCAGGTATCCTTACCAATTTGGTGTCATCTGCAAATTTGATAAGCATGCCTATTATTCCAGCAAATAGGGAATCAACATTGTACTGTGAAAACAGAGGTTCTCAGGAATTTACTTGGTGTTCTTCACCATGCCAAAGCCCAATGAAATACCTCAGCTGGTTTGAAATACTGGGTATCGTAATGAGTTTGTAAGATATCTAAGATTCAAAAGAGAGGCTTTGCAGACCATAAAGGACAACTTACTGAGAGCTGACTTTATGGCACCCATAGAATCGTGTCTCAAGGCATCAGAGCACGGAAGGCAGGGAGGCCTAGGATCAGTTCTTGTGATAACGAAATACAGAGATAAAGTTAAGTTTTATATCTACAGTACATTTAAATGGATTGCTCACTATACAAACAGATTACTTCAGTCTGAATGTTATTCATCTGGGGAAATGGTAATTGAATAGGGCGGTTTTCAAAAACTTGAACACCTTGTTAGGTCCATTCCAAATTGATTTATTTGTGACAAACAGAAACTGCAGATTAAGCAGTTTTATTCAGTAGATGGAAGTGCAAGTGGGAGAGGCACAACGCCTTGACTATGAAATGGCCAAAAGGGATTCAATATGCATTCCCACCAGTAAAGATACATAAGGTGTTGCACAAGTTACAACTAGTGAAAGCTTGTGTTGTTTTAATAACTCCTTACTAGCCAAGGAGGCCATGATTTCCAGAAATGTTGTAAGTGGCATTGCAGACGCCAGTACCATTACCAATCCGAGCAGTTTTGTCCACGTCAACATCCTGAATAGTTGAAACAGAATGCATGGCTATTGAAAGTATGATTTTGAAAATGTTCCTCATCGTTATCAACTAATCTTTGATCTGATGGGGAACCAATAGTAGCCTATTCTCACACTTTCTACATTTCCACTAACCATAGATTTCAACATCACATCTGAATTGGATGTTGACTCTGTCAACAATTTTGCTTTTTGAGCCTTTCTAATCAATGCCACTGAGGGATCTTTCTTATAAGGTGGCATTTTAATAGTGAGAACACGTGAGAGAAGAATTTCAGAATTAACAGCACTATTGGTAAATAAAACTTATGTAAATACAACAGTGATTGGTTAGTACTAACTGGATCTGACCTTCATGCTAAAATGTGTTCTAGGGAAGAATTGCAATGGCTTTATTATTCTCCTGAGTTTTTGTTTAAATCTGACAGGCTTTGAAGTCTAAGTGGCATAAAGCTAATGTTCGTAGGTTGGACAAATTTATCTGAAAAGGACCATAAAATTTATAAAATATTATCTCATTCAGTCCTAGATCTTTGAGACGGAAGATGATAAGTTATATTTTGACATGGTGGATCAAAGCTTGCATTTTTTAATGTTATGATATACAGAAGAAGCCACGTTCAGTCAATGTGTGGCCTCATTTAATGTGGTGTATTGCAATATCAGTGTCATTTGCAACAACTTCTTCATTAAGGGATGTCTGTGAGGCAGCAGGGTGGCGCATTCGTGAGACATTATAAACTGGATAAGTATAGAGCATTGAAAGCAGCATTTGGAAGATGTGACCCACCCAAGATTGACGGCTTGGGAATTTCTCATTTGTGGTGGATTGCTCTCCATGCCACCCTGAGAGTGAGAGATTGGATTAACCATGAAGATTCATTCTGGGAGGGCAGGAGAAACAATCCACACCCACCTGTGGGAATATGAAAAAGAGACATGAGAAGGTTTTTAGTTGCTGTTTAGTTGTTATGATTCAAATCTATGCTTAATTGTGTTGCTTTGAGTTTAGGTTGGTTTGTACTATTTGAAATTAAGATTAGGCTAAGGACAGTAAATTCCTGGAAAAAGATGGGGCCCAAATGGAAGTTAACTGAAAAAGAACTTGGGCGTTTGCCATTCGAGATGGCATGCAGGAGAAACCCATGTGTGGTGGATTGTTCTTCCTGACATCTCAGAATGAATCTTCACAGGAAATCCAATCTTTTTATTTTATGCTAGGTGACAGTGGTTGCCTACTTAATCTTAATAAATATGCAGCTCTCAGGAACAGATGCATATTGGTCAACCATCACATAACTTTCTCTTATTTAAATTGCTCCATATTATAGTTTAATGAGGATCTTAACAACTTTTTAAAGAAAAATATTATAGTAGTAATAATAGTAATAGTAAAAATAAGAACCCCTGACTTGTGTCATACTCAGGTGTTGGAGCCCAGATCACTCAGCCTACTCACCATGTACCTGGGATTTAAGTATTTAGTTAGTGATGGTGGTGTGGCTGAAGCCCTTTGCTTCTTCAAATTTGTGGCTAACCTGTATGCGTTTTCAGTGCCTGACGAGAACTAAAAACATTTTTATAACTTGAACACTAGACCTGACCTTGCAGTTTTTGAAATTCTGTATTTGTAATAAAGATGGTATTTTAAATGTTTCATTGTTTCAAATGATAAACATGAGTCTTTTTAGATGTTTTTAAGTGCTTTGAAAAGTAAAGGGGACAAATGGTATTCTTTGGAATTTCTAGTAAGTGTATAAAACCTCAGCAAATTTTGAAGGATATCTTGTCTCTTAGTTCACTTGGTGTTTATGATACATTTTGGGACTTGAATGCTCAGCATCTTTGCCTTTTGTGCTTGCAAAAAGCATGTGAATAAATGAGTATTGAAATTGGTGGCAAAGATTATTTTTCATGATTAATTTTTAGTAATTTGTCCAAATTATATTTGCTTGGTTTGGTCATTTTTAGGTGAAGTTATCAAAGCTTGGGATATTGCTGTAGGAACGATGAAAATTGGAGAACTTTGTCAAATTACTTGCAAACCAGAATATGCCTATGGCTCTGCTGGCAGCCCTCCTAAGATTCCTCCCAACGCAACACTGATTTTTGAGGTAAGTTCAAAATGGTAGTATTCCGTCCACAACAGAGCAGCCCTACTCATTTGCAGTATTAAACAGTTTGTACCTGGAAATCTCTACTAGATGTGGCCCTCACTCATCTGGCCATACACCTCAGAATGGGAGCTTGTGATTATGGCACCTAACTTATTCAGCAGGACAAGATTTAAGGAATATAAGGCGAAATAATGGAGCTCAGTGAAATGAGTAACGACTAGAAGTAGATATCTGCAATAATGTTGTCAGCCTCCATAACTCGTTTGCCTTGGACTAAGCTATAATGCGTGATTTCTACTATTTTTTGCATAATTGTCATAATTAAAAAGAAACAGTTGGGAAGACTCTTGGTCACATTTACTTCAAAGACCCACCAGACAATTCTTACATACTTTCAGCATATCTTTGCAACCATTTGTAAACAATGAAAACTTAATATCTGTCTCCTTATTTTTTCATCATATGCGCAGACTGCGCACATAGCTCTAGTTGTAAAACAATAGCAGGAAACATTTTGTGACATATTCCTAGATGTCATGTCATATTGTGAAGGCTGGTGTGCTAACTAGTGAAACTAATGAGTAAATCAGAACCATACCAGTGGTTATTAACTGCGATGTCTTCATTTTGTGAATGAGCCTCACAGCTTGTCTATGACCATATGAAAGTCATGTGATTGGCATAAAGTCAACATGCGGACAATTTGATTGACATGAGGTATTTCTGTGCCTACTTTTCATATGCACGAGTTTGCACAATGGGAAAGCAGCTTTTACAGAGCAACGTATGTGTGTTGTGTCAGGGGTCCTCAAACTTTTTAAACAGAGGGCCAGGTCACAGTCCCTCAAACTGTTGGAGGGCTGGATTATAATTTGAAAAAACATGAATGAATTCCTATGCACACTGCACATATCTTATTTGTGGTGCAAAATAACACCTAAAACAATACAATAATTAAAATGAACAATTTTAACAAATATAAACTTACTAGTATTTCAATGGGAAGTGTGAGCCTGCTTTTGGCTGATGAGATGGGATTGTTGTTGTTGTTGTTGTTGTTGTGTGTTTTCAAGTCGTTTCAGACTTAAGGTGACCCTGAGCAAGGGCCAGGTAAATGACCTTGGAGGATTAGTTTGAGGACCCCTGTGTTGCATCTTGGCACACACTGCAACCTCTAAAAACCAGAATAACTTCGGAGATTAGTTGGCCACCTCATAATGACTTTTAAAAAAGTATATGATTATGTCTATGGACAGTTTTGGACTTGATAAGACTTTTTAGTGAAAAGATTGTTTTAAAGTGTATTGATCTCAACAATGGTTGAAAAACAGATCTGGGGATGAGACTTGACATGACGTTCTGTTTTTCTCTTGCTTTTCTCATTTTGGTGCATTGTGTGATTTCCACCAGAATGGCCTTGGCCAATCACTTGAGTCTAAACAAATCCCATTATTACAGCTGCGAGGTTGCTTCTCTTGTTTATCTTCTCCCCTGTCCTCTTGTTGGAGTTTTATGGCAATAACATGAGTTGCCTTTGATTGTCATAATCCTGAAGACATCATTACCTGTATCAAATTGATTGTAGCAGAGGTGCTTAGCTGACTAATGTTGTAGGAGATGAGATAAAGCCACAATGGCTTCTTTGGAATTCATGTTTAGTTTGCTCTTTGCACTTTTTTTCATAATACACATCAACCTGTTGGATCCAGGATTCAATGGTCTAGCAGGAAATAAAAGTAATTTAAGCACGAATCCACTTTGATGTTAAAAACAGGTTTTATTACGATCACATTTCAGAAATAGGTACTGTTTCATTATCTGGGTTTAGGCCACAAGGGGGCAATAGGGAGAGAAGGATAGTCCATTTTAGAGGGGTAGGGGGGGTGTTGAAGTAGTAAAACAATTTCCCCCAATTTTCCTGTTATCCCCCCACCCATGCCCCAGTCGTGGAAACAACCCTCGTTTATGACATGGGAAGTGGGGAGGGGGAATAACCAGCAAAACAGAGAAAATACTTTTCCTCCTTCAACTCACATTTTGTATAATGGACCATTCTGCTCTCTCTAGCGCTCCCTTGTGGCCTCTGCCCGAATAATGGAACAGTCATCAGAAATGTAACATACAACTAAAACTATTAGGTACTTATGTCAACCTGCAGCATCAGCTTAATTTCTTTACTGGGCTGTTGATAAGACAAAGGAGGAAACATAAAAGCAAAATAAAATGGTTAAGTAAGCTAAATGGGTGAAAAAGCTGATCTTGTAATAGATGAAAAAACAAACAGAAATCTAGAAATAAGATTAAAATGCTTAGCTGAAATACTGAAATTTGTAGTGAATACTAGAAGGGATCCAAGGGAGATTGTTCTACCATGTTTTTACTTCAGGTGTTAAAATTCCTTGGACCTACTCCGTATTGTAAACTTCAACCAGAAATTCTGGGGGTGAGCATTACGTATTCTTGGTTGCATTCAAGTACAGACTAGTCTACTGAGCCTTTCTCTAATCAAAAGTAATAATGCAGTCTCATTCTACTGCAGTAGCCTAATGATGAGGTATCTTCCTGTAAGCAGAACTTGAACTGCATATGAAGTATTAAATTTCTGAAGATATACTAATGTCTTAGCACAACACATTTGTGAACCATATAAAACTCAGAGTGTTTCAGGTATTCGCAAAGCATCTTTCCGTATCAATGTCAGCATTTGGTTCTTTGTGTGCCTTAGGAAATCCTGCAGCTTTGTCATTTTAGGTTGCTTTTATGGTTGGCTGCACCAATAACTCATTTCATTCCAGAGGCTATTTGAAGGTTGCATATGTTATATGCATGTAGAAAGACTGAACCTGGAAAGATTGTTTAAGTGAGAAAAAAAATCCAGGTTAACAAAATGCTGGTAATTTAAAACTGGAAGGACTTCCAATCAGTGAGTAACACTGAAGAGAGCTTTTGGGCTGCACTACAGTAATGGGAAACATCAATCCGACCTTCCTTTATCACATCTCAGGGAAATGATGATATGTTCCCAAACAATGGCCCAGTATTGTTAGGCCAAGATTCCCTTTCATGTTAAGAATTCTTGTATGAGAAATACATTCTGTAATAACTGATATGTGCTAATTAGGTGCAGCGGGTAACTGTAAAGACAGCAAAACTAACATTGTGGGTTGTTAACCCTTCCTTATGCTATCCAAAAACAAATGTAGCTGTTCTGACTTACATACAAATTTAATTTAACAATAAACTTGCAGATTTGTTCTAATCCCGGGAACTGCTGGCAGTAGCCTAAGTGGTCATGTATGTATATATATCTTGTAAGCCACTCTGAGTCTCTTTCGGGGTGAGAAGGGCAGCATATAAATGTCATAAATAAATAAGTAGCAAAGGTATTGAGCTCCAAAGGAACATGATGGGATCTAAGGGTAAGATCCTGACATCTTCACACTGAATGTTTCCTTTTTACCTAAAGTTGTGCTTTCATTTCACATCAATCAAGAGATTGTGCTATCTCGAGACTGGGCAAAGATGGTGCACTGCAGAGCTCTCTCTTCATAAGCTCCTGGGGGAGAACTCAGCACTTGTGGATTATCACCACTTGGTCTGGTAGTGGCATCCTTCCAGTCAAGGAAGGAGTGGTTTTTGTTGTTGTTTTTTTTTTGTGTGAAGATCCAGGTTCTGCTTTTGATAGCTTGCCAAGGCATTTGTTTTTACCTCTGGGGCCAGAGGACGAATTAGTCAGGAGAAAATGTCCATCACAGCATGACAGCTATGTTTAACCCACAGCAGAAAATAACACCTTACCTGCCATTTTTAAGAAAAAAGGAAAGACGATTTTACTTTGTGGGACTCATTTCTGGCTATTGGAGAATTACTCCCATTGACAATAACTTCTATGGTTGGAAGATATGTGCAATTCTAAATTTATTATCTGGAAATGGAATGCAACTAACTCTCCCACAGTGCCGATGGACTTTAAGAAAGACTGTTAAGAAATGCCAAGTCTAATAAATATTGCTGGCTAGTTTGATTGCAACAGCTAGTAGTATACATACCTGTCAAAAGCTTAAAGTATTGCCTGTCTTTGAAGCCAAGAAATGAATGAATGAATGAATGAATGAATGAATGAAAGAAAGAAAGAAAGTGTAATCTTTGCCACCTGGTTGTTTTGCTGTAATAACTTTATTCAAAATGAGAACAATCAGCCTTATCAGAATTGAATAAATACTGTACTTGTTTAATGTAAGCTTATTGATACATGGTAATAGAAATGTGAAGAAAGTATACTTCAGTCTTTACCACACATAGTAATATGATCTACAAAATAATTTTATCACAGCAGTAATAGGGACAAGACTTTAAGGATATGATTGGCAGTAGCTTGATCTGCATTTGTAATTCATTTCCTTTTTGTTTTAATGTGTTTGGCATTACTTTCAATTTTGTGTGTGTAAAACCGTTGATCTGGAGAGGGATTTTTAAATTTTAAAGGAAAGCTATTGTCTTGGGCAGTGCTATCCTTCTGTTAAATTTTGGTAAGGTAACCTCTGAGAATTTTATAAAACCTTGAGTTTCCATTATCCTTTTCTCTAGATAGAGTTGTTTGAGTTCAAGGGAAAGGACCTTACAGACGATGAAGATGGTGGAATAATTCGACGAATCCGTAAAAAAGGAGAAGGCTACTCCAAACCCAATGAAGGAGCCTTAGTAGAGAGTAAGTGTCTGAAATAGTGCAAATATGTTTAAATGGGATGCTTATGAGTCCAGGGCCCAGTAAGCTAGAGCAGGTGTAATTCCAGAATGCATATTCTCTAATCACTATCATTCCTAGAAGCACATAAGAATCCTGCTAAAGTTCAAAGTGACATCTAGACTAACATCCTGTGTCCAGAAGTGACCAACCAGATGTGTGTGGGAAGCCTAAAAGCATAGCCTAAATCCTTTCTTGCTGTTGTTTCCCAGCAATTGGCATTTGAGGTAACAGTGCCTCTTCTTCTGGAGATAGCATACTATGAGTAACAGCAGTTGATAGCCTTATCCTCCACAAATTGGCCCAGCTGTTGTTTGAATCCATCTATTATGGTGGACCCCATCTTGTAGCAGTTGTTATAGATTAACTATGTATTGCATGATGAATTATTTCCCAGGTTTCTCAGGGGTCTCTCACCAATCAGCTTCAATAGATGATCTTCCAGCATTATGCAAGACAGAGAAAAGATTTTTCAAATCCTTTTTCAGTGTTGTGTATAAACTGATACTCTTTCATCATGTTTTCCATTGAACTTATGTTTTTTCCCTCTAAATTAAAAAGTCCCAAATATTGTAACATTTCCACATGGAGCAATTGCTACAGACTGCTCAAAGTTATGTTAAGTCCATATGGACTGCCACCCCTAGCAAAACCCCAGCAAAGACTGGATTTGAATAATGGCTACGTTTCAATGTTGTTTCAATGTTTTATGTTGTAATAATGTTAAACAGTGGGTGGAAGGAATGGCAGCAGGTGTTTAGAAAATGAATTGCCATGCTTTTGGTTACATTCACTCCTTTGATTGTTACCAGAGATTAGGTAGTCTAGGGAATCTCGGAGGCCAGAAAAGCAGCCTGTGGTCCTAGTGCTGTACTGTGCCCAGCCACACCTAGAACCTTAATACAGGGAACTCACAGTTAACTGGAACTCAAAAACCAGAACACTCAAGCAACAAGCCAATCAAAGAAATCATACTTTACTTTTATAATACAGTTAAACAGTAAAGCTGTGTTACATTTAGCCATTATTTGTGTTTAAATTACTGTATTTCGATATCAATATTGTTAATACAGAGCTTATGTATGATATATTATATTAGACCTATTTTAATAACTTTCAGGCAATGAGAAACTGTCTACCAAGTCCCCTTAGGTGCCAGTTAACTGAGAATCTGCTAGTTTCTGGAATTCCACCCTCCTTGTTTTTCATAACCCAGCTGGGAAAATGTGCTGTGTCCACTCTACACTGATTATACTAGTTTTGTGTAATACTTTTTTGGGACTGATAGAACCTTTATAATCCCATCTTTTTTGTACCAGTTGAGGTCGAAGGTTGGCATGGAGACAGAGTTTTTGACAAGCGTGAGCTGCGGTATGAAGTAGGAGAGGGAGAAAATTATGACCTTCCTCCTGGGCTGGACAAAGCACTGCAAAAAATGGAGAAGTTGGAGGAGTGTGTAATATATCTCAAACCCAGGTATACTTCTTGAACTGGTTGTGCCACACTTTTTGCTTAAATGAATGAGGCATAGCTATTCTTGCAATGAGCCTAAATTTGAGTATAGGGTTATTTGTTTTAAAAACAATTTAAAGTTAATGTGTCACGGTTTTTGAATAGTATTCTAAGTTCAGTTTCTCTACTGTGGGATAGTGCACTATTGGTTGGAGATATTTTGAGGAAGAATGGATTGATTCAGCTCTTAGAATATTCTTTATTTCTTCACAGCTATGGTTTTGGCAGTGCTGGGAAACAAAAGTTTCAGATCCCTCCAGATGCAGAGCTGCAATATGAAATCAAACTCAAAAGTTTTGAAAAGGTATGTACAGGAGAGTTTTCTAGTGATTGATCCTGTCTAGTTCCATCCCGCGCTCAAAAGAGTCTTAAATATCTATACATATCTAAAGTCTTATATAGTGTACAGAGTTTAAGAAACAAAATGGACTTGAAGTCCTAGTGCAGGAAGGTAACTATGATTTTATAGTTTTAATGCAGGCTTGGTGGAATGACTCCCATGATCGGAATAATTGAGATATAATCTGTTCAAAAAGAACTGATGGGCAGAAAAGCTAAAATCACAAGAAAAATGAAAGTTGGCCAGTAGACCATTTGAGTGAAAATAATCAGAAAAGTAAATAATTGCAACATTGCAGTGAGTGTTTACTACAGGCCATCAAACCAGGATAACGTGGTGGATGATGCTTTTCTCAAAACACATTTCAGAACTCTCCAAGATTCGGAATTAAGTGGTCATGAGGAAATTCACCTACCCTGAAAGCATGCAGAGAACACTATAATGACATCTCTGATTAAAATCAGTTTAATCAATTAGTTTGATTCCACTTATATTTTATCATACCAAAAGTAGGCATATATCCCAAATTTCAGACCATCTTCAAATAGTGGTGATATTTGTTCCTCAAAGTTAACAAGTTTTTCACCCATGTCAAACAACAAGCGTGATTATATATTATCAATTTAGGAGACTCTTTCCTTCTCCTATCTTGTCATATAAGATACCTTATATACCTTATATCTAACCCTGGGTCTTTTTTCTTGCCAAATTAAGGTTGGTGAGTCTTTTTGCCATTGTTTGAATGGAGTGGCCAACACACATTTTGGTGCCTCATATATAGCCCTGTTTCTGGGTATATTTGACCTGCTAATTCCAAAAATGCTACTAGTTTCCCTCTATCAGCTCTGGTTTTTTAATACAAAAGATGTACCATCTACCAGTCACCATCCTGCTTGGCCACAAAAAATCAAGATATCCATATCTAGGAAATTAGAACTGATGCAACCTAGTCAATGAATCAATGCCCCCAAATAACCCCAGAAACAGACCTAAAAACCAAAACACAAAGAAAATAAAAAATCGGCTGTGTTGTGGTTAGGAAAGGTGTGGCAAAGTGCTGGGAAGGGTTAGAGCTGAGGGAAGCATGAAACTGTTCTTTTAGGATAAGCCATCTCACCACATGTATAAATGAATGAAATGCAGGCGACAGGTCACAAGCCAGGAGAGGGCTCTACATGTCCCTTCTGGCACGAGCACCATAGGTTTGCCATCACTGCTTTATTCTTTTAAGTCTTCCAGGGTAACTCTGTGGTAACTTCCAGCAGAAGTTAAATAAAAGTGTTATATAACTTTTCATGGTTTAGGTGTTCACTATTCATAGTTTCCAGTTTCCAAAATAGGTTTGGGACCAGTAAGGTAATGCGTAGCCAGTTGCCAGGTCTCCCACATAAAGGTTTGTGGCATTTGCCCTTATATTCATTCATCCTCCTTTTTCTTTTTGTTCCAAAGGCGAAGGAGTCATGGGAGATGAATACTGACGAGAAGTTGGAACAAGGTTCCATTGCAAAAGAAAAGGGTACCCAATATTTCAAAGTAGGTATAAGGTTGGATTTTATCCCTCCTTGGCAGATTTCTTTTAGTAGAAAATAATTATATTTTGGTATATTCCATACTTCTGTTAATTCTGCTGAAGCTGCAATGTGAGTGATTCTTGATTTCCTTCAGTGTTAGAGCATTGCTTCCAAAAATTATATGGGCAGAAAAAAACTAATTACTGCATTCTCACATAAAAATAGATCTATTAAACTGTGAGAGCTGGCTTCTAGGAAATTTAAGAAAACCTGGTTTTGATTTTATTAGCAAATATGTTAAAAGAATACATATGTCAGAATGCTTGCCCTTTTTTAAGGAACTTTGCCTCACAGCAAAAGGAAACAGTTAAAATGTTTTAACAAGACAAAACAAAACAGTCTTTTAACAAGACAAGGAGTGGTCCCTTTAATAACACCTTTTATTGACTATTCATTTTGAGAAAAATGTTCAGTTTTACTAGACACTTGTAAACGTTGTGTCTTCTAGTGCATGTGTGGGCATGGCGTAGGATTCTGCCAAGCAACAAGAAACGTCTGAAGAGCTTTTTAAAAAACCTTCACATGAAGGTTGAGTTATGAGTGTCATGCATGTACATAGTCATTATAAAGAATATATGACAGGCCCTTACACTTAAGGATATTCAATCTAGAGTAGATATAGTGAATCATTCATAAATTGAATTGATGATGAAATTAACTTTACCAGTTGTGGCTGTGGGCCCTAGACATAATTTGGCCTTTTAATACACACAATAATATAATCCATTGCCTTCCAGGAGGGGAAGTACAAACGAGCAACATTACAATATAAGAAGATTGTATCGTGGCTGGAGCATGAAACTGGACTCTCTGATGAGGAAGAGTTGAAAGCCAAGAGCCTCAGGCTGGCAGCACATCTTAACTTGGCCATGTGCCATCTGAAGTTAAAGGAATATACCCATGTCTTAGAAAACTGCAACAAGGTAAATTGCACTTTAGACATCAAAGGCATATATGAACTTCAACCAATAATGGTAATTCTGGGTGCTGCATAACTCTTACAAAACATGATAAAACTGTAGCTAAAACATACTATAGGAAGTCCTCAAGTTACAAACATCCAACTAACAAATGACTCATAGTTAAGAATAGAGGTGAGACAACAGGAAGTGAGAAAAATCTACCCCTAGGAAGGGAAATTTACTCCTGAAAAAGTTATTATCATGGGGAAAAGGTGTCTGCAATAAAGCTTCATCACCAATCCTTGCTTTTGCAACAAGCCACATTTTTCAAAATCCAATTTTCACAAAAAACAGAAACTGGGTGAAATCTTCTGAGCAGGGGCACACATAGCAAAACATACACCACAGGGATGTTAACACTTCCCTATGTTATCCAAAGCTTTTCTATATGCATGTATATTTGTTTGACTGGAGTTCCACTTAAAAATGTACCTGTTCAGACTTACATACAAATTCAATTTAAGAACGAACCTACAGAACCTATTTTGTTCGTAACTTGAGGACTGCCTGTATTACATTTTTTTTATAAATAATATCAATAGTATTTAAATTACATAGCTTAATTTTAAAAATGCATTTAAAGCATGATTAAAAAATAAAAACAGACACTTGCCTATTTTTAACTTTACTCTGCTATATTATTAAAATCTTGTTTGCTTGAATAGAAAGGTCTTAACTTGCTAATGGAAAGAGAGCACGCTAACAAACATGCTTGAGGACCAGCTACTGTCTTCAAAAACTGAACCTCTGAATGTGATGGGACTCAAAGGTTTTCCTGAAATCTGAGGCTTGAGGCAGTTTGCATGGGTTGATAAGAGTATTTTAGATAGTCTGGATCAAAACCATGTAGGACTTGAAAAACATTAAGGTTTGGACAAGGAAAAAGACTGGTACACAATGAGACTTTTTCAATAGAGGAATCATGTAATCCCTACAACCAGCTTGGTTGCAACACCTTGAACCTACTAGAGTTTACAAAGACAGAACCATGTAAAGCAAAATCCGAAATGCTATAATCAAGTTGCATATCATGATGTCAGAGCCAACATCTCAAGGAATACATGCAGCAGATGGATTAGTTTTAACTGCAAATTCACTTCTGGCTTTGCTGAAACCTGGGCATCCAGTCTGAGATTTGAGTCTAGGGGTATTCCTAGACTGTAAACCTGAGCTTCAGAATAAGTGCAACTGCAGTTAGAGTTCAAGCTGAATCTATATTCCCTCACTAGCCTTGCAACTTCTTTCCCATCTGGATTAAGTTTCAGTGTGTTCATCACCTACTTCTTTACTGATAGTGGACCAAAGATTTAGCGCAGGAAAAGCTTTGTCGAAGTTAGTTGGAAAAGCGAGATAGAGGTGTGTGTCATCAGCATACTAGTGATTTCGAATCACAAAACTCTGGATGACATTGTTCAGTGGTTTAATATATATTTGAAACAGATGAAGGAGCCCATTAAACCATAAAGCACCCCACAAAAGAGTGGCCAGGAAGCACTAGGACCACTGTAGAATAGTATCACCTTCTCCTTTCTGTCCTAGAGATGATGCCATTGCCGATAGAACTGAAAACCACGGAGGTCCAACAGGGAAACACTCCTCTTGTTTAGTTCTTGCATAAGCCATCCACAGCAGTGATCAAACCTTTCTTGGACCCATAGCGAGATCTAAAGTCAAATTGAAATGGATCTACACTATTTGTTTAACCAGGAACTCCTCTGGAGCTAGAGAGCCATGAGAGGCCATAGGTTACCTTGCCCAAGAAGAGAATATTAGAGATTGAGTGATGGTTGGCCTGTATGGTGAAGTTCAGGGAAATTTTATTGTGCTGCCCCTCAAGTCTTCACAAAGTATATGTTTTAGTGACTGCTTGACTTCGGTCACAGGGTCTCATCCTCCTCCTGTACATACATAACTCGCATCTCATTGCCCACTCCTGGAATCAATTGCTCCACAACATCAAGCCATATTGAATCTCCCGTGCAGCTTCAGACTTATTGATATCAAGGCCTGTTTTGTCCCCATGCAACCGATTGAATTCATTAGTGCTGTGAGCAATTCAATTCATCAAGCGTACTTTCTTCCCAAAAAGTTTGAGGAGCGCCACTTTTTGCTCCATGCATTGCAGAAGGATGAGAGCTCAACAAATCCAAGCTCTACCAGGGCACATAAAGTCTACTATGTCCATGATTCAATTCACAATGGCTATGATTATTCCAAGTGTTCCACAATTCCGATCACATTCCCTGATTCCCACCGCAATTTTTGGTGGTATCAATATCCATGCTTCAGTCTCTACAGTGGAAAACCAGGACCCAGGTCTGTGTAGGCGTTTTGTTTCATCTACCACAGTCATCAATATTGGTCACCGCAGACATATCTCTGCATGGCAATGGTCAACAAAGGACAATTCCACCACTGTCTTCAACAATGTGGTACTCAGTGCTGCAGGCTCCTGAATCTCATCATGAAGATCTAAAATTGATGCATAAACAATCATATATCCGGGTTGTTGTACGTTTTTCGGACTGTGTGGCCATGTTTCAGAAGCATTTGTCCTGATTTTTCATCTACATCTATAGCAGGCATCTTCAGAGGTTGTGAGGTCCTCAGAGGTTGTGACCTCACAACCTCTGAGGATGCCTGCCATAGATGCAGGCAAAATGTCAAGAGAAAATGATTCTGGAACATGCCCATACAGCACGAAAAACTTACAGCAACCCAGTGATTCTGGCCATGAAAGCCTTTGACAATCATATATATGTTCATAGCCAAACAGTCATAAGACCCAGAGCTTCTGTTGTGTGTTCCATCAATAAATCCTCTAAGCCAAGCGATTTGTTTTTTTCCACCCTTCACCGGGGAAACCAAAAACCAAAGGCAATAGGTTTGGCTTAGAGGATTTATTTTTGCAAGGCTACCGGCTTCAAAAACATTTCAGGGCATCCCCTGAGAAACAGCATGACCCAGGGTTTTCTTCAATACTACTAGCTAGGACCTGGAAGACATCGGTAAACTTCGGCACCTGTCTGCAAAGCAGCCAGTGGAGCTGCGGAGGCAGTGACCTTTGTGGCTCACTTATCAAGGTGGGGAGAGGCAGACAAGAGTGGGGAGTTCAACTCTGCTGCAGCCCTACATTGTTAAGGGGTTTTTACAAGCCTCCATGCATGGTCACAGTCTTACCAAGCTAGCAATCCCTTTGTAGGGGGGCAGCAGAGGTGGCACCACATAATCCGTAGATAAGCAAATTCACAAAAATAAAACTTGTAAAACTTGAGGGATGGTTGTTTTAGCTTTCAGAAAACATTAGAATTCTCCACACTGGTGAATCCTAGATTTATGTCTCATGTAGCAGAGTTTAGTGTCATATTGTTATGTCCCGTTGTTTTTGTGTGTCTTCAAGTTGTTTCTGACTTACGGCGATCTTGGGGTTTGTTGGCAGAATTCATTCCTAGGGTTTGTCCTTGCCTTCCTCTAAGGCTGAGAGGGTATGACTTGCCAATATTCACCTAGTGACTAGGAAGTTGAACCTTGGTCTCTGGTGTCCTCATCCAACACTTAAACCATTGCACCACACTTGTTCTCTTTCTGTCTTACACATTTCCTAATCAGAATCCTAAATGTTTCTTTTCACCTTATTTCACCTAATAGGCTCTCGAGCTGGACAACAGCAATGAGAAAGGTCTTTTCCGGCGTGGTGAAGCCCATCTGGCTGTTAATGACTTTGAGTTGGCGAGAGAAGATTTCCAGAAGGTGCTACAGCTCTACCCAAGTAACAAAGCGGCCAAAGCACAGCTAATGATCTGTCATCAAAAGATCCGTGAACAGCATGAGAGAGAGAAAAAGATGTATGCCAATATGTTCCAGAGGTTGGCAGACAAGGAGACAAAGGTAATTCCATATCTATTTTGTCTGGGGGGTGGGGGGAGGATTTTGCTTACCCCATTTGGTGGACACCATAAGACAAGGAATTAACTATTTAATACTGGGGTTCATAATGCAAACATTTTTGAGCTGCCCTTAGAAGATTGCTGTGCCCACAGCTCAGAAACTCTACTTTAAAATGCTGATAAGAATCAAGGGTTCTGCTGATCTGGTTTTTATCGTAATGCTTTTTCCACAGCTGGAAGCTGATACAGTCCGCAAAGAAGAGACAGAAATGAAAGATGACAAACAGAATGGAGTTGAAGAAAAAACAGAAGTTGATGTAGAAGCTTGAAGCTGTCATGCTGATCTGTTTTGTAAAATTGAAGAATTTCCAGTGAACTAGACCTTTATTTTTCTATCTGATTGAAATAAGGGACAGAGGCTGGGGTTATGGTGCTGCTTTGTGTCTGTCTATGTAGGAAACATTGGTGGCTGAACAGACCTGAGTAATCTTAGGGACTTTATTTATTCAATCATGAGTTCTGACTCTGTTATTGATCTTGGGAGTTCCATCAAGATTCCTTTTTAATTCCTTTTTCTTCTCTGACTGGCATCCCTCTCGGGTTCCTGCACAATCTAGTCCCAATTTCCATTCTGTTTACTCTTGAATAAAAGTCAAAGAATCAGCTTAGCTAAAAAAAAAAGTCACTGTATGAAAGACTTAACTAGTGTGTCCTTTCTCCTATTACAGCCTGGTCATGTCTTCTTTCCTCTGTCAATGCAGGCATGCTCCTTCCATGGAGATATTGTTGTCATCTTTCTTGTAATGCCTCTTCTTTTGCATATTACTGAAGATGAAGACTGCAGTCCAAAGCTTGAGCAATAAAGCACCAAAAAAATTGAGTCTGTGCCATGTTTAGCAAATGAGTATTTCCTTGTCAGCATCTTACCACTTGCTAGCTCACAAAGAGAACTTCGTATAGCACTTGCCACTGTGAATCCATAAGTACTTGTCCAAAGGGATTATACAGGCTTAAGACAGAGACACAGCTGTCCTATGATTCCACCTTATGCTGTGTAAGAAAGGTGTAATTTGCTGGGAATTTTACTCATTTTGAAAGGGACGTAAAATCACTTGGAAGCAGAAATAGTTTAGCACAGAAGGAAATCCATTAGTATATATAAAAAATAGTGTATATATCAATCAAATAAAATTGTACTGACAACACCTTGTATTGCCCTTAAAGAAGCCAGGGTGCATTCTGCTACAACAGACCGCATCCGTGAAGTTACTCTTTCTCAGGCAATCTAGACATAACTTAGCAAACAAGCATGCGGGCATGCTGCAGTGCTACCATGACCTCGCCAGTTCAAATTAGTGTGATATGCATAAGAATAGGATAGTAGCCGACATGCTTCAGAGCCTTGGGAGAGGTTGACTGCAAGCATGTCTGTCAAGCAAACGAGCTACTCGTTGATACAAAATACACTTAAATGCAGGAAAATAGTCACACATGCCTACTAAAACCTTCACCCAGCTCCATCGGTTCCTTGCATACATGCACAGAGAACCCACATGCTTCCAAAAGTCGAGGTCAAGGATCTGCAGAAATTTCTTTCCTCTCAGCAGGGATGTGGAAGGGTGACATGGAAAAGCAAAAACAAAAAATTAAATTGCATGTTGACAAGAGCATTTACTACAATGCAGGGAACAGAAGATTAACTTCCATATGTATTTATGGATATTTATGGACATATGATGTACCTATCATATGTCTCACTTGCAACAAGCATGCCAAAGTCCAAACAAGAAATTGGGAGCAGGCAGCACACTTCTTCCAAGGAACATTTGCCTCTTCCTCCAACAGATCACATTAAATAATTAAGAAAAGTGCTATTATCTGGGGGCTATCCGTTGATTGTGTTCCTAATGCCTGCAATTTGAGGTTTACTTACCAGGAGGTGATAATTGTTGAAATATAAACCATTCGATCTGCACTCTGTAGACAATGGGAAAAGATGTGGAAAACGGAAAGGGTAAATTGCATGGGATTGCTGGAAGCTGCAGAATAAAGTGAGTTTGTGCTCTCTGGGTTAAGACTGGTTGTTTGATCTGTTTGCAAGCTTGCTTGTGTGTTTTTAATATTTTAGAGCTATGTGCTCTTTTTGTTAAGTAATTTTTATCCTAGAAAAAAAAATAACAAGCAATTTGTTGAACATTAAAACTGCCAAAAAGTATATACTACCCACTACTACTGAACTACAGCTATTAAATATAACAAAATAGAAAAACAAGAACAAAAGACACACAAAAGCCAACAGACAAAAGATCTACAAATGTCCCACTTAATATCTTATGGTTATTATTCCTTGTTAGTCTACTCCGTTTCATCATTTCATCACACACTAAAGTAAAGGTAAAGGTTTCCCCTTGACATTAGTCATGTTCAACCCTGAGGGGTGGTCCTCATCCCCCATTTCTAAACCAAAGAGCCGGTGTTATCCATAGATGCCTCCAAGGTCATGTGGTTGGCATGACTGTATGGAGCACTGTTACCTTCCTACCGGAACGGTACCTATCAATCTACTCACATTTGCATGTTTTCGAGCTGCTAGGTTGGCAGAAGCTGGGGCTAACAGTGGGAGCTCACCCTGCTCCCTGGATTTGAACAGCCAACCTTTTGGTCAGCAGGTTCAGCAGCTCAGTGGTTTAACCCACTGTGCCACCAGAGGCTCCTCCACACTACTAATCCACAAATCTCACAACAGTTAAATAACCCCATGGTGGCTGTGAAAAGGCAGTGAACAAATCCCCTTCTTTCTTAGTTAGTCAAAGATTTTTCCTGAATTAGTCAATTTGCCCATCAGTTAATTTACAGATCTTCATCAGTCATTCTTGCATTGGAATAACCGATTCCTTCCATTTCTGAGCATATACGATTCCTGTTGCTGCTACTGAATAATATAGCATTCTTCCAAATAAAGCTGTCATGTTCCAGGGTTCTGCTGGGTAATGCAGGTAGAGTTTAACCAAAACAACATCCAGTTTGGACCACCAAACGTAGCGCCCAAACACGACTCAAGGGATATGAAAAGCACTGCAGACTGTTTAACTAGAGAAGTCAGCCATAGCAGAGCACCTGAAGAACCAACCTGGGTACAGAATAGAACACAGAAATGCTGGACCACTCTTAACAATTACCATGTCAGAGTACACAGAGAAGTCATTGAAATCCACAAGCACGTGGACAATTTCAACAGAAGGAAACCATGAAAATGAACAAAATCTGGCTACTAGTATTAAAAAATTCTAAAATCAGAACAGTAAATAAAGAGCAAGACTCAAAGAGCAGGGGAAATCCAGACAAGAATCAATCAGAGCCAGTTAACACCTCCCAACAAAGGATTCCCTCAGGCAGCAACCAGCCAGGGTTTGAAACTACAAGGCCATTTAATGCTAATCAACTTGGCTAATTGCAGCATTCACATGTCTCTCTAGCAAACAAGCATAATTTCCCCACCCTGGACATTCCATAGATATATAAACCTCACTTACTTAGTTTCCAACAGACCCCTCAACCTCCGAGGATGCCTGCCACAGATGTGGACGAAACGTCAGGAGCGAATGCTTCTGTATCATGGCCATACAGCCCGGAAAACTCACAGCAACCCAACATTAAGTTTGTGTCAAAAAGCATTTTATGTAAAGCAGTAACTTAAACACCTAGTCTCTTCAATGTCCGACTACAAAACATAAGAATAGCCCACAGCTGAAATTATAAAACAAAGTCCCAAGGTCCATGACACAAGCAAAATTCCCAAAATAATATTAAGTAATTCAGATAAACCAATGTCTATTATCCAGTAGCTTAACTGTATTTCATTCCAAGAAATCAGTTCACATTCGAACACAGGGTTTCAGGTTAACAAGCACACAACCACATCCAGGGTTCATAAAGGCACAAAACATGATACCAGGAACCTGCTCTTGGCATCAGAATCCACACTGGTAGGTCGGGAAGAGGAAGATAGCCAAAATTCACATTTGATATGACTTCTGAAGAGCAGTCTCTTGCAAAGCTCTTTTATGAAGCAGGTCACAGCTGCATCCCATGTCAGCAGGCCTCCCAAATGATCACTGCAGGTCAATCTGACCTCTTGCAAACAGGAGGGAGATTAACCCCTTTCAAACATTCCACAACAGCTATACTACAACCACTCAACTGCTGGTCATGACAAAACTCTGGTCCTATCTTAAATTTAACTTGAACAATTATCTATCAGTATCAAATGTTTTTGAGTCCAATATTTCTAAAATCAGAACAGTAAATAAAGAGCAAGACTCAAAGAGCAGGGGAAATCCAGACAAGAATCAATCAGAGCCAGTTAACACCTCCCAACAAAGGATTCCCTCAGGCAGCAACCAGCCAGGTACCACCACATATGATATAATGCCCCAACATTATGTTCACATTCCCAACATTTGTTAGAGCTGCTCTTATGTGTCTTGGGAAGTCTCTAATGTCAGATACAGATATCATTTGTACATTACCTTCTACTATTGTTCCTACTGGATTTGTGTACCTTTATTTAAAAAAATACTGAACCCATTTGTTCCGCTTACATTTCAAATTTTAATGGCAATGTTTTTGTAATCATATGGTCATCAGCTTAACACAGAATCAGTGGACAAAAATGACCAAATCTGGGGCCACTTGGAAGAATATGACACATTCTTAGGGGATATTAGCATCTTCTACACTACCACCCTATGCTTCTGCCAAATTCATGATTAAAAGTGACTGGGTTGGCCTGCTGGAAGAGAGAGATCTTCAGATGTGTTTCAATTCCGACAGCTCATTTAGCTATCGGATCTCTTCTGGCAGGTCATTCCAGTCATGGGACAGCCGATGAAAAGGTCCTCTGGGTGATGGTCGCCAGTCGGGTTCTGGAAGGCTGCAGTAGATGTCCCACAGAGGACCTACGTGTTTGGGCCTGATTGATCTACATTACAAACAACTCATAGTTACAAATGGGGGCGAGGTAACAGGAAATGAAAGAAAACGACCCCTTCAAAAGGGAAATTCACTCCTGAATAAGCTATTATTATGGGGCAAAGGGGTTTCCAGTGAAGCTTTCCCGCCAATCCTTGTTTCCACAACAAGAGAATTTTTCAAAATTCAATTAACATGGACAGAAATAAAATGTTCTGAACAGGGGCACAGGCAGCAAAACAAACCCCATAGGAGTGTTAACCCTTTCCTATGATATCCAAAGCTCTCTATCTCTAAAGTGTAACTCATATATATAGATATAGATATATAGATATATAGTGTTCCCTCAGATCTTGGGAGAAATGAAGCCAACCACTTGTTCTCTGATGGTTCTCCTGGACAACATGGCCAGTCCAGCGGAGTTGATGGCGGAGGACCATCGCTTCAGTGCTGGTGGTCTTTCCTTCTTCCAGCACGCTGACATTTGTCCGCCTGTCTTCCCAAGAGATTTGCAGYATTTTTTGGAGGCAGCGCTGATGGAAACGTTCCAGGAGTTGCATGTGATGTCTGTAGACTGTTCACGTCGCACAAGRGTATAGCAGGGTTGGGAAGACAATAGCTTTATAAACAAGCACCTTGGTATCCCTACGGATGTCCCGTTCCTCAAACACTCTCTGCTTCATTCGGGAAAATGCTGCACTCGCAGGGCTCAGGGGGTGTTGCATTTCGGTGTCGATGTTGACTTTGGTGGAGAGGTGGCTGCCAAGGTTTCTAATGCTAAACCATTAAGCTGTATCTCTGGCATTGGAGAGGGATTGGCTGGGGACTGCTGGAACAGCACTTTGGTTTTCTTAATGTTCAGTGACAGGCCGAGCTTCTCGTATGCTTCTGCAAAGGTGTTTAGAGTGGCTTGTAGATCTTCTTCTGAATGTGCACAGGCGACGTTGTCATACTGGAGTTCTCTAACAGATGTTGTTGTAACCTTGGTTTTGGCTTTCAGTCTGCTGAGGTTAAACAGCTTGCCATTTGTCCGATAGATGATTTCCACTCCGGTGGGAAGCTTCTCATCAACAAGGTGAAGTATCATAGTGATGAAGATGGAGAATATAGTTGGGGCAATAACACATCCCTGTTTGACACCCGATTCCACCTTAAATGGGTCACTTTGGGAGCCATTGCTGTCCAAAACTGTTGCCATCATGTCATAATGGAGGAGCCGCAGGATGTTCACAAATTTGTCAAGGCACCCGATTTTTTGAAGGATGGTCCAGAGAGCGCTGCAATTCACTGTCTAATGCAGGGGTCCTCAAACTAAGGCCCGGGGGCCGGATATGGCCCTCCAAGGTCATTTACCCAGCCCTCGCTCAGGGTCAACCTAAGTCTGAAACGACTTGAAAGCACACAACAACAACCCTATCTCATCAGTCAAAAGCAGGCCCACACTTCCCATTGAAATACTAATAAATTTATATTTGTTAAAATTGATCCTCATTTTAATTATTGTATTGTTTTAAAGTGGGGGGTTTTTTTGCACTACAAATAAGATATGTGCCGTGTGCATAGGAATTCATTCATGTTTTTTTTTCCAAATTATAATCCGGCCCTCCAACAGTTTGAGGGACTGTGACCTGGCCCTTTGCTTAAAAAGTTTGTGGACCTCTGGTCTAATGGCCTTGCATTAGACCTATGCCATGTACAGAGGTTGATTTTGTTCCCTGCATTTTTTCTTGGAGCTGTCCTATTTTATGGTATTTATTCTGTTAGCATCCTCTGATGTTCATGTGAGGTCGGGCTGAGTCCCCCTTGTGGGGAGAAGGGAGGGATATAAATCTATGAAATAAAATAAATAAATAAATAAATAAATAAAAAAACAAGGTTCTTGTGGGTTTTTTCGGGCTATAGAGCCATGTTCTAGAGGCATTTTTCCTGACGTTTCGCCTGCATCTATGGCAAGCATCCTCAGAGGTAGTGAGGTCTGTTGGAAATAGGAAAATAGGTTTATATATCTGTGGAATGGCTGGGGTGGGGCAAAGAGCTCTTCCCTGCTGGAGCTAGGTGTGAATGTTTCAACTGACCACCTTCATTAGCATTTGAAGGCCTGCCTGAGCCTGGGAAAATCTCTTGCTGGGAGGTGTTAATCTGTGCCTGGTTGTTTCCTCTCTGTTGTCTTGCTGTTGTAATTTTAGAGTTTTTTAATACTGGTAGCCAGATTTTGTTCATTTCCAGCCATGAAAGCCTTCGACAATACAATAAAAAAACAATGCAAACCCATTTTGGACCAGGGCAACGCAACCTGTCTAGGCCTCACCTCTTCTGTGAAGGGTTAATGAGAGACTGCAGGGTGTTTGGTCTCGCAGGCACAACTCACACTCGCAGCAGGACCATACTGTACTTTCTTTTTCCAAACCAAACCTCTCCCACAAGGTATGCAGAGCTGAGCACAGGCGGGCTCTTAGGCCCAAAACAGGGCGGGCCTGAGGCCTGCGAGGCCCTCCCTCCGCCTCCCTCAGCAACACGCGCGAAGGGGCGTCAAGGAAGGGGCCGGGCCTCCCTCCCTCGCTCCACTCCGCGAGGAGGCACCCGTGGGGCTGAGGGCGGCAAGGAAGGAAGGAGGCCCCTGATGGTGGGCGGCGGAGGAAGCATGCGCTCCGTCAGCTACGTGCAGCGGGTGGCGCTGGACTTCGGCGGGAGCCTCTTCCCGCACGCCGTCTGCCTCGGAGACGCCGACAACGACACGGTAGGCCCGGCCCTGCCTCCCTCCCTCGCTCCCTCATTGCTTTATGTTGGAAGAGGTCACAAGGGCCATTCAGTCCAATCCCATTCTCTTCCTGCAGTTCGTATACACCAGGCATGGACAAACTTGGGCCCTTCAGATGTTTTGGACTCCAACAATTCCTGTTCAGCTCCTATTCAGCTTGGATGCAGAACACATCATGTGATGTGCAGGGCTTGATGAATGCAAGGCTGGGGTTAAAATTGCTGGAGGAAACATTAACAAGTATAAACATAAACATTAAGATATGCAGATGATACCACTTTGATGGGTAATAGTATGAAAGCTGGGTCTGAAAGCTCTGAGTGTTAAGCTGTTTCCGCTTCACTCCTTCGGGAGCGCTGTTTGCACAACGCAGAACTTCAAGAATATTGTATTGTCGAAGGCTTTCATGGCTGGAATCACTAGGTTCTTGTAGGTTTTTTCGGGCTATAGGGCCATGTTCTAGAGGCATTTCTCCTGACGTTTCGCCTGCATCTATGGCAAGCATCCTCAGAGGTAGTGAGGTCTGTTGGAAATAGGAAAATGGGTTTATATATCTGTGGAATGACTGGGGTGGGGCAAAGAGCTCTCTGCTGGAGCTAGGTGTGAATGTTTCAGCTGACCACCTTCATTAATGTTTGAAGGCTAATGCTAATTCAACGCGTTCAGCCAAGCCTTCAAATGCTAATGAAGGTGGTCAGCTGAAACATTCACACCTAGCTTCAGCAGAGAGCTCTTTGCCCCACCCCAGTCATTCCACAGATATATAACCCATTTTCCTATTTCCAACAGACCTCACTACCTCTGAGGATGCTTGCCATAGATGCAGGCGAAACGTCAGGAGAAATGCCTCTAGAACATGGCCATATAGCCCGAAAAAACCTACAATAACCTAGCTTCAAGAATATTATTTTATCAATTTAACATATCGTTATTATCAGTATTATTATTTCTATCTTTCAATCCTCTTGCTTTCTAGTCAGTTTTCCTTCCTTTCCGTCCCTCCGTCCATCCCTCCTTCCTCGTCCTCTAAACTTCCTTCTTTTTTGAGATTTGTTATGTTTCTATTCTATTCTTATTTATCTTATTTATCTTCATTGGCCCGGCCCTGGTTTTATTGCGTAATAGTGTAATGTTTTGTTCTTGTTATTGCTTATGTTTTTAATTTGCTTTGCATTGTATTGAATATCAAGGCAGAAAATGGCACATTATCTGAGCGTGGACTCAGATAACCCAGTACATAGCAGATATTGTGGGATTTTCTGCTTTGATATTCTGGGATATAGGGTTGTGTGGAAGGGCCCAGAGATGCTGGCTTTTTAAGGAGAGATTTCACCAAAATCAAAGACTCATTTGAATTCATTGGACATTTTTATAAATGTCTTTAGCTGAAATGATTTTCCCATGAAATAAGAACTTTCTTACTGGGGAAAAAATGAATGAAAAGTTTACCATAGCTTTCTCATATGTCCTTTGTTGCCATATTCTGGCCACTCTGGCCAGAATGAAGGGGAGGGGGGGGGGCAGGGGACAGTTCCATCTTGTCTCCTGCGTATGTCATCAGTTGGGGACCCCTCCTCCCGGCACCAACTGCCGCTCTGGGACATAATGAAGAGAGAGAGGGGCAGAAGACAGTTCCACCTTGTCTCCTGTCCTATGCTAATAATATAATATAATATAATATAATATAATATAATATAATATAATATATTGTATATACATATAGTATTTATAATATTATAATGTAATGCAATATAATACTACTAATAATAATAATAATACGCTATTATAATTATATATTTATATTACATGTATTGTTACTAATAATATTGCAATAATGGTATAGTACAATATAGTAATATTTAATACTGTATTGTACTATGCTAATAATATAATATATTGTATGTATATGTATCTTGTAAGTCACTCATTTATAAGGGCGACATATAAATGTCATAAATAAATAAATACATTTATGTAGTTCTTGCCTAATGCATTTTATGCTATAACAACTGCACGGGCAAGGGACTCATTGGAGGCAGGATCAAATGTACAAGTAGTTAGCATAGATGTGCATATATCATCCTTGAGCAGTACATGCTTTTGTGAATTAAACTGAGTTGCTCTGTTTTTGCACTTACACAAATAGTAGGAATTCAAAACAGTTTTCTGCAAATACTACCACCAAATACATTACTATCCATAATTCATCATTACTAGTCAACCAGTCCAAATAGTATCATAACCTAATATTGGCTAATTTAAAGTTCTATTATGAAATAATGTCCCGTTCCACACAGCTGACTAAAATCCCACATTTTCTGCTTTGGACTGGAATATATGGCAGTGTGCACTAAGGGCCCTTCCATGCAGACATCTAACCCAGAATATCAAGGCAGAAAATCCCACATTTGCTGTTTTGAATTGGGTTATCTGAATCCACACTGCCATATATTCCAATTCAAAGCAGAAAATGTGGGATTTTATTCAGCTGTGTGGAAGGGGCCTTAGCCATAACAAGCCAAAAGTTGCTGTTTTCTAAATGTTCTTTACTTGTACTCTATAGTTGCCAATGTGTTTTAACTTTGTGATGTTTGTGTGTGTGGTAACTGAAAGAACACATAACTTGAACATAACAAATTTGCTAGCAATATGATTTTCTCTTCCAGCTAAATGAGCTCGTGGTGGGAGACACCAGTGGAAAACTATTTATATACAAGAATGATGAAAGCAAGCCTTGGAGTGTGCGCTCATGTCAAGGAATGGTCAGTAGAAACTGAAGTTTTTCATCTTGATTTTACAGTATTTCATACTTGTTGTTTACAAATTACAGCTGCCCCATATCTGTGTCCCTAATTCTGGGGAAATTAATAGTATTATTATCTGCTTTAGCACACAGACCTCAGTTGTGATACCAGATTATTACAGCACCCCTAGAGTTCAAAATATCCAGTTTATGGAATGGAGGATATAGTTTTTGATCCTTGTCTGCTCCTTACATTTTAACACTGCCTACTCCTTGTCCTCCATTTCTGAGAACAGGCATGTGATGTTATGAGTTTGCATTAAAATGTTTGACATAACATATGAAGTACCATAAGTAATTGTTGTGAGAGGGGAGGGAACAAGTCTTTAAATGGATGCTAATGGAGGAATGATTGGGGTGGGATTTGTATGGGACAGTTGGTGAGTGGCAGTTAAACTTGGAGCTTGGAGAAGAACGCAGCTGAAAATACGTAAAGGACTTGGAGTAAGGCTATGGTTGGAGTGAGAGAAAGCAGTTCGAGTTATATGATTTATAAGGGTCTGATTTAACCAGAGATGAGAAAGTGTGTTTCAAATGTTATATATAAATAACCTATTGTTCTATGTTTAATTCCTGTAATTTTTGTTTTCTTTTGTATATATATATATTTGGCCTCTGAAATCACTATCTTCCTGAGAGCTTGGTTTCAGACAAAGTATCTGTGGTGGCAGCATTGAAGTTGGGAGAGCCCCACACAGCTGTGTGTGCCTGAAAGGTGCTCCTCTTCATGGGAGAACACAGTTGCCCACCAGGTCCTCCAGCCAAGAGGAGACTTGACGTGTGGCTGTGTGAGGTTCTTGGGAAATCCCCGCACAGCCATGTGTACTTGCAGGACGTTCCTCTTTGCGAGAGGACACAACAGCCTGCTATGTCCTCCCACAAAGAAGAGGGCTCACATGCATCTGGGTGAGACTCTTTAGGAGGGCTCCACAGAGCTGTGTGTGCTTCAGGATGCTCCTCTTCACGAGAGAACATGGCGGCCCACCATGTCCTCCTGCAAAGAGGATGGTTTGACATGTGGCTTCACAGAACTCTCAGGGGAGCTCTGCATAGCCACATGTGATTGGGAGGGCTGGAGCTGTGGCCAGAGCTATACCAGGTCAGGGCTGGAATCAAGAGTCCAAAGGGATGCATCTGGCCCATGGGCCTGGATTTGCACATGCCTGATTTAGACTGATACTACAAGCGGTGTCACACAAGAGAGGCAGGAAGATACAGAGTTGCAGAACAAGGAAACCATCATTTTGAGTACTTGCAATGAACACTATGGAGGGCTTCCTGTTTGATGAGTGAAGCATTTGGCCACAGTGGTGTCATTTTCCTGAGCTGATATCAACACATTTGTTGTATACTGTGTTGGATAAAGGGTTGGAGTTCCATATTTTTAGAAATGAAAGATTTCTCTGGTTTGCTCACAATACAAATTGGGAGTAATTTCTTGTCTCATAATATTTACTGTGGGCTATTTGTTTATCTTCTGATAATGCCAAACACATCTTGGCTTTCTTATCACATTGTTATAGGCACTTTGAGGATTGCAGAATTTGAACATATTATACTCCTTGTCAAGGCCTTAACCCTCGTGGCCACTTTTGTTTTGTTATAAGTGTTGAAGAGATACTGTATTTTGAGAAGGGTCTCCTATGCACTGTGATATAGTTTCTTGGTAAGCACATCAGTACCAGGAGCAAGAATATTTGAATGTCAATCAGTATTTTGCTTACTCATTAGCTGTTCATCTGGATCAGCCTTTGTGGTTTATGGTTCTGAAGAAAATGAATTTATTTAAGATAAAGCCCGTTGTTGTATTTTATTTATCTATTTGCATTAGCACTGATGTACTTCCATATTTAGATTTAAACTATTCACATTAATCAAATGTATTATTTTTTCCTCCAGCTTACCTGTGTTGGTGTTGGAGATGTGTGCAATAAAGGAAAGGTAATTGTTTAAAAAAGAAATCTTCAACTTGCATTTATGTTATCTGTCTTTGCTTTGCTGTTCATTCATTCAGTCGTTTCCGACTGTTCGTGACCTCATGGACCAACCCATGCCAGAGCTCCCTGTCGGCCGTCACTGCCCCCAGCTCCTTCAGGGTCAATGCAGTCACTTCAAGGATACCATCCATCCATCTTGCCCTTGGTCGGCCCCTCTTCCTTTTTCCATCCATTTTCCCCAGCATAATTGTCTTCTCTAAGCTTTCCTGTCTTCTCATGATGTGGCCAAAGTACTTCATCTTGTCTTTCTTTGCTACTATTGCATAATATAACCTCCAACTATTCAGTTTTACATATCATGAAATAATGTTCACTACCATGCTATGGTAGTTCTAACATTCAATACATGCTGTTTCTGCTCCATATTTGCTGAGTCACTGATTCTTACATATATTGGTAGACTTCTTGTTTCATCTATTTATGAAATCTGGTCTTTTTTTTTGTACACATGGAGAAAATCCACATGTATTGACTCATATGTATTGACTCATCATCTCCAGTCTTCCAAAAATCATGTTTCTTTTGCACCCTCTCAGCAATTTTTAGATCTTTAATTCATCTTGTATCAACTATTTCCAGATTTTTCAAAGCCATGGAAGGGAGGGGATACTTTTGTTTGTTTTTATAATATTTTATGTGGTTCCCATTGTTTACATTTTTAATGATTTTTTCTATTTTTTTAAATGGACATTTTCAAATGTACCATTCTGGGAAAAGGTTAGCATACAAATTTAATGCATAAATTAATTTGTTGACATATAACCAAAGAGTTGGAAGAGACCACAAGGGCCATTCAGTCCAGTCCTTTCCTATGCAGGAACACACAATCAAAGCACCCCGACAGATAGCCATCTAGCCCCTGTTTAAAAGCCACCTAATACAGCCATTTCTCACATGGAAGGAAAGGGAAAAGAAATCTCTGGAAAGTTCTGCCCAGATGTCTAAGGCACGGATGTCAAACCCATTTTCATTGAGGGCTACATCAGCCTTATGGTTGTTTTCAAGGGACTGTTGAATTTGTAGCTCTAGTCATGATGTCTAATTATAAGAAATACAGGAGTTTTATTCCAGCATTTGGGAGGTCACATAAATTGAAATGATGGGCTGGATTTGGACTGCAGACTAGGTAGAACTAAGAACTGCTAAAGGTTTTCCTTTTACTATCGTGGAGATACTAAAGCAATGGCCCTCATTTTCCCACTAGAGGGTCATATTTATGCACCTTGGATATTAGGTTTCCACTTTGAAAATGAGACTACCTAAAATACAAGTTGCAACAAACCCATCCTTTTAACTCAGTGGTTCTCATCCTGTGGGTCTCCAGATGTTTTGGCCTACAACTCCCAGAAATCCCAGCCAGTTTACCAGCTGCTGTCTGGGGACCCACAAGTTGAGAAACACTATTTTAACTGATAAATTCTACAACAACGTGCATATATGCTACCAAATGGATAGTAGTTCAAGACTCCTCAGAAGGAGAGGTGTAGCTCAGTTTCATATTCCCCTGAGTTGGAAGTTTAGAGAGTTGCTCATGGTTTTTACAGTACCTTTTCCAGGATAGTACGCATGTCCTCCATGTTATAACTGCCATGTCTGTCATACTGATCAGGAATCCTTTCTACCAGAACTTAGTTGTTGCAGTGAGTGCTGAAGGCTGGTTCCATCTCTTTGACCTGACTCCACACTCAAAGCACCTGGATACCTTGGGTTACCATGAGCTCCCAGCAGCCGATGACCCAAAACTGGGATTCAAACAGCACATTCCCGCCAACACCAAAGTTATGCTGATCAGTGACATTGGTGAGTAGAAGCACATGTGGAGTGGAAGATGCTTCACAGAAGAGAAAATTTGGTGTCAGTGTGTGGGCATGAAGAAGAAGAAGATGAATGCAGTTCATCTTCTTCCTCAGATCTTCAGTTTTCAGAGCTAGAAAAGGATAAAAAATGTAAAGTCAAACTTTTGGCCATCCCAAGCAATTATGCAAATTGAAATTATATGATAGCATGTTTAGTTTTTAATTGATGAATCACCTGTATTCTGTTTGCTTAATTGTCATATAAATGTTAATGTTTTAAATTACATGTACTGTTGGCTTCCATTTTATGTCTCAAAATAAGAGGAAATCTCTCCTGATGCTTTGATTAAAAACAATATTTTAAGCATTAAAATAATGCTGCTGTAGATCACCTTGTATGCTCTTTCAGTCAGTTCTTTTTGTATCTTCTATGAAAGGCGTAACACACACATTTGCAATGTTGTTCGTTGCTGTTGTCCACCTTCAAGTCATTTTTGATTTATGGGGAACTGTAAGGCAGCAAAAATATGATCAGAAACAAGTGCTATTTTGCTCAATAACTGAACTCAACATATGCTGGACCATTTTCCAACTCAGTAGGAAAAACTATCACATGGTTCCTAAGAATAGATTGAAAACTGTTTATTGTACGATGACAATGCTTTCATTGGCATTTTTTACCATTTTAGTTCCTTAATTTCAGTAGATGTTGTATTCAAATCTGAAGTGTGACTAATTGTACAGCTTTTGTATATTAGGAATGATCTCCTTTTGATTCCCTTTCAATTGTCATATCAAATGGAATTATGGCTCTTCTCTGTGGTCTCTGTGACTCAAACACACAAGTGGGTTATTGCCACAAAGTACCTTTTTCATATATATATTTTTTAAGTTCTGTGTTATATTATCACACCAGAACCAGCCTAGCCTGAATATAAACAATCGTATCACTATGTAGATCTGTTAGCTAAAATAGGCCAACCATAGAAGTGTGCTGTAATCATTCTGAGAGAGCAAGTTGAATCCATTTTTCATTTTCCACTACGTGCTTTCTCTTTTCTCTGAAGACAAAAGTTTTGTTTTCTCGACAGATGGAGATGGAAAAAGCGAATTGGTGGTAGGTTATACAGATCGTGTGGTGCGGGCCTTTCGCTGGGAGGAGTCATCTGAGAGTTCAGAGCATATATGTGGACAGCTGGTGCTACTCAAAAAGTGGCTGCTGGAGGGACAGGTAGGAAATGCCTTTATAGATACTGGTGTAAGAGAACACACCTCAGGAACAAGGAATTTAAGGGGGATGAGAGAAGGCGAGAGTGATGTATATAGTTTCTGCCCCATAGTTTCTGCTCCCTATACATTAAATTTTGGCAGATTTTAAATGAATCATACTGATCTTCTATGCAGCTGAGCCTTATTCATGTACTGTACTTATTACCCTACCACAAGAAAATTTATTGATAATACTAGCCATCCCGCCACGCGTTGCTGTGGCCCAGTCTGTGTATATGTGTTTTGTGTGTGTATATATGTGTTCATATATTTGTGTATATGTGGTTTTATGCATGCGTTGTAATGTATTTTTAATTTTTTTGCTTTTTAAGTCTCTTCCGCTGTGTTTTTCAGTGTTTTTATGAGTGATTGCCACTCCTTCGCCTGATAGGTGTATTGTGTCCAAATTTGGTGTCAATTCGTTCAGTGGTTTTTGAGTTATGTTAATCCCACAAACAAACATTACATTTTTATTTATATAGATAATAAGTGCAACTAAGTAATTATGCCGGTTACTAGTATGCCCTCCCATCACATCCCTTAATTTTCAGCAACAATTATATACAAATTAGATTATTCACTTTCCCCTGAATTATTCTTCTCACGTCAACACTACCTGTGGAGTCCAGAAACTAAATAGCAGGAATTTGAAAATGAAGAAGAGAAAGTCAAGACAAGTAAAACACTTCTGGACTTGAGAGGTGAAGGGCAGAAGAGAAGTCGTTGGATTAGAAGATTATTATTATTTATTTCATATATTTATATCGTGCCCTTCTCCCCACAAGGGGGCCACACATGAGCATCAGAGGATGCTAACAGCATAAATATAATAAAAATTACAATTTACAATAAAATCATTTTAGAACATTATACTACATCATCCATAAAATTTAACAATGAATTAATAGATTAACGTGCCAGTAAAACTAAGCCAAGCTGGGAGAATCCGTATCACAAAATCCAAATTTCCTTTTCCTGTTGCCACTGGCCTCTAATCGAATGCCTGGCCCCAGAGCCAGGTCTTCAGTTGTCTTCTAAAGGACAGGAGGGAGGTGGCCAACCTGATATCCTTAGGGAGAGAGTTCCACAGACAATTCAGCAACAATTATATACAAATTAGATTATTCACTTTCCCCTGAATTATTCTTCTCACGTCAACACTACCTGTGTTGGGGGACCACTGCCGAGAAGGCCCTGTCTCTTGTCCCCATTAACTCTGTTTGCGAGAGTGGTGGGATCGAGAGCAGGGCCTCTCCTGATGATCTTAAGCTTCGGGATGGTTCATAGCAGGAGATATGTTCGGACATGTAATCTGGGCCAGAACCAGATGAATCCAGGTGACACACAGGTGCAATTAGTTGAGAATAACAATCCATTTAATTGACTGATTGGTTTTGTTCCCTTTTTTTCTCATGGGTAAATCTCACCTCTCTCAGGTGGATAGCCTCTCTGTAAATCCAGGCTCCGATTGTGCTCCTGAGATGATGGTGTCACAGCCTGGATGTGGTTATGCAATACTCCTCTGTACTTGGAAAGGACAGAAGCAGCCTCCAATAGAAAGGACAGACAGTTCTGCAACTAGCAGGTGAAATTTCCAGGACCAAGTGGGACATATTGATATAGTCTAATAATGGACATCACTCATATTTATTTATCTGTGGCTCAACCTTCTATTAATGTTTTGGGTGGAGACTGAACATGGTGAAGCATGTAAATCCAGATCCCCCCCCCCCGCCACCCCTCCAAAAAAAACCCAACAACAATCAAGAGTAATTGTTCAACATGTTTCTGACTAATCTAGCATCTTCAAAACATTGATGGCTGAATGTGAGCTTGTGGGCCTCCAGCTTTGGTTTATAACTCCCATTATCCTTAGCCAGTATAATTAGTAGCTGTGAAATTATGGGACTTACTATTCAACATCTGGAAACCCATAAATCGCTCCCCCATGCATAGGATGAGCTCATCTACACAGTCAAAGAGATCAAATCAAGTCAGAACATTGCTGCTTCAGACTGGCCTTGGATTCTGGGGAGCTGTTTACATTCCCCACCTGCAATCCGCAGCAGAATCCACACTGTCGAGTTGAACTAGCCTGGTTCAATCCTGCTGGATGGTCACCCTTTCCTGGAGTGTTATTCCTGTCACTATGGCAGTTGGAGCAGCATGCCTTTGCTCCCATCAGCAGAGTTCCCAGCAATGGCCAGGAGAAAATGGAATATGGGACCAGTGGTGACAAACCCTGAGATTAAAGAAGTAGAACCTCCATTCTGTAAGCCTGTGGGTCCATACAACAGGGACTCTTCCTCCAATTGTTTTCCTATGAAGGGAGATGAGGCAGGAGAGAAGCCCTAGTCACTTTGATTTGCTCTCATGTCATGCATGTAGGAAACATTGGGGAGAAATAAAGCCAAGTATTTAGTTTGGAATTCAAAAACTTCTTTGTCTTGACATTTGGACTCCATTTGAAGTGCTGGAAGAGCTCACTTTAATCTCGCCTGGGAATAACACTAGCTGAACAAGTTCCAGCTAACATTTTGTCAATGTCCTGTTGACATCCAGCCCACAGAGGAACTTAGGGGATGGGTAGAGAAAGGAATTCATGCTCTGGCCTGGTTAGATAGAACAGAACTTTATGCTCACCAGCTCTTAATCCTTTTTTAGTGCTTTTTAGTGTTTTTCTACTCTTCCCTCATTTTACAGTTATTCTGCAGACCCAGGGCCTTTCCACACAGCCATATAACCCAGAATATCAAGACAGAAAATCCCACAATATCTGCTTTGAACTGGGCTATCTGAGTCCACACTGTCATATATTCCAGTTGAAAGCAGATAATGTGGGATTTTATTCAGCTGTGTGGAAGGGGTCCCACATTGTTACTTCTGCCAGTTGCCACCCTCAGGAGAATTTGAAATGCAAAGACATTGCTCTTGTTGTGACTAGATTCCTTCCACTTCTTCAGGCTGTGCTTTCTTCTAGGGACTCTCCAGTCCGCGATGTCATCCTCCACCAGACATCAGGTCGAATTCACAACAAGAATGTTTCCACCCACCTCGTTGGCAATATTGGCAGAGGTAAGTGCTGGGGTTTCTGAACTTGGAAAATGGGAGGAAATAAAAAGAGAAGAGGAATACCTTGGGGAGAGATACTACTACTACTACTACTACTACTAATAATAATAATAATACTTCATTTATACCCCGCCTCCATCTCCCCAAGGGACTTGGAGCGGCTTACATGAGGCCAAGCCCAACAACATATCAATAAACAAGAAAGCAATAAACAAAAAATAACAACAATACAATTAAATAAATCACATATAAACATTAACGTGCAAGGATTTAAAAACCTATGGCCGGGCCAGATGTAATAGTTAAAAATTAAAAAATAAATGCTGGGCATGAACAAGGTAGGATATATCTAATAGGTTTTTAAAGAAGTGAGGGGAGCGCAATCTAAGCGGATAGTTAAAGTGCATTTGAGGACATTTTGCTGGGAATTATTTCCTTATTCCGGAAAGGCACACTGGAACAGCCACGTTTTCAGGCTCCTCCTAAAGACTGCCAATGTTGAGGCATGCCTGATATCCCTGGGAAGTGAGTTCCAGAATCGGGGGGCCACCACCGAGAAGGCCCTCTCCCTTGTCCCCACCAATCGTGCCTGCAAGGGAGGCGGGAGCGAGAGCAGGGCCTCTCCAAATGAACGAAGAGACCGTGTGGGTTTGTATACGGAAAAGCCTTGGAAATTATTATGCAGTTTGGTTCCTGTTTCCAAACTTGCTTTCATCCAAATCTAATTTCACTTTACTCTGTTTGCTTTCTACCCAGTACACAATTGCAGTCCCACTTCTTCTGTGTTCAATCTGCCATTTGGTCTGTGGCCACTCTCCCAGGTTCAGCTTCAGAAAATGACCAATTTTTATGGGAGAGATAGAAAACTTTCTTTTTGTTCAATTGGCAATCCCAGAAACATTTTATCATATGCTTTCTCCCAGAACGAGTGGTTTCAGCCCCCTGAATGATTGGTTCCCTCTTGATACAACTTTTCCAAGGTGTACAGCTTACTTTTTGCACTGTGATGATTAACTGGCTTATTTCCTACATTTATGCCCTGTGTTGACCACTCTTTAGTCACAGTCTGATAGAACACAAAGGAAGCAGTATGGGTGGAATTAATCAGAATGATTTCTAGCCTTCATGGATTTGTATGCAACAGGCTCTGAACATCCTTCCAATTTCCGAAAAGCCTAATTACATATTTTGAGACTCAGATATTCTCTGGCTTCTCCACACAACCCATGCCTCTCCCCATACTAACAAAAAGCATCTTCAGTTTTTCATGTTGGGGGAATATTAGCTATCAGAAGTTTGAGAAGTATAGGTGTACTTATCCTACACAATTGGACTGCTTCTAATGTATATATTTATCTTTTTGCCCATGTAATTGAGGGAAATATTTCCTTTATTTTAAAAAAAACCTTACAATTTCCTAACCTGATTATTGGGAGTCCCAGAAATTTATTAATTCACATTTATTGAATAAAATTCATTAAAAAAAACACATGAAGCCTTGAGTTCAGTTTCAAAATAAAATTCCACAGGAAAATGGAAATTAATTGAACTGTGGAAAGAGAGGCCTTTTTCAAGATTGATGAATTGCCCAATAGGAGTTTTCTGAAAAATAATACGTGGGATTTAGTAAATTTAAGAATAAAAGATCAGTCAGAGGTCATAACCGAATAATATACTGAATTTCAGTTTTGATCCTGCTGCTTTCCAACTCCTGTCTTCTTGTATTCTAGGATATTCCAAAGAGAACAGTGGTGCCGGTCTATTTGCACTCTGCACTTTGGATGGTAAGCCATACTGATATCCTAAAGAGAATGGAATGGGAAGAATACTCTAGGTTGAGAGACGAAAGCAGGATATTAGTAAACAAAATCCTCACTCTCATTATCATCTGGATCAACTTCTGGCAGAAGATGACCATAAAATCAAACTGGAAGGCTTAGCAATGACTTATCTAGAGAAGTGTTCTCTTATGTGACAAATAGAGTGTTCACTATTTTTATAAATACGTTTTCTGCTTTCATAGGAATCCTGCTCCCCTACAGACATGAAAATGGGGGGCTGACTATATTTGGAAATAGGCGACTGTCTTGCTATTTAATGTTCTCTTTCTCCTGCAGGGACACTGAAACTTATGGAAGGGGCAGACAAGCTGTTGTGGTCAGTGCAGGTTGACCACCAACTTTTTGCTCTAGAAAAACTGGATGTCACGGTGAGTTCTGTTGAGTTACATTGTTTCGAATAGGTATTTGTATTCAGCAGTGGACTCTGCCTCGGAGTGTGGTGGAAGCTTCTTGTTTGACTTTTAAACAGTGGCTAGATGGCCATCTGTCGCGGGTACTTTGTGCTTTTCCTGCATGGCAAGGGGTTGGACTAGATGGCCCATGTACACTCTTCCAACTCTGTAATTCAATGAACCTGGAAAGTTTTTGAAAGAATGGACCTTATAGATAAATTAAGCTTTCTCTTCTTGTGATGACACTGTTTTAATACATTATGAACTAAATGTAGTAGTAACGGGAGATTTTGGCTCTCCTGATGTTTGTTGAAAGAAAAGCTCTGTCAAGGTCCAACAAATTCCACTCTTGCCTTGTGGAATAATTAATGGTCCAGAAGGTAGAATAAATAACAAGAGGATCCGTTGATTTACATCTGATCCTAATCAACAGTGATGACTTGGTTAATGGGGTGGAAGAAGCAGGTTCCTTAGGTTCTTCTCGAGTTTGTTATACAGCAGAAAAGTGAGGCCTAGCCTTGTCAGACACACATTTTAGATTTTAAGAAGACTGTTTTCAGAAGACTTAGGGAAAAACTGAGTGTGAGTCTATGCTCAGTAATACTAAAAAATAAAGGAGTTAATGAATGATAGGAGTTTCCAAAAGGTGAGATATTGGAGCTGTTTGATGTTTGACAGTGGAGTTGGATGTTGTCTCTGTCTCTGGAGATTTTTTAGGAGAGACTTGATGGCCATCTGTTAGGAGTTGAAGCGCTGCCACCACTTGATATGAAGCAGACAACCCAGGAAATATTTATTTATTTCATATATTTATTTATTTCATATTCTTGTACCTCGCTTTTCTCATCCCTGAGGGGGGACTCAGGACAGCCTCACAGCAAACACCATTCGGTGCCATCATAATGATAAGAACAATCAACAAATTCATTAAAACAAAACATTAAATAAACAGTTGTTAAAACACACCAATTAAAATCCGGGTCCAGGTCAATTCATTGTCACTTCGAAATTGCTTATGTCTTCTTCATACAAGGCACTGTTCAATAGTCAAATGCAAGGTCCCACAGCCAAGTCTTGAGTTTCCTTCAAAAGGACAGGAGGGAGCTGGCCAGTCTGATGTCTTTGGGGAGGGAATTACACAGATAGGGAGCCACTGTTGAGAAGGCCCTGTCTCTCATCTCCACCAATTGCGTTTGCAACGGCAATGGGATCAAGAGCAGGGCCTCTCCAGATCATCTTAAACTTCATGATGATTCATAGTAGGAGATATGTTCGGACATGTAGTCTGGGCCAGAAGCGTTTAGAGCTTAGAACTAGCACTTTGAATTGTGCTCGGAAGCAGATCAGCAACCAGTGGAGCTGGCGTAACAGAGGAGTTGTATGCTCCCTGTACACCGCTCCGGTGAGCAACCTGGCTGCTGAACACTGGACTAATTGAAGCTTCCAGGCAGTCTTCAAAGGCAGCCCCATGTAGAATGCATTGTAGTAGTCTAATTAGGATGTAACAAGAGCGTGGACCACCATGACCAAGTCAGACTTCCCAAGGTATGGGCGCAGTGGTGTACAAGTTTTAATTGTGCAAAAGCTCTCCCGGCCACCGCCAAGACCTGGGTTTATAGGCAGAAATGTTCAGGCTGCCGCCAGTTAATATGTAGCGCTGCTGCCAATTAATATGAAGCTGCCACCAATTGAAACTATATATGTATAACAACCAGAGCTGTCAGGGGAAGGTTTTAAAATGTAGCTGTAAGTAACCTGACCTTGGCTGAGCAATCTCTTTATTAAAGTTTGTGTGCTTGAGAGATATTTGTATTTACTGGTGTGAGGCTTGTCTTTATTTATATTTCACTTAACACAAGTATTCCATTACCATAGCTTAGTTCTTTTCTTCGGAATCTTCAGCCGCTTTCCTTGAGGTAAATTTGCTCCTCAATAATTAGACACACAAATCTTTATTAATAGTGAACTGAACAAGAAAATGTTTATTTCAAGAACTCTTAGGCAGTATAATTCTTTCTGATTACTTCATATACTTAGCGAGGTTACAATTAACTATAATATCATGAAATATTGTAAGAATTTCTATATAGGGTCCAGGTTGGCTTATTTTCCTGTCAAGCAGTCTTTAATAACTTGCTGATATCTTAAAAATGTTACTCTTGTCTCAGTCTTTCAACTGGGTAAATATAATCCTATCGCTTCTTCACCTAAGTGATAGGTTAAGTGTAAATTTTGACTCCTAAAATACACTTTACCCTCAGCTTCCACAACGCAGGCACTGTTTTGCCCTTCATATACTTCAGTTCTCTCACTGAAAGTATAGACTATTTTTTGGAATTCCTTTCCCTTCACTCACAAGTTATTTTCTAATTCTAAATAGGCCCACTCGACCCTTTAAACCAGGGGTCCTCAGACTTTTTGAACAGAGGGTCAGGTCACAGTCCCTCAAATTGTTGGAGGGCCGGATTGTAATTTGAAAAAAAATGAATGCATTTCTATGAATACTGCACATATCTTATTTGTAGTGCAAAAAACACTTAAAAACAATACAATAATTAAAATGAAGAACAATGTTAGGAAATATAAACTTGTTAGTATTTCAATGGGAAGTGTGGGCCTGCTTTTGGCTGGTGAGATAAGGTTGTTGTTGTTGTGCTTTCAAGTCATTTCAGACTTAGGTTTACCCTGAGCGAGGGCCAGGTAAATGACCTTGGAGGGCCGTATCTGGCCCCCAGACCTTAGTTTGAGGACCCCTGCTTTAAACTAAGCAGGCTGAAGGCTAAACACACTTGGCTTGGCTTTCCACTCACCAGAGCCACCTTTTTCCTTTGACTCCCGGTCAAAGACTGAATTTTTAAAATGTTTTCTCTCCACCAGTGGCAGTTAGTTCCGCCCCTTTTGCTTCTGCCTTGAGGCCTACGTCGCTATGGCAACGTAGCCAACCAACAGCTACTTTTCAAACTGGCCTGCTTGTACTACATATCACTCAATAATAAATTTATTAAAACTCTTATAAAACTAAGTAATTTGTTACAGGAGTGCTCTGATTATGCATTCCTATATGGCAGGGGATTGGTCTGGATGGTCCTTGTAGTCTCTTCCAACTCTATGATTCTTTGAATTTATTCCACTGTTCCTTCCAAAAACGTGTATTTTCACAACAACCCAGAAAAATTTTTACCCAGTCACTGATCAAATTGCAAGCTGTTTAACACTTTTAAGAGATAGTATATTCCTGAATAATGATTTCAGGAAGCAAAAGAGCTGCAGATATGGCCCTATAGTTGACACATTTTTTTTTTAATTATAAGTTTTGAACTCTTCCAGGCAAATGGACATGAGGAGGTTATTGCGTGTGCTTGGGATGGACAAACTTATATCATAGATCACAACAGGACCGTGGCTAGGTTTCAGGTTGATGAAAATGTGAGCGCCTTCTGTGCAGGTGAGCTATTTCGTTCTTATTCCATCAAAGGAAACTGAATATTTGAGAATTCAAAATCATTGATAAGTAAACAGTAAATGTAACTCATTGTCCTATGTGATGGAAAAAGGCTTATTTTGTTCATTGGCAGAATATATGTGCTATTAATTCAATAGACTCCTAGTTCATTTTGTTGCATTTCTAATTCAAGAAACTCTGATAGTAAGGCTCAGCAAAACGATGCCTAATATCTCTAAAGCAGTGGTTTTCAATCTGTGGGTCCCCAGGTGTTTTGGCCTACATCTCCCAGAAATCCCAGCCAGTTTACCAGCTGTTAGGATTTCTGGGAGTTGAAGACCAAACATCTGGGGATCCCCAGGTTGGGAACCACTGGTCTAAAGTAATTGTTGGGTAAAATATAATCTGTTTCTTGGCACAATTCAAAATGCTGGTTGTGTTCTATTAAACCCGGCAGAACTTGGGTCCATGTTATCGGAAAGATTCTTAGTAATTCTTAATCATTGCAGCTTGGAACTTCTTACCAAGTGAAACCAGACCGCTCCCATTTTTCCCAATAGACAAAGACATTTTAATTGATATTTTCTAGGCTTAGGCTGTTGACTAACTTCTGGTGAAGGGGCTTGTTATTGAGTTGGGTGCTGTATATTTCCTTGGGCATATTATCCACTTACGCTTTTAATTGTTTTTAACTGAGCATTTAATTTAACTCGCTTTTAATAGTTAATTAGTTTCATGTTCTTTTATTTAATATTACAGTTACTTGAGTTGCATGTTTGAAAGAAAGAATGGATGTCAACCTAATAAATAAATTAATGACACAATTCAAAGTTGCACTGATTTAACCTTCTCTACTGACATTGTATATTAACAGAGCCGACCACTAAAATCAGAAATATCATCTGAAAATTTGCAAAACTTTGCTCTCAGACTAAAAACATCTCAACTATTATTTATTTATGTATATATTTATGACATTTATAGCCACCCTTCTTACCCAGACGGGGACTCAGAGCGGCTTACAAGTAATATGTAAATACAATATATTATATTATTAGCATAATAATAATAATAAATAATAATAAACTTAATTTATACCCCGCTACCATCTCCCCAAAGGCTACTCGGGTTGGCTTACATGAGGCCACGCCCATCAATACAAAAACACAGTATAACACAAAAACACAACAGAAAATCAGAAAATAACATAGCATACCAAAATACCAAATGTAAATATACAGCTCAACAATATAAAATCAAAACATAAACAATTAAAATTGAACACAATGGGCAGGGCCAGTTCAAAGATTAAAATTTTAAAACACTGGGAGATAGGACAGTGTAAAATATCAGGAAGGGGATAGCACAATATTAATATTATATATTATTATATTGTACTGTACTATTATACTGTAATATTATTAGTAATATTACATGTAATATAAAATATATAATTATAATATATTATTATTAGTAGTATTATATTGTGTTACAATATAGTATATAATATATTATATTATATTATTAACACAGCACAGGAGACAAGGTGGAACTATCTTCCTGGCCCCTCTCTTCACTTCTGGTCTCAGAGCAGCAGTTGGTGCTGGGGGAGGGGCTGCCAACTGATGACACAGGAGACAAGATGGAACTGTCTTCCTGGCCCCTCTCTTCACTCTGGTCCCATTTCTCACAGAAGTTCAATGAAACCACCCTTCCAATATGGCTCTGTTGTTGTTCATTCGTTCAGTCGTCTCCGACTCTTCGTGACCTCATGGACCAGCCAACGCCAGAGCTCCCTGTCGGCCCGTCACCACTCCCAGCTCCTTCAAGGTCAGTCCAGTCACTTCAAGGATGCCATCCATCCATCTTGCCCTTGGTCGGCCCCTCTTCCTTTTACCTTCCACTTTCCCCAGCATAATTGTCTTCTCTAGGCTTTGCTGTCTCCTCATGATGTGGCCAAAGTACTTCAAATTTGTCTCTAGTATCCTTCCCTCCAATGAGCAGTCGGGCTTTATTTCCTGGAGGATGGACTGGTTGGATCTTCTCGCAGTCCAAGGCACTCTCAGAACTTTCCTCCAGCACCACAGTTCAAATGCATCTATCCTGTTGAATTACCCCATTGTAATTCAGATTAGTTTTTTCTCCAGAAAGGCCTACATGCACAGCATCCTTTGATCAAAGTTATTCTTAGGAGAAATCTTATCATTTAATATCTTAAACTAGTAATAAGATGCCACTCTCATCCTGATAACCCAAAATGGATGGAAAGGACTGTCACAGGATAGACTCCTCAAAGAACCAACAGTGTTACTTGGTGCCTCCCACTAGGTTTTCCAGCATGTTACAGTATGGGAGGGGAAAGACTTGGATTTACCTTCGGCTGAATGCTTTCTCTCCCAGTCTTTGTATGGAATTCATTTATATCTCCTTAGTCCTCTAACATTGGCTGCTTCATTTTTTCTAGGCCTCTATGCCTGCAAAGGAGAGCGCAATAGTCCTTGTCTAGTATATGTCAGTTTCAACCAGAAGATCTACATCTATTGGGATGTTCAGTTGGAGAGAATGGAATCCACCAATTTGCTGAAAGTGCTAGAGTGCAACTCTGAATACCGAGATCTACTACTACAGCTGAATGTTGGTATGTTGCAAGTCATTACAAGGCCCGTATAACCTCAAAATGGTGCTCTTGATTATAAATGAGAAGGAAAAGTAAATTCAATGCCTTGTAAAATGTACTACTGAGAAGTTTTATCAGTCCAATGGGAGATTCCCTTGCTGGCAAGACTGAACAATGTCCATCTATACAAGTGGTTCTCAACCTTTGGTCCTTCAGTTGTTTTGGACTTCCAACTCCCAGAAATCCCAGCTATTTTACCAGTTGTTAGGAATTATGGGTATTGAAATTCAAAACACCCGGAGGACCAAAGGTTGGGAACCACCAATCTATTGTCTTCACAAAAAATGCTAGAAATATATGAGGTATCTTCATTGAAGAAAAAGTAGTCAAGTGCATAATTTTGTAAAAAAAAGTTTACTAATTTCAAAACATTTCACATTATTTCACATAACACTATATTTCACAGTATTCTTGATTGTGCACCAGCTCTGGTAGTGCTGATTTTAAGTTAAGTAAAGGATATTTCAGATTATCAGCACAGCAGTTACTCTTTTTTCAAGCAGTAGAGATTATAATGGTGGCGAATCCTTAACAAAAGGGGCAATCTTGTGATTCTATAAGGAACGACACCATTACTTCTCATATTCTTATGTTGATTGGGAATAGCAGAGAAAATATACAGATTCTGAAGTATTGCAAAGCAATGATACTTCAGTACTGATTTGCATATCTTTTATTTCTCATAGTTGATGGTGATGTTCCTGCTATCAAAGATCTGATTCACAAGACCTTATACTTTCCAGAGGAGCAGCTAAAAGGCCCTTCTTGTGATCCACTCCCTGCTACAACACCCAGCTTGGCTGGGATTCAGGAAACCTTATGAGAAGATGATAAAAAAGCAGACCACCCACAACACTGCTTCCCATGTCTTCTGAGTCCTTGCTTGGCATCCAAAGCAGTGTTACAAAGAGACTTCAGCAAAGAAGTTGAAAAGCAAAGTCCGAAAATGATAACAAAATTTTGACCAAAGGCAAAAACATCGTTTCCCTCTTTTTCCCCCTCATAATTCTAATTGTTTGTGTTGGTCATTTTCTCTTCTGACACAAAACATCAACACTGAAGTTGAGAAGTACAAAGATGAAAGCAGAGAAGTGATTGCAGAAGGACATTTGTTTTTGGTTGTACTTTTTTGTAGTTGTTTATTTTATTGTAATCTATTTATCACATGTTTGTCTCCCCCTTAAAACGTCAATATGTTGTTATTCATAATGTAGACAGGATCAGCATTATCAAATTAATATTTTGAGCTAAATCCCAAATGGATAAACCTTTTTCATATACCACTAGCTGTCCCTTGCCACGCATTGCTGTGGCCCGTCTGTTGATCTGGAAAATAAAGTAATGAGAAAGTGTTGGTTTCTAATATATGTAATGTCTTTCTGCTTGTGGGTAAACAGTATTTCTTGCTGTTTCTTTGTCAGTGTTGATGTGGAGAGTGTCTGATTTGCCTACTCTGGAACATGCAAGATATCATTGTCCTTCTTCAGGGGTCCCTTTCAAATCTGTGGTACTATATCTGTGTGTGTGTGAATCATATCTATATCTATGGCGGGATGCCTCTTTGTCAGGAGGGCTTTGATTATGTTTTCTTGCCCTGGTGAAGGGAGTTGGATTGGATGGCCTTGAGTATTTGGGGGTTCTGTGTGGGAAGTTTGGCCCCATTCTGTCATTGGGGTTCAGAACACTCTTTGATTATAGGTGAACTATAAATCCCAGTAACGACAACTCCCAAATGTCAAGGTCTATTTCTCCCAAACTCCCATCTATGTTCATATTTGAGCATATGGAATATTCGTGCCAAGTTTGGTCCAGATCCATCATTGTTTGAGTCCATGGTAGTCTCTGGATGTAGGTGAACTACAACTCCCAAACTCAAGGTCAATGCTCACCAAACCCTTCTAGTGTTTTCTGTTGGTCATGGAAGTCCTGTATACCCTGGTTAGTTCAATTCTATCATGCTATTTGATTGTAGGTGAACTATAAATCCCAGAAACTACAACTCCTAAATGACAAAATCATAATTTTTTGAGTGATGGTCACTCCTTGTGTTGTGAGACGTTTTGTTGCGAAATTTGGTGTGATTTCGTTCATTGGTTCATTTGTTTTTAAGGTACTCATTATGCACAGAGCATTTATATATATATAGATTGTATTTTCTTAAAATTATACACACATTATGTTTTCTTAAGTTATTTATTTACAAATGTTGCTATGGGAGAGTCTGGTTAATGCACTGTTCTTTTTAATGTGTCTTGCACAACCATCTGGTGAATCCTTTTGGTCTCTGACACACCCACTTTCCTGGTTTCTCACATTCACAAACATACGTAGATATGATGCAGCTATGTGCATGGAATGTTACTACTTCCTGATAATAGGTGCTTCCAGACAACAGCTTGGGCCTTACCAGTCACCCAAATTGCAATAGGCTTTGCAGAACATTTAATATACAGTTGGGCAGAGCAGAACAAGATCTAGCCAAGCTCCAACAGACTATTTTTCTTTGACTTCAGAAATGGTGGTGACTCCTATAACCACTGCTCTGCTCCCTGCTGTTTCAAGGAGTGGCACAGCTACAATATGAGTCTCCAGTCCCGTCCCCCCCCCCACCTCTGAAGTCTGCTCCTTTGTAGACTTTTGGTGGGGAGGGATTACCAACTCAGATTATTGCTTCTCCAGTTCCAGAAGCCTCGGGGAGCAGTTTAGCAGTGATTTCAGACTCCATCCATCCCCCTGATGTTGTTGGATTGTAGACTTTACTTGCGGGGAGGGTGACTAAAATTGCCGCTATGCAGCTTTGGGACATAGCAGCACCTTTCCCCACCTCTCACCATCCACCACCACCCCTTTCCTAAAGTCTGATGGAACTTAGACTTTGTTGGTGGAAGGTTGGTGACTGAAATCATTGCTGTTCTATGTATTGTTGAAGGTGTCCATGGCTGGAATCATTGGGTTGTAGGTTTTTTGGGCTATATGGCCATGTTCTAGAAGCATTCTCTCCTGATATTTCTCCTGCATCTGTGGCAGGCATCCTCACGACCTCTGAGAATGCCTGTCACAGATGTAGGTGAAACATCAGGAGAGAATGCTTCTAGAACATGGCCATATAGCCCAAAAAACTTACAACAACGCATTGCTGTTCTGGTCCCTGAAGCCACAGGGAGCGGTGTAGCAGCAATTTCAGTGACTATCCAGCCCCCATGAGATGCAACATCTCAGCTCTTGCCTTGCCTTGGAATTGGACTGGCTACAGACAGGATCCTATTAGGATGCAGATGCTTGTGTGCCCTGTCCCATCCCCCCCGCCCCCCGCTCGCAAGAGTTTGTTTCCCATTTTTTATGCCTCTGTATTTGGTATCTCCGGTTGCCCTTTCACAATTGCTAATATATTTATTGGCTGACATGATGCAGCAAGAAACTTCCACCCAAAAATGCTGGTCACTTTCCCCCCCTTTTACTGCAGATTACTGCAGATGCAGACTGTAGCCAGGAAATCAGAAGACGCTTACTTCTTGGGAGGAGAGCAATGTCCAATCTCGATAAAATAGTAAAGAGTAGAGACATCAGACTGGCAACCAAGATCCGCCTAGTCAAAGCCATGGTCTTCCCTGTAGTCACCTACGGATGTGAGAGCTGGACCTTAGGGAAGGCTGAGCGAAGGAAGATCGATGCTTTTGAACTGTGGTGTTGGAGGAAAGGGCTGAGAGTGCCTTGGACTGCGAGAAGATCCAACCAGTCCATCCTCCAGGAAATAAAGCCCGACTGCTCACTGGAGGGAAAGATACTAGAGACAAAGTTGAAGTACTTTGGCCACATCATGAGGAGATAGGAACCTAGAGAAGACAATTATGCTGGGGAAAGTGGAAGGCAAAAGGAAGAGGGGCCGACCAAGGGCAAGATGGATGGATGGCATCCTTGAAGTGACTGGACTGACCTTGAGGGAGCTGGGGGTGGTAACGGACGACAGGGAGCTCTGGCGTGGGCTGGTCCATGAGGTCACGAAGAGTCGGAGACGACTGAACGAATGAACAACAACACAGTTGCTTGAGGTTGCTCCCTCTTGCATTTTGGCCAGTAATATAATGCCATTAAGGATTGAGATGAGATTGAATCTTGTGTTTTATACACATTTAATTAACTTCCATCAAAGAATCCTGGGAACTGCAGTTCTCATTATAAAACTACAGTCTAGCTCAGTGGTTCTCAACCTGTGGGTCCCCGGGTGTTTTGGCCTACAACTCCCAGAAATCCCAGCCAGTTTAGGATTTCTGGGAGTCGAAGGGCAAAACATCTGGGGACCCACAGGTTGAGAACCACTGGACTAGGCAATCCTTTGCCATGGCTGTCAAATCACATGGTGCAGATTGTTCTTTGGACATATTCCGTGTTCTGGTTGCAATATTAACATCACTTATTTTTATTTAGAAATGCTTAATAATAAATTTTTTTAAAAAAACAACAAAATATCTCTTTTACATACATTAATAGTATTAGTGAAACATATATGAACTTCTAACATGTCCAGAAGTGCAGTGAATTTCAGGCTTCGTTCCTATCCATTTATTTAGTTCACAGGTGTACAAGGCCTTATTTTGCTGCCAGACAGGGCAAGCTCCTGGTATTTTTCTATCACTTCCTGGTAGACTGGACAATTGTTCTTCAGGGCAAACCTGACTGCTGCTCTCTGGTAATGAGGATCGGGACTTGGGCAAAGAAAATGCCTGTAGTCTCTAGGAGGAGGGGTGACTGGATGTAGCTGAACATGCAGTGATGCCAGGCTCTTCTCTGGAAGCAGGTGTTTATATCTGTTAGAAAGTAAGACAACATAAATAACTCCTACTGTTTACTGTCCCTCCGAACCCAAATTATATCCCTAATATTGCAGATAAGGGTGGAAACATTTGAATTTAGAATTAGAAGAGACCACAAGGCTTATTCAGTCCAACCGCTGCCATGCAGGAACATACCATCAAAGTACTCCTGACAGATGGACATATTCTGCTTAAACTTTAAACAGAGGGTCAGGTCACAGTCCCTCAAACTGTCGGAGGACCGGATTATAATTATAATGAAAAAAGTTTTTTTCTCTCTCAAGTCACTCCTGACATGACAAAAAAAAGAAAAAGAAAAAATGAATTAATTCCTATGAACACTGCACATATCTTATTTGTAGTGCAAAGACACTTTAAAACAATACAATGATTAAAATAAAGAACAATTTTAATAAATATAAGCTTATTAGTATTTCAGTGGGAAATGTGGGCCTGCTTTTGGCTGATGAGATAGGATTGTTGTTGTGTGCTTTCAAGTCATTTCAGACTTAGGTTGACCCTGAGTGAGGGCCAGGTAAATGACCTTGGAGGGCCGTATTCGGCCTTCGGATCATAGTTTGAGGACCCCTGAGTTATACCTACACAATATAGCAGAAGAAAGTGCTAGGGAGAGACTCATATCTTACCGTTTGAGCTGTTTGGGTGGCATTATATTTCCCTGCTGGTCTAGAGGAGGAGCTCGACATTGACTCCTTATTTTGAGTTGCTCACACTTCCTCATTTCTTCCTTTACTCGGGAGAGAACTCTTTGTTTATGTCTCTTATTCACAAACAATGCATCTCCTTCTATGAATTTCATATAGGTGTTGCCATCCATCCAGGAAGGAGGGGGCACTGGCGGCTTGGCCATTGAATCTTTTCTGGGAGCTGTAATCCATCGCCACGTGTTGCTGTCAAAAGGCTTGTCAGGTCTTGGGCGATAGATGGCTGGCAACCTTCCCACGTCCAGCCACGTATGATATCCCCACACATGAATTGGATCACCTCCTTCAAGTCGGTAGTGCACATTCCGGCAAACCTTGATTTTGGCGTCTGTGTATGGTGGTCTTGCAACAGCCAGTTTATGATAGGCTCTTGGGGAAAATCCTGGACATGGCACATATTTGTCGGTACATAGAAAGTGTCTTTCTTTCCATGTGGCCATCTTGAAAGAGAAATCTGATAAATCCTAGATGAGGAGAAAGAACAAGGTCCAGAAACATCGCCAGTTCCAATATTGATTGAGTAATAATAATAATAATAATAACAACAACAACAACAACATGGGCCCCCAGTGGCGCAGTGGGTTAAAGCACTGAGCTGCTGAGCTTGTTGACCGAAAAGTCACAGGTTCAAATCCGGGGAGTGGAGTGAGCTCCCTCTGTTAGCCCCAGCTTCTGCCAACCTAGCAGTTTGAAAACATGCAAATGTAAGTTGATCAATAGGTACTGCTTGGGGAAGGTAATGGCGCTCCATGCAGTCATGCCGGCCACATGACCTTGGAGGTGTCTATGAACAACGCCGGCTCTTCGGCTTAGAAATGGAGATGAGCACCACACCCCAGAGTCAGACATGACTGGACTTAATGTCAGGGGACAACCAAAAAATAATAACAACACTTTATTTATATTCTGCCCTTCTCACCCCGAAGAGGACTCAGAGATCATCACAGTGCATATGCTCAGCAAACATTCGATGCTGCTTTGTATAGACAATACACAGACAGGCAGAACAGGAGGTGGTTTGTTTCAGCTGTTTTTGGTGCCATGGAAGGTTGGGCTCAAATCCAGGGGGTGCTGTTGCTCTATCCTCTATGATGAAGAGCTGTCAGGACTTCCTCCTTCCTTTTGGTCGCCCAGCATTTTCTAATCTTTCTTTAAGGCGTTGTAAAACACCTCCCCCGCTTTTTAGCGGTACCTAATTTCTCTAATTATAGCTAAAGCTGTTTAGGTAAACAATGAGCTAGGGTGACAGTTGGCAGCCTACACCAACCCAAGGTTTCGAACTTGCAACCTTTTGGTTGATAGATCTTATAATTGCTGAAGATTTACCAGCTGGGCTAAACCTCCGGCCCATATTGAGTTCCAATATGGTTGCCACCCAATTTCAATTTAGTAGGATCTAAGCATGCATTTGAGCAGAGTTGAAAATCTCTCATGGACTGCAGGTTCATTCATGATCCCATATATTTGGATTAATGTGCCAGCTCTTTAAGCCCCTAACAAGTATTTACTCCTGGATCATTTGCTATCAATTGTAGGAAAAGCGGAAAAAAAAACAAACCCATATAAATTAGAGATAAGATGGAGGATTACTCAATACAATGGCTTGGCTATAGATAAATTACTGTCATATTTTACAATTGATAAAACATGTTCAGATTTGGAACAGTTAAATAAGAATTTGAAAACTAACTGTGCTAAGGTTATAATTGCAAAAATGTATACATTGCTGTTAAAATACAAAACACATGAGAGTATATGGTTAAATGGCTCAAAATATAGGTAGAAATCTAGATAGAACCACAGGAAAAGGTGTGGATAGAGTTTGATGCCTACTTTGAGTAATGATATGAAATAAAAAAATATATAAGATGATATTTTGACACCAGAGAGACTTTAAAAGATATATAAGGGCACCCCTAACAAATATTGGAGCACAAAGTTGAGACGTTTTGTCTTACATGGTGGATTTGTACAAAGGCCCAGAAATACGAGACCCAAATACATTTGATGCTGGAAAATATTATTACGATAAGTTTAAATTCAAGATGCCATCAAAGTTTTATTTGTTGGAAATGCTGGATAACAATGTTGAAAGAAAATTTAGAACATTGTCATGATATATGATTGCAGCGAAAATAATTTCTGCTCAGAAGATCCAGTTAGCTCAACACAAGAAGAAAGGCTGAAGATCTGTGAATGAGCTGAAATGGACACACTGACTATGTCAATAAAGGAGAAATATCTGATCAATTTCAGTCAAGACTGGAACTTGTTTATTATTTTTTCACTTAGTTGTAGTCTTGTAGTAATAGATAGCAAGTAGCTGTACCATTTTTGTTTTTACATATTTAAAAATTGCTTGTATGTTGTATTTTATTTACACAGGATAGAACTTTTGCACATGTAACATTCAACAAATACAATTGATGTAGGCTGATCTGTACACTGTATACTGATTACAAATAAGAAATGCTCATGCTAGCTAGTCATTACAGCTACAGTTAGCATAAATATGTATATATTGCTAATGCACACACATATACACACATTTTTTCACATATAACATATAACATTTCTTATATACTGTGCACCCAGCTTGCAGGTTGGTTAATCACAGGTACATGTGTTCACACAGAGAATTCTGGTTTTACATTGATTAACAAACAATAGAAATACGAAACTTACTCATTTACAAGATTTTGGAGCGACCTCATGTAAAAGTCAGTATTTCTTAATGCTGAATTTTACGTGAATGAGTCCAAGCCACAAGGAACTATGTATTGTCAAAGGCTTTCATGGCCGGAATCACTGGGTTGTTGTAGGTTTTTTCGGGCTATATGGCCATGGTCTAGAGGCATTCTCTCCTGACATTTCACCTGCATCTATGGCAAGCATCCTCAGTGACTCTGAGGATGCTTGCCATAGATGCAGGCGAAACGTCAGGAGAGAACGCCTCTAGACCATGGCCATATAGCCCGAAAAAACCTACAAAAAACCACAAGGGAATATGTTTCCAAATTCCAAAAGAAAAATGGATCCGTTTTTAGCCGTTCTCTTCAGCCAATCCTGCTCCTTTGGTTTGATCCAGTATCTGTAATGGTAAGGACCCAGGCGTAACAGATTCCCATCCAAAAAGGGACTAGATGGCAGCCAATCACGACTCCTTCCCTATTCGGCATCACAGTTGAATCTTTTTGATTTTCCTTTATTTTCCTTAATCTTTTTATTTAGTGGAACTGGCTAGGAGTTGAGGAGGGACCCGAGGAACGGTGGACAGGGTGTGCACACTTGCGCTTGTGGGCTTGGAGATGGAGAGTCACCCTTTTAGCTTGTTTTACTCCTTCCCTTCCTCTCCTTTGGAAACTACTACTAAAAGATAATAATGAAATATAGTAATAGTGATCCCAGCAATTCTTCTCAGAAGAGCTACAAGACAGAGAACAAGCCACGAGACTAAAGACAAAGATCCACCCAGAGGAAAAGTGTTCTTGCCATACATCAAGGGAACCACTGACTGCATAGGGAAGCTGATGAGGAAACACAACATACAAACTATCTACAGTCCTACTAAGAAAATCCAACAAATGCTACATTCAGCTAAGGACAAGAGGGATCCTCTCACCTCTGCAGGAGTCTACTGTATACTATGCAGCTCTTGACAAGTCTGTTACAGTAAGTTTAGCAGGACCAAGTGTGTGCGCGTCTTGAAAAAAAAACCCTTATAATGGTAATTATTATGTGTAGCTGGTAATGTAGGTCAACCAGCAATCTTGGACCACATCTAATAGGATATAACTGTATGGGTTTTTAAGATACAGTCCTGGAGAATTTTTTCTCTGAGGAGATCTATGCTCAAAGGCTCTGCTCTGAAGAGAAGGTTGGAGAAAAGCCATGCTACTCTAAAGGAGGCTATGGCGGAATAGCTGCTTGCTCAAGGTTTATGTTTTGCTTTCACATTTGACTGAAGATGAAGATGCTTTATTTTGTTTACTTACAAAGACTGTGTAAATTTCTTGCACTGTTTGTTTTTTGTATGCAACATTGCAAGTTTGGGTTTCCTCTCTGCTATTAAGAGTAAAGATTTTTCTGTTCATTTCTACTCTTGTCTGTGTTTTGTGCATGGGACGTGGCTAAGATCTGCTTGCTGTGCAACAAAGTCTACATAGGGACCATCAAACGCATTGCCCAAACACAAATCAAGGAACATGAAAGGCACTGAAGACTAACTAAACTAGAGAAGTCAGCCATAGCAGAGCACCTGATGAACCAACCTGGACACAGCATATTATTAGAGAACATAAAAATGCTGAACCACTCTAACAACTACCATGTCAGGCTACACAGAGAAGCCATTGAAATCCACAAGCATGTGGACAATTTCAACAGAAAGGAAGAAACCATGAAAATGAACAAAATCTGGCTACTGGTACTAAAAAACTCTAAAATTATAACAGTAAATAAAAAAAACAAAACTCAAACACAGGGGGACTCCAGCCAGGAAACAATCAGGAACCTCTCACCAAGGAAATTTCCCAGGCAGAAACAATCCACACCTAAAAACTGTTTTGTGTATATTGTTTATTGTATATGTTGTTTATTTTATTGTAATTTGCATTTTATTTTATTGTAATTTGTTGTTTGGGCTTGGCCATATGTAAGCTGCCCGGAGTGTCCCTATTGGGAGAGATGGTGGCGGGGTATAAATAAAATTATTACTATTATTATTATTATTATTATTATTATTATTATTATTATTATTATTGCTTATCAAGGTGGCCAATTGAAATGTTCAATAGCTCCAACAGACAAGAGTTCTTTCTCCCAACCTGGACAGATATATAAACCCAATTTCCAGTTTCCAACAAACCTACAACCTCTGAGGATGCTTGGCACAGATGCAGGCGAAACGTCAGGAGAGAATGCTTCTAGAACAAGGCCATACAGCCCGAAAAACCTACACCAACCCAGTTTCCATACAGTACTTAAACAAAGACAAATCCCACAATTTCAAGGGAGTTTGCAGACAATTATGCACATTTGAAATTACTAGCTCTATACAGGGATGTAACTACCGAAAATTTCCCGGAGCTTCTAATAATAATAATAATAATAAAATAATAATAATAATAATAATAATAAAATAATAATAATAATAATAAAACTTTATTTATACCCCGCCACCATCTCCCCAAGGGACTTGGAGCAGCTTACATGAGGCCAAGCCCAGCAACACATCAAAAACATCAAGCAATAATAAAACAAACAAGCAATAAACAAAAATAAACAATAAAGAAAGGTGAGGCAGCATAACTTCCTTTTTTAAAATGCGCACCATTCTAAACCTAAATTACTAGCTCTATACAGGGGTGTAATTACCAAAAATTTCCTGCAGCTTCTAAACCTCTAACATGGCAGATCTTATACCTAAGTCCAGAGATTCTCACAAAGATTTGGAACAGGAATAAACAATGTAAAGCCTTGTCCAGTGTAACAAGTGAACACCCCATATCCTCTTAAAGAAATGCCCGAAAAGCGCAGTTATCCTTGGGAAGATATTTCTGACCAATAAAAATTAGGCAATCAAGAATATTTTTAAGAGCCTAAACAATGCAAATGAAAAATTAGATTGCCTCAGGGGAAAATTACAAAGGAAATAGCTTGCCTTTATTCCATAAGTTTCATTTCTTCTTGCCTTCTTTCTTCCCTTTGTTCTTTTCCTTATGAACTTAAGTTTTCCAAGCTGGCTTCCCCATTATCATATGCCTGTTAAATTACCACAGCAACGAGTCGTGATGTCATGTCTGGGGACTATGACTTCAACCTAGACTTAAAGAAAGCAGTCTTCTGTCAAGGGGAAAGAGCTTAGGAGCTATCTTCACAATGAAAAGAATAAAGCAACATAGCAAAATTAGTCGTGTGCAGCCTGCTCCTCTTTCTGCTGAGTGCCAAGGAAGAACAAGGAAAGGGGTTCTTCGGACGAAGGCAAGAGTGTTAATTTTGGGGATGGGTGGTGTAGGCGATGGCAGGGCATAGCAGCATGTGGATTCCTGCAAAGATGAGGTCCCGGTTCAGTGGTAGTTGCACACTGTGTCTTATTTTGTCCAGAAAACTGATGGCAGTGTGCCTTCCACCATGTCTGCTTTCCCAACACAATCTCCTTCTCCCTCACCTGGCTTCACCATCACCTGCTCTTTGCTGCTTCCTTACATCATTTTAATAGGGACTTACAAGCCTTGCCACTTGTTCACAGCCTCTGTCTTGCGAGGCTTGCAGTCCTTATAAAAAATGGTGTAGGACAGCAGGAAATACCACATTTAACTGTATTGTTGTCAGAAAATGCGACTATTATGTGAAGAAAAACATTGTGCATGAAATATAAACCAGAGACGACTGGGGCTATCCCTCTCTTTCGTTCGAAAAGGAAGGAGCACCATCTGGCTCCATTTTTTGTTTTTAGAGAAGACCCTGGTTGCCTCAGTCTTCTCTCACCAGTGTCCTCTCCCTCCTTCCTTCCCGGTCCACACACTTAAAGAACCCCTGCCCCAAAATGGGCCAGGGGAGCATCACCAAGATGCCTTCATACCCTGACTGATGGAGTATTGGCTGGGCTTCCTTCACTCTTTTGCCTCTGAGCAAGGTGGGTGTGTGACTATTAAGCTAATTTAACTAATCTACGATGACATAAAAATCTCCAGCAAGCCTGCAAAGAATGAGGAAGTACTTCATCAGTGTCACAAATGGACGGTGAAGCAACAGCTCCCCTGGTGGCCAGAATACCCTCATGAAAAGTTGGAATGTTAAATTGCCTCTGTGTCTGAATATAAATACTGTAAATAAATAAATAAACAGTGGTGACTATTACGTGGTGAAATATGGTAATCAAATTCATGAAAGTGAAGCCACTAAATGTGCAGGAGATGAGACAATGGACAGCCTTACCTTGTTCCTTTTTGGTTTCATTAACTACATGATTTCATTAACTCACTCATGACCAATCTTTGCAATTTCTATGCATTGCAAATAGCCTTTACCCATCTGATAAAATAACTCATCGCTTCTAAAATTCCAAAGAAAACCCAGCTCAAATTACAAAAAGCCCATTCTGCATAGAAAAACAAAACAAACAATTCTCCATGCATCTCAATGTCATTCAATATATTCCAAAAGAGCTAAAATACATCTTTTACCACAAATAATTTTAGTAAAAATCCACGCCAATTTCTGAATAAAATCCTGCTGAATTATTTTTAGTTTTTCAACCAGAATCTTGACTTTCATCATTTGACTCTTGCAGCAAAGACAACTTGTTCCCCTGCCGCATTATTAATCCCATGCAAGTGTGGAGTTATGGAAGTTTATCTTCGCATTTTGATTAATCCCACCGGAGGAGAGCCTTGGCTACTGCCAAGATGTAATGTGTTGCCATTAGCTTTTTTGGATGGGAGATACAAAAATATGGAATTTTCTAAACGGGTTTGTTGTTGTGAGTTGGTTTCTGCAGAAACACTTGACCATTCTTTGTTTGTATGCTCCAAATATAAGATACCGATGAAATATAGGAATTTCATTTTCTGCAGTGTTCTCAATGGCAAGAGTGTTATACAACTCCATACTTCCTGAACAACTCTGATGCATTATTGTGTGTGACTGTTGCAAGTTTTATTCTTGAGATTAGTAATTTTAATTATGTTTTTTATTTTTAAAAAATCTGTGACCTCCTCTTGTCTGTGCTATAATCTTGTTAGTGTAGGCCAGTAAAAGTGTTGTTGTACACAGTCTTTCAGTCACCATCCTTGTGAGGATTGTGTAGTTACTACTCAACAATGAAATTGGCCTGCAGTTATTTTGTCACTGTGAAGTCTTTCTATGTCTTAGGAATCATCCTGTTCTGAAGAACTGAATTCAATGTCTGGTATAAAGTTAGTAAGAGAACATGTATGAAGCATTAATAATAGAGAGCTGATAGACTAGCCAGTACAAGTACTTTTCCCATCTTAGTCTTCTTAATTGCATCAAAAATCTCATTTTCTGTTATAGTAGCATTCAACGTGTTTCTGTGAGTCTGTAAGCTGTGGAATTGTTTTTAACCAAGGTATTGTCTTTTACAGAGAAAGGAATATCTATAAAAAGCCTTTTGAATATTTGCATTATTACTTATTATTTCATTTCTCTCTTGTATCTAATATTACCTCCCCTCCTTTTCTTTTCTCATCTTTTATGTCAATCATCTCCCCAACCTGTTTGCATAGTCAAAATTATTTTGCTCTACATAACTTATATTTTTCTGTCTCACTCACTACTAACAAATAACTGTTAGATCTGCAAGCACTTAATTTGGCTAAAATCAAATATTTTTGATTGAAATCGCTTTACCTATTCTTCTGTTTTTCTCAGTCTGCTGCATTTCTCTCATCTTATCTATATATATAAATCTGTTAGGTTGGTTCAACGGGACAGCAAAACTCTAAAAACCTCCAACGAAACTGCACCAAAATTCCCATGCCCATAACACAACCCACAAGGTACAAACATATCTACTCAAAATGAAAAACAACACAACAACACACTCACAAAATGGCAAAAACAGCAAAACTCAAAAAAAACCCCAATGAAACTTAACCAAAATTCCCATGCCCATAACACAACCCACAAGGTACAAACATATCTACTCAAAATGAAAAACAACACAACAACACACTCACAAAACGGCAAAACAACTGAGCATGCGCATTGGCGCCCAGCCGCAAGTTCCCTGGCGCACGCACACAGCCTTCCGGCCAACGTTCCCTCTGTGGAAGCCATGCCCACTCCAAGCCCCGCCGCACCGCTTCCCGCACACACACCCCCTGCCGCACGCACACACACGCCACCCCACGCTCCATCACTCCCCCCGCCGCCGCACACACACACGCAACCCCACGCTCCATCACTCCCCCGCCGCCGCACACACACACACAACCCTACGCTCCATCACTCCCCTGCCCCAATCTTACCTCAACCCCAGCTCCATCACTCCCCGCCGCCGCACACACACACACAACCCCACGCTCCATCACTCACCCTGCCCCAATCTTACCTCCTTTTACTTCACGCCACCTCGAAACCCCACCCCACCCCTTCCCGCCCTGTCAAAATACAGGAAAGACAGGAAGGAAGGAAAGAAGGAAGAAAGAGAAAGGGAGGTAAAGAAAAAGGGGGAAGGAAGGAAGGAAAGTTAGAGAAAGAAGGAAGAAGAAAAGGAAAGAAAAGGAAAGATGGAAGGAAAGAAAAGAGAGACAGCAGAAGAGAAAGAAAAAGGGGGAAAGGAAGGAAAGAGGTAGAGAAGGAAGAAATGAGAGACAGAGGGAGGGAAAGAAAAAGGGGGAAGGAAGGAAGGAGAGAAGGAAAGAAAAAAGGGAACGAAGGAAGGAAAGAGGGAGTGAAGGAAGGGCGAAGATGTAGAGAAAGAGGGAGGGAAGGAAAGAAGGAAAGAGAGAAGGAAGAAAAGAGACCAGAAGAGAAAGAAAAAGGGGGAAGGAAGGAAGAAGAAAAAAGGGAATGAAGGAAGGAAAGAGGGAGTGAAGGAAGGGGGAAGATGTAGAGAAAGAGGGAGGGAAGGAAAGAAGGAAAGAGAGAAGGAAGAAAAGAGACCAGAAGAGAAAGAAAAAGGGGGAAGGAAGGAAGGAGAGAAGGAAAGAAAAAAGGGAATGAAGGAAGGAAAGAGGGAGTGAAGGAAGGGGAAGATGTAGAGAAAGAGGGAGGGAAGGAAAGAAGGAAAGAAGGAAGAAAAGAGACCAGAAGAGAAAGAAAAAGGGGGAAGGAAGGAAAGAGATAGAGAAGGAAGAGGAGAAGGAAAGATGGGAGGGAAGGAGGGAAGGAGGGAAAGAAGGAGAGAAAGAGGGAAGGTTGGCCACAGCAACGCGTGGCGGGTAAAGGTTGTTATTTCTATAATTATTATGTATTATTCCTATTAGACCCTGGGGGAATGGGAGAGGTGTCAGGTCCCAGAGGCAATGCATTGCATTATTGTTATTGTTATGATGGTGGTGAAATAAAAGGAAATAAAAAGTGAAAGAAGGAAGCAAACAGGGAGGGAAGAAAGGCAAAGAAGAAAGGGGGAGGGAATGAAGGAAAGAGAGAAGGATGAAACCAAGTAGTGAAAGAAGGAAAGAAAGAAAGAGGTAGAGAAGGAAGAAAGGAGAGAAAGGGGGAGGAAAAGGGGGAAGGAATAGGTAGGTACCTCTCTTTCATAATAGTCCAGATATCTACCTCAACTTTGATAAGTTTTACTATAGGCCACAGCAACGCGTTGGCAGGGCACAGCTAGTATTGTATAAAACACAGTGTTTGCTTCTGAATAGGATGGGGAAGAGATATTAATCCTAGCAGAGTAATCAAAATGGTTAAGAACCATCCATAGGAAAAGAAAAGGACATAAAAACAAGACCTGGAAGGAAGTATGGAACCTAAAGGTACAGAATATAATGATTTATTTTAAATTGTTAGAAGCTACCAAAGGTGTCAGAGTTCCTGTACTGATTATTTGTGTAATAGAAGGAACTCTTCTTCCTCTTTTAGTTTCAGGATGAACCTGTTAAAATATCCTATGCTATTCTTGAAAATACAAAAGCTTAGTCCCTTGCATGTGTACATACTTTTTATCATTATAAAATTTCATTTAGCATATACACATAATGACGGAAATCTACAAGATGCTATTCAGATAGTGCCAGGCCCTTATACAGAAACCAGACCTTTCCTTACAGTGTTTCATAAAGAACTGATTTTTGTTTCCTTGATTGTTCATATCAGTGTGTTGGCTTCAGTATACGCACTAGCAATATTCACTGGAATGTCAGGCAACATCTGGCCCAATTTATCAGTAGCTTTATAAAAATATATACACAATATAGGGTTCCGTTAACAAAAGACTGACTGTGCATAGTTTTTAAGTTTTGAGCCAGCATTGGTCACTTCAGCTCAGAAATTAGATGTGACCAGTTGAGTTCAGTACCAAGGCTGTCATCCTCCAGGCCAGGAAAACTGACATCAAGTAGGATTTTGCTCAGACTGTCGTTCATAGTGTCCAGGACTAGGCCTTCCAAGAGTGAATGGTTTTCTGAAACAACAGAGGTTTGAAGCTCTGGGGATGACGTTTTGCTGGGTGCAGGAGAGCTTGTCAAGGGCCCAGAGACCATAGCGCTGGCTTCTGCATTGAGAAGGGGCAGTTGTGGAGAATCACAGAGGAATTGTCTTGAGGGTGTGCTGCTCAACCCCAAAAGGTCTGCGTTCTCCTGGAGGGACAGCAAAGGTGCTGGAAGGGTTCTCACAGGACATGAATCCAGATCACCAGTTTCTTTGGCAAAGGGTGCTGGTCTCCAGGGGTCAGTAAGTGCTAGGAATGGTGGAGTGCCTACAGAAGTTTTACTAGGAGTGGAGGAAGCTGGTAGTTTGTTGAGCATCTCTTTTATTGGAGTTTTACAAGGTCCATCGTCCCCTTGAAAGCAACCAAGCCGAGACACGTTTCCCTGCCCAAGTGGAAGGTCATGTGTGAATGAATCTGAACCGTCACTGGATGGCAAAAGAATCCCTGGCTCCTCTGAGCAAGGCGGGGATAAATGCTGCTTTCTCCTGGATTTGCTCGTTTTATGCCTCTCCCGCCTTTTTACTGGCATCGTGTCCAACATGTTCTGGGGTGGCAACTTCAGAGCTGTGAACTGTCTCTCCTCTTCTTCAGGTGATACTGGAAGGCATACATTTGGCTTTTCAGCAGGTTGTGTTGATTCGTCTTTTATGGATAGGGCTGGTAGGAAGACCCATTCCTGGGAACAAAATGTATCATTCTCTTCTTTAATAGCCATGGGCTTAAGGGAACCCTCTTTCGTGGGATGATCGGAGGCAAATGGAGGCAAGACCTCACATGGGAAAATCTCCTCTTTTATTAAGTTTGCAGATGAGAATGGGGTCAGCTCTTCCATGGATGGTGACACCTGCAGTAGGAACACAGAAGGGACAAAGTGCCAGTAGGTTCAGAACAAAGTAATGGTATTATAGAAAACACCACAGAAAGATTAAAATATTATATTCACTTGATTAAAATATTATTTAAATATTCAAAACAATATTAGTAACCAGACTTTCACAGTACTGTTTGCTAGTTGAAAAGAAAAAAATATTTTTAAAAACTTATATTTAAGGAAGATGTCTACTCAATCCTCTATGAATTTACTTATTTACAGTATTTATATACTGCCTTTCTCACCCTTGGGGGGACTCAAAACGGTTGAGTCCCCCTCCAGGAATAAAGAATACTCTCTGTTCCTTTCCTGGGGAAAAGAACAAAAAAAAATGTGTGTGTATGCATCACGGAGGCAGGGGAGAAAATTCATTTATTGCAGTGATTGCGAACCTTTTAGAGACCCAGTGTCCAAACCGCAATCTAAAACCAGCTGTAAGGTGAACGGATGAGGGGGGGGGGGAGGAAGGGAAAAGGGGGAGGCGGGGGGGAGGGAGTAACAGTGTGTGTGCCAAAAGACAGAGAGTGCTACTTGCCCCTTCTTGCACATGTGCCATCGGTTCACCACCACTGACTTAGTGCTAGGTTGTTGTTTTTTCCATGTCAGGAGTGACTTGAGATACTGCAAATCACTTCTCGTGAGATAATTGGCTGTCTGCAAGGACATTGCCCAGGAGACACCCATATGTTTTACCATCCTGTGCGAGGCTTCTCTCATGACTTGAATTCATCTAGAGTAGCCATGTATTCCTAGAATACTTATTTATGTATTTTGGGTTGCATTTTTGCATTTAGCCTATTACTTTGTCCACTCCCTATTGCTCAGGCTGAAAACTGATTTCTTTTTGTGATAATTTGGGGGGGGGGGTCGTCTTATAGCCCCAATCGTTTAATACCCCGAAATATATGGTACCCTTCGGGTTTGACCAGTTAATCAGTTCCAAATCTTAGGGAAAGAGAGACCAGGTTCCTATTATATGTTTAGGGCAGGGAAAAACCTTTCAGCTATTGACTGAAGACAAGAGCTTTCTCCTATCTAGGTTACGGAAAGTGCCCAGCAAATATTATTTTGTCCTCTCAGTCTTTTCCTAGTACTTATGACTTGCTATATCCCAGTTTTAAGGCTGTAGACCTATACACACTAATGTGGTAAAGCCTTAGGTATAAAGTCTTAAAGCATTTCAGTGGTGATAATAATAATCCAGAATATGTTTATGAGTCTGATAAAAGGACTGACCTTTGGAACAATGCGCACCTGCTTATTATTCTTCACTGTCTCGGAGGCACTATGAGCCGTGGGCACCTTTGAAGAAGGTGAAAATATGAGGGACTGGCTCACTGGAAACTGGATTGGAACCAAGTAGGAATTGACACGTGGCAACAAGGGCTTCATTTTCCGGCCTAGAAAGAGAAACAACACATTAGTCCAGGGGTCCTCAAACTTTTTAAACAGAGGGCCAGGTCATAGTCCTTCAAACTGTTGGAGAGCCGGATTATAATTTGAAAACAAACATGAATTCCTACGCACACTGCACATATCTTATTTGTAGTGCAAAAAACACTTTAAAACAATACAATAATTAAAACAAAGAACAATTTTAACAAATATAAGCTTATAAGTATTTCAATGGGAAGTGTGGGCCTGGTTTTGGCTGATCAGATAGGATTGTTGTTGTTGTTGTTGTGTGCTTTCAAGTCGTTTCAGACTTAGGTTGAGCCTGGGCAAGGGCCAGGTAAATGACCTTGGAGGGCTGTGTCTGTACCTATTGATCTACTCACATTTGCATGTTTTCAAACTGCTAGGTTGGCAGAAGCTAGGGCTGACAGCGGAAGCTCACACCGCTCCCCGGAATTGAACCTGCGACCTTTCGGTCAACAAGCTCAACAGCTCAGTGCTTTAACCCACTGTGCCACCAGGGGCTACAACATTTGGAATGATAGTGGTGTCTATTTGAGGGATGAAAAGACTGGCCTTTTCTCTGGGTTTCAGAGAGACACATAGTACACACTCACGTGCAGTCTGTGGTTCAATTTTGCAGCTACTAGAGCTTCCTAGATTCTTCTGCAGATCCACAGTGTGCCGTTTTTGCTGCTGTATTGATTTGAAGTTGAGAAAGACAAGAAAACATGTGTTAGAGAAAAACCTAACACAGCCCACTTGCCTTGTGTTATTCCAGAGGGCAATCTGAAACTAATGTGACATATATGTTGGCTACTGCTGTAGGCAGACAGTCACCCTAAAGTCCACAGAGCTGGGAGAGTGTCAGCTCTTCAGCAGCTGGGAGGTCTTCTATAGGAGAAAGGGAGAGGGTGGGGGCAAGAAAGCACTGGGTATAGGCTCTCAAGCTAAGGGAATAAGAAATGTAGAAGATTAATTATGCAGTGTTCTAACCCAGCCAAGACGCTCATGCTTGTGTGCAGAAGCCGAAGTATAGAAAGATGAAAAAAGAGCTGCTTCTTGAAGGGGTATCAGCTTTCACCCTGTCCCTTTTTTATGCTTGAAAAAAGTATTTTAAAAGGCATTATTGCTTAGGATTACTTGAAATATCAATATTGTCCTTTAATCTAATTATTAAAATCAGAATCAGAGCCATTAAACATTATGTATGTAAAAAATCATGTTCTATCCCAATGTTTTATTGGTCCCTAAGGCAGTACAACAGGAATAACCATAAGTATCAATCTCTTGCTCCACATATTAAACTGTTGATGGTTGAGCCTGCTCTGCCCCATTTCCCCAATATGCTGTACATGTGAGGAAGAGAAGGAAAGCAGTAGCTTCCCAATGCATCCAGTCCAGGTAGGCATAGTCTATGCATTTGCAGCCACCAAAATGGGAAAAAAGAAGCCCAAGCCCCCAGCCAGGAAGGAAGGTCTTACTGATTCCAAGAGCTCGGGTGATGCTGGTGACCCTGCATCCAACGGCTGGTGGTGGCCATGCATACAAAAGGAACGAGAAGGAAATTATAAGTGAAACAGGAGAATAAACAAATGCTCAGGCAGAAAAGACAGTGGCAAAAAACAACCGATCAACTCTCAGCATTAGAGTATGTTGAAAACTGTTCACAAGCATTTTCAGAGCCTCCTGTGATCAAAAGATAGTCCTTGTCTGAATCTAAACTGGTCAGCACAATCTAGAAATAGTTTTCTAAGATCTACAGAGACACTCACTGGAACACCTCAGCAAGCGAGAGTCCAAAAGTGGCAGGCCCAAACCCAGAACCTCAACCAATGGCTGATACCCAATGAGAGACTCCCCCCTGGGCACACAGAGGACTGGGAGACCTGGAAGGCACTGAACAGACTGCGCTCTGGCACCACGAGATGCAGAGCCAACCTTCAGAAATGGGGCTACAAAGTGGAATCCTCGACATGCGAGTGTGGAGAGGAGCAAACCACTGACCACCTGCTGCAATGCACCCTGAGCCCTGCCACATGCACAAGGGAGGACCTTCTTGCAGCAACACCAGAGGCACTCCAAGTGGCCAGATACTGGTGAAAGGACATTTAATCAACTCTCATACTCACAAATTCTGTAATCTGCTTGTTTGCTTTGTTTCTGTTAGAAATGTAATATAATTTGACTGGTTGTTCTGACACGACAAATAAAATAAATAAGCACAATAAGAACCATTTAAAACAAATCCTTGACAATAACTAGTCTGAAACCACTATGAATATTTTTTTAATTTTCATTCTGGTCATGAACGAAATATTTTCCATAGAGCTCAATGCAAAAAGTAAAATAAAATCAAGATCTAAATATAGTTTGCCTGTGGAGCTGCACAGGCAAACTATATAGTTTCCCCGTCATTCCTTCCCCATCAAAGATACCTACAGAGAGGAGCTCCTTGTGCCGGCTGGACTGCTGACTTGAAGGTTGCTGGTTCGAATTTGCAAGACGGAGTGAGCGCCCGTCTGTCGGCTCTAGCTTGCGGAACATGAAAGAAGCCTCCCAGGGATATGGTAACACACTCAGGCGTCCCCTGGGCAACGTCTCTGTAGACGGCCAATTCTCTCACACCAGAAGCAACTTGCAATCTGTTCCCAAGTTGCATCTGACAAGATAAAAAAGCTCTGGCCTTTTTGTGTAAACATTTAAAAGCAATACTTGTCTGCTAGCAAGTCAAAGTAGCACAAGACTTCTGCATCCAACTGTGCCGAGTAGTTTGGGAGGAGTGGGGAGCAATTTATGTCAACTAACCTTTCCTGCAACCTGAGAGGCACTTTGTACAGAAGAGTTAAAAGTGTAAATTAAGATGACACATTTTTCCTTTGGATGTGAATTGGTAGAGCTTTTCAGAAAAAAAATATATTGATAAACCCAAATAGATTTTCAAATGAATGTCTGAGAGAAGAGCACAAACTCTTTTGTGCTTACCTTTGGGAGGTGCGGTGATCATACTAGTGTTAAAAACCCTGGATTTCTTTATTGATTTCTGAGGGCCCTTCCAGACAGGCCCTATATTCCAGGATCTGATCCCAGGTTTTCTGCCTTAAACTGGATTATTTGAGTCCACATTGCCAGATAATATGGGATAAAGATAAAACCTGAGATCAGTTCCAGGAATATACAGCCTGTCTGGAAAGTTTCTGAGAAGCTGTTATCTGGGATATATTTGCAAATGGCTCCCCAATGACAACAAGAAATAATTAATCTAGACCATGAGAAGTCTGCATGGATTTTGAAACATTATTCTGTACTTTTCAGTATTGTAGTTGTGCTTAAAAAGTCATTTCCAAAGAGGCATCTCTCTTTAGGAAAATCTCCTTGTTCTCCAACATATCTGGCACTTCTAGACCTTATGGACAGAGAGAAAACCATGAGAGTTGGGGGCTACCAGAACAGGCAAGGATGAGTGTATTGTTTTTGTGATGTGTGCTGCAGAAACCATTTAATTTTGTTGTACAACTCGTTCAACGACAATGAAGTTGATCTGTTCTATATATGTGCTAAAGTGACTGAATCCCTGGCTGACATTTTGGAACTTCCACATATATTCCCAACTTCCACTTGGGAAGCAGACAAGAATCATCAACAGGGTGAGAAGTGGTGGTTAACTTTTTAAAATCCCAGACTTGCGGTTTGGCTTGAGCAAGTTGATAATGGTTAACAGATTATTCTGTTTAAAGATTTACTTTTTCAAATTCTGAAGCGAAAGTTCATCCCTTCCTGACACAGAAGCTGAAGACAAAGGATTTAAACTTAAATGGGAGAAAATGGAGGGTTTGATCAAAAGAGACTCAGATTAAACACAATACAAAAGTCAAAGAATTCTCAAAGAAATATGGAGATAAGTTTGAAACCATATCAGTGGGAAATAGAAGACAAGAAAGATCAACTATGTGGAGAAGAAAAGGCAAAGGATGAGGAAGATACAGGCTCAAGTGAATGAGGCAATGACCGATGATGATGATAATGAACGATGACATTTTGTGACTTGGCCAAAAAGGTCAAATTATTGACTGTGTTGGTGAACGAGACAACTTTGTTTAACTTTAAGAAAAATGAGATATGTTTATTAAGCATGAAGAGAATGTAGCGAAAAGTTGAAGTATGACAATATAATACTGTTTAAATGGAGTAGACCAGGGGTCCCCAAACTACAGCCTGCGGGCTGGATCCGGGCCCCCGAGGGCATCTATCCGGCCCGCAGGCTGTGGAGCAGGGTGAGAGGCGGGCGAAGGGGGAGGGAGTCGGCAGGCGAAGGGGGGAAGGCGGCGGGCAAAGTGGCTTGGGCCCGCTTTGCCCTCTGTCTCCGTGGGCCCAGCCTCTCCTGCCTTCGGGATACAGCCTCGCCGCATCCAGGAGGCAGGAGAAAGGGGGGGGGGGGGGGGGGGGGGGGGAGGCGGCGGGCAAATGTTATCCCTTGATCTTAAATCCAGTCATGTTCGACTCTGGGACTCTGCTGCTCATCTCCATTTCTAAGCTGAAGAGCCGGTGTTGTCCATAGACACCTCCAAGGTCATGTGGCCGGCAAATGTGAGTAGATCTATTGATCTACTTACATTTGCATGTTTTCAAACTGCTAGGTTTATATTTATTCTAACCTGCTAAGTTTATAATTGTTAAAATAGTTCTTCATTTTAATTATTGTATTATTTAAAGTGTTTTTTTGCACTACAAATAAGATATGTGAGGTGTGCATAGGAATTCATTCATGTTTTGTTTTCAAATTATAACCCGGCCCTCCAACAGTTTGAGGGACTGTTCAAAACGTTTGGGGACCTCTGGAGTAGACTAACAAGCAATATCAGCCATTAGATATAGTGGGAAAGCTGAAGATCCTTTTGTATATGTTCATTTTTTATGTTCTGTTTTGGTACTTTAAGTCAATGAGTTGTACTTCTGTAGTAGCAGATAGTATGTAGTATGGAGTTGTGTAGTTCTTTTTAATTTTATATATTTAAAATTCAATTGTATGTTTGTTTTTCTCCTGATTTACTATTAAGATTTTTTATTATTTACTATTAATTAACATTAATACTAATTAAATAAAAATAGAATTTTAAAAAGTTTTTTAGGACATTATCGCTTATGTGAATTCAAGATTTTCTGCCAATATCGGAGCCAGAGCTTAGTTCCATTATACATCAACCAGGAACATTTATTTTTAAGCATGTTGAGAGTTATGTTTTTTCTTAGCAGCATCACCACTTTCTTATTGCTTGGAGGGATTAGAGAAGAGAGGGAAATAGGTGCTGCTAATGCACCCTAATCACAATCTGAATGGGGGAAAGAAACATAAAGCTAACCACTAGAACTAAATAAAAATAGGTGTGTATCCCTATTTTCTATCACACTACACTTATGAAGTGCCCTCAAAGCCACAGCTATCAAAATGTGAATAATGACAGCCAGGTCCTTGTGCTGGTTTTGTTGAAGCTAAGAAAAGGAACCTCCCATCGGAGAATTCAGAAGTACAGGAGAACAGAGACTTATCCTCTATGGCAGGGGTCCACAAACTTTTTAAACAGAGGGCCAGGTCACAGTCCCTCAAACTGTTGGGGGGCTGGATTATAATTTGCATATATCTTATTTGTAGCGCAAAAAACACTTTAAAATAATACAATAATTAAAATGAAGGACAATTTTTACAAATATAAACTCATTAGTATTTCAATGGGAAGTGTGGGCCTGCTTTTGGCTGGTGAGATAGGATTATTGTTGATTTGTGTTTTTGTGCTTTCAAGCGTTTCAGACTTAGGTTGACCCTGAGGGAGGGTTGGGTAAATGACCTTGGAGGACCGTATCTGGCCCACGGGCCTTAGTTTGAGGACCTCTGCTCTGTGGGTAAATATAATCTATTCACGACAAACAAAATGGTCAGCAAACCATATCAGAGATTAAAATCTCTAGGTCACACATGTCAAATGCAAGGCCCATGGGACCAATCTGGCAAATGGGGCCATTTCATGTGCTCCACAATGACTTCAATGCCAGGGAGACATTTATGCAGCCTTACTATGATTGAAGGCAACCGTAAGGCTGATGTTGCCCTCAGAGAAAATGAGTTTGACACCCCTGTTCTAGGTTTAAATGTGCCAACGTTTATGTTTAAATATGTTTACCCAGTTCTCAACATCCAGACACTACTTTAGGAACTAATCCACTCCTCCTGAATTAGTAGAGAATGAAAAACGAAATTGTTTGTCATTAATCAGATGACGAAACTGTTTTTCAGACTGCAAGAAAAATGCATAGGAAGAATTTTGTTGCACCACACAGTATGAAGCTTGTCTTTTGAGCAGCAGTCTTCCAATACAGTACTTAGGCCTCAGCCTATTAGGTACAGGGAAAACCACTGCCCACCCCCCTTTCTAACATGGTAGCTCCAGAAAAATAAGGAGAGACATTTTTCCTCCATCTCTAAATACTGGTAATCTGTCAAGGTACGTTGAGTTTGAAACTCTGAAAACTCTTTTTATAACCACAGAATTGCTTTTGAAACATTACAACCTCACAATAATAGCTCCTACACTTGGTTCTACAAAATATTAGCTTCATACTAACATGTCTTCCTCTCATTCCTTGGAAAGAAAACAAAATTGTTGGCTAGATGAGAAATTGGGGAGCCAAGCTCCTTTTCTGCATGGATACTCACCTTGAATACCTGGTCTAGTGTTAAATAGCGGTTAGCTTCAGGGTGAATAGTCCAGAAAGAGATTTTGCCATTGGCAGATGTCTCCCGAACAAACATGTCATGAAGGGAAAGGTTGTGTCGGATGGAGTTCTGGACGGGAGAGGAGAAACATTTGTTGTTTCAGTTACAGAACATTTATGGATTCTTCAGCCCAAATGAAACTGAAAATCTACAAAGATAGTGACTGCCACTATAGGCTGTTTTAGGAGGTAGGATTATGTGGCCTCCAGAGTTGTTCCATTCACCCTTATCATTGGCTACGCTGGCTGGGGTTGACAGGAGCTGAAATCCAGGACTATCTGAAGGGCCCTCTTTTCCGAGTTCATATAGTCAGCAGGTGGTAGTATTCTTTTTTTTAACCCATTAGGTGCCCTCCCTTCCTTACCAGTTAACCTTTCTAGACCTAATGGGAAGAAGCTACTCAAATACTGAAACATAACCAAATCAAAATAACGCAATGGTGGGTGTGGATCGTTTCGGATCCCATCCCAGAATGAACATTCGCCCTAAATCCAATACCTCATTCTCAGGATGGCGCAGGGGGCAATTCACCACAATTAGGAAACTAACCAAACTTCCAAATCTGGGCAGGTAACTACAGCACTGTTCTCCAAAATGCAGCCCCTGCTGATTTATGCTTCTCTAATTTGTTTTATAAAAGTACTTGACCCAGACCACTTGTTGTCTCACCAAAAAAAAAAAAAAAAAAAAACGACAAAAAGGAGGCAGTCCGAATGGATCAGTCTGAAAAAGAATGTGGACTCCTGTCAGTTGGGTTAGAATACAGGAGGAACCCTTTGTTGTTCATTCGTTCAGTCGTCTCCGACTCTTCCTGACCTCATGGACCAGCCCACGCCAGAGCTCCCTGTCGACCGTCACCACCCCCAGCTCCTTCAAGGTCAGTCCAGTCACTTCAAGGATGCCATCCATCCATCTTGCCCTTGGTCGGCCCCTCTTCCTTTTGCCTTCCACTTTCCCCAGCATAATTGTCTTCTCTAGGCTTTGCTGTCTCCTCATGATGTTGCCAAAGTACTTCAACTTTGTCTCTAGTATCCTTCCCTCCAATGAGCAGTCGGGCTTTATTTCCTGGAGGATGGACTGGTTGGATCTTCTCGCAGTCCAAGGCACTCTCAGAACTTTCCTCCAACACCACAGTTCAAAAGCATCTATCTCCCTTCGCTCAGCCTTCCCTAAGGTCCAGCTCTCACATCCGTAGGTTACTACAGGGAATACCATGGCTTTGACTAGGCGAATCTTTGTTGCCAGTGTGATGTCTCTACTCTTTACTATTTTATCGAGACTGGACATTGCTCTCCTCCCAAGAAGTAAGCGTCTTCTGATTTCCTGGCCACAGTCTGCATCTGCAGTAATCTTTGCACCTAGAAATACAAAGTCTGTCACCGCCTCCACATTTTCTCCCTCTATTTTCCAGTTGTCAATCATTCTTGTTGCCATAATCTTGGTTTTTTTTGATGTTTAGCTGCAACCCAGCTTTTGCGCTTTCTTCTTTCACCTTGATTAGAAGGCTCCTCAGCTCCTCCTCGCTTTCGGCCATCAAAGTGGTGTCATCTGCATATCTGAGGTTGTTAATGTTTCTTCCAGCAATTTCACCCCAGCCTTGCATTCCTCAAGCCCTGCACATCCTCGCATGATGTGTTCTGCATACAAGTTAAAAAGGTTGGGTGAGAGGATGCAGCCTTGCCGTACGCCTTTCCCAATCTGGAACCCGTCTCCTGTTCCGTGGTGAGTTCTGACTGTTGCTACTTGGTCCTTGTACAGATTCCTCAGGAGAGAGACAAGGTGGCTTGGGATGCCCATCCCACTAAGAACTTGCCACAATTTATTATGATCCACACAGTCAAAGGCTTTAGAATAGTCAATGAAGCAGAAGTAGGTGTTTTTCTGAAACTCCCTGCCTTTCTCCATTATCCAGCGGATATTGGCAATCTGGTCTCTCGTTCCTCTGCCTTTTCTAAACCCAGCTTGAACATCTGGCAACTCTCGCTCCATGTTTTGCTGGAGTCTTCCTTGCAGGATCTTGAGCATTACCTTACTGGCATGAGAAATAAGGGCCACTGTACGGAAGTTTGAGCAGTCTTTCGCATTTCCCTTTTTTGGTATGGGGATATAAGTTGATTTTTTCCAGTCTGATGGCCATTCTTGTGTTTTCCATATTTGCTGTGATAGGGAGGAACCCTATCACAGTGGATTACTCCTACGCGATCCTGAGAATGGAGAATTGTTTGCATAACACGTTTTTAAATCTTAGACTGAAAAGATCCACTACCTTCCAGCCTGGTTTGGCTACATGCTTGAAATAAGGAAAATGGTCCTCAATCCAGGTATAGATGTCCTTCAGCATCATGCGTTTCTTCTCAGTGCTGTTGATGGCAAACTGGATCATGGCCATATAGGAGTAGGGGGGCCGTTCAGTGAAGGACTCCTGCCCTGAGGAGGTGGAGGAAGGAGTCGCAGAACTTTTCTCAACCTTGCAATTAGAAAAGAATAGACAATACCATGATTAATGGGAGACCTACAAAACATTATACCAGGGAGTACTAAATCTTGGGATTCAGGGAAACACTACTTATGATAAGATTAGCCGCTTATTTGATTAAGTGTGTAAAACTGAGATGGGCAACTGCCGTGGGTACAATGATTAGTTTTTTAACCTTAGGAACATCTGAGGGCTGCAATGACAGTAAAAAATGAAAACCAAACAAAACCAAAAATAAAACCAAAATCCCAAATAAAAAACAAATTCTTTCCCACCTTCAACTAATTTAGAAGGTGGATTGCCTCTCCTAGGGGTTTCCTGGAGGCAATTTGGGAACTTTGAAGAGACTAAAGGCCAGTGAAATGCTTGTGGGTGACCACATGCAGTCTCAAAATCACCTTTGTGTTTCAGATTTTTAAAGCCTGAATTTAGCAAAAGGATTCTCCTAGGCTGGAAGCAGCTAGGCTTTGAAGCTGCAAGGCTATTCAATGCTAATAAAGCTAGCCAGTTCCAACATTTAGGCTGAAAAAGCCCCCCCTTCCCCAGCTGATAATCGAGTCAAGGTTATTTATTATTTTACTCTATTTATTATTATTATTATTATTATTACACTTTTAATTTAACTTTATCATTATTGTTATTACATTTATTATTTTACTCTATTTATTACTGTTATTGTTAATTTCCATTACTTTAATCTATTATTATTATTATTATTATTATTATTATTACATTTATTATTTTTACTTTCTTTATCATTATTGGAAGGCTATGTAAGCAAATTTACATTGAAGAAGGTTAGAATAATGGTTTAATCAGAGTTGTACAGTCTTATCTTAAATTACAGATTTATGTAAATATTCACAAACATTTAACCTACTGATGCCTCAGTTAATGTAACTTTATTGGTATAGATTTTTATTTTGAAATTTACCAGTAGCCGCTGCATTTCCCACCCTTGGCTTATACTCGAGGTAATACTTTTTCCCAGTTTTTTGTGGTAACATTAGATGTCTTGACTTCTATTCGGGTCAGCTTATACTCGAGTATATACGGTAATTCCTCCCTTACTCCCTTTGACTCTTTAATTGTACAATTTTCACTTTAGAGGTTTGATTTCTATCATATAGTCATTATTATTTCCTAATAGTAACACTAAGATGCATGGCTTAAAACTTCAGTGGCATGTGATAGCTGATGTTGATTGGAATAGAGTTTGGCAATGAGAACCTCCTAAGTCAATATCATCCTAAGGAGACAACATAAAACCCTCTTTATAGATAGTACTTAACACCAATGAAAATCTCATAAATTATGAAAAATACATTTCTGCAGTACTGGAGGAGTGTGATTTATGGAAAATTACATGCACATGTGGTGGGGCTGTGTAGTTGTTTGAATATTCTGAAGGATACCTTTAATGAAATATGTAACATTACCAGGTAAGAAGTTCAGTTTGTTCCAGACTTAAAGCAATTGAACATTTTCTCGGATTCTAATGCTCATAATTATCATAAGGACTTAATAACTTTACAGAAACTTGGTCCACTTTTATTTGCTATGCCAAACAATCAACAGTCCCAAGAAGACAAGCCTCAAGCATCCATGTTTGCATGTGGAATGATGCAGTTGGTTGAAGAAGCAAGAAGCATTGCCTGAACATTAAGCAAAAAGTGGGTGCTAGAAACAATATCATACGAAAGCTGACTGGCACAACCTGGGGATCACAACCAGATACAGTGAAGACATCTGCCCTTGCGCTGTGCTACTCTGCTGCTGAGTATGCATGCCCAGTGTGGAACACATCTCACTACACTAAAACAGTGGATGTGGCTCTTAATGAGACATGCTGCATTATCACAGGGTGTCTGTGCCCTACACCACTGGAGAAATTACACTGTTTAGCCGGTATTGCACCACCTGACATCCACCAATAAAGTATCACAGGGTGTCTGCGCCCTACACCACTGGAGAAATTACACTGCTTAGCCGGTATTGTAAAACCTGACATCCGCCGGGAAGTAGCAGCCAATAGTGAAAGGACCAAGGCAGAGACATCTCCAGCTCATCCCTTGTTTGGGTATCAGCTAGCACGTCAACGACTTAAATCAAGAAATAGCTTTCTAAGATCTATAGAGACACTCGCTGGAACTCCTCAGCAAGCTAGAATCCAAAAGTGGCAGGCTCAAACCTAGAACCTCAATCAGTGGCTGATTCCAAATGAGAGACTCCCCCCTGGGCACAAAGAAAACTGGGCGACTTGGAAGGCGCTGAACAGACTGCGCTCTGGCACCACGAGATGCAGAGCCAATCTTAAGAAATGGGGCTACAAAGTGGAATCCTCGACATGCGAGTGCGGAGAAGAGCAAACCACAGACCACCTGCTGCAATGCAACCTGAGCCCAGCCACATGCACAATGGAGGACCTTCTTGCAGCAACACCAGAAGCACTCCAAGTGGCCAGATACTGGTCAAAGGACATTTAATCAACTACCAAACTCACACATTTTGTATTTTCTCTGTTTGTTTGCTTTGTTCTGTTAGAAATGTAATATAATTGACTGGCTGCCCTGACACGAGAAATAAATAAGTTGGTTGAATTAGATATTGACTCTGAAGACCAGATTATATACTGTACATTGTATTAATACTTTGCAATGTTGTTAGCTTATTTGTAGACTTTGTTTGTTTTAGAGATTGTCTTTGATCTTCATCTTTTTTTAAAGTTTTCAACGCCCCCCCCCCCTCGAAGAACCAATCGCTGCTATGAGATCAGAGTGAAGAGAGGGGCCAGGAAGGCAGTTCCATCTTGTCTCCTGCACTGTGCTTATTATATAATATATTGTATATACATATAATATTGATAATATTATAATGTAATACAATATACTACTACTACTACTACTACTACTAATAATAATAATAATATATTATTATTATTATTATTACAATTATATATTTTATATTAAATGTAATATTACTAATAATATTACAGTATAATGTTATAGTACAATGTAATATATAATATTAATATTGTGCTATGATAATAATATAATATATTGTATTTACTTTTTACTTGTAAGCCGCTCTGAGTCCCCTTCGGGGTGAGAAGGGCGGCATATAAATGTCGTAAATAAATAAAAATAAATAGATGTCTCTGTATTATAATGCAAGGGAAAGAAAGAGTTGCTTCTACTTGATGTATTTTCATAGAGGTCGCAGGTGGAATGAAACCTCAAGCAATGAAGGTTACTGTTTAAACAAAGGTATTTTATGGAATATACCACAGGCAACAGTTTGTCAAGTCTGTTCCTAATGTGTTCTTGGCCACACATGTTTGCCAAGGGGGAACTCAGAGATGTGTGGCCAATAACCCATATTAGGAACACATTATACTTCTTTGGTTTCCAGGAATAATTCAACAGACACTTATCCTGCTAATGTTTCTATCTTTCTCCTGTTCACATCCAGAGATCTCCTTATTACAGATAGAAGACAGAAGCATATGAAAACATATGAAAGGGAAAAAGTGGAGAAGTATCCTCTGGGGCATCAACAAAGTAACAGTGACAAGTATGAGAGATAGGACCCTCCATTGTTCTTGGGCCCTGTGGGCTTACCTTGACTGTTTTGTGTGCTGGGGTCTGGTTCTCCTTCTCCATCCCTTTTTTCATGCTGCAAGGACTCAGTTCACTGGAGCTCATCTTGCCCAGCCACTGGATGTTAGTTAGGCTGTTGTTTAGGCTGCAGCTTGTTGTCTCCCTGCTGCCTATAAGGAAACAAATTCATACTCCCTCATTCTGTCACCTGAGACCACCAAGAAGAGGTTCTCACTTTTTCTTTGAACAGAGTCAACATCTAAGAGATAAGAAGGCTTACAGTAGAGCCTGGTCAGTACCACCTGAAGTACCTGAATAGACTTAAGTTGAAGCAAAGCTTCATGTATACACTAGCTACTCATTCCTATTTATAGCTACGACCATCAGCATTTTACTGGATGTGCTTCAGTACTACAAAGAAAGAATATATCATAAGACCCCACTATGGTTCTCTCCGAATGAAGCCTACCACATGAGAGAGCTTCCCAGAGAGAAATGGCTAACATATAGCCAATTATTAAAGTTCGATACACAAGGGGCAACACTTAAATCTCAAGAATTAAAACAAATTGACCCGTCTATTTCTTGGTTCCAATACCAGCAGATTAAAGAAAATTTCAAAATAGACAACAAAACAGGATTTGAGACAAGAGACACATTTTGGGACAAGATAGTGAAAACAGATACAAAATTAATACAAAAAATATACCAGCAACTATTAATTTGGTCTACAGAAACCGAACAAGTGAAAGAAAATATGACAAAATGGTCAAGGGACATAGGTAGATATATAACTATGTCAAAGTGGGAAGAAATCTGCCTTAGAAAACTAAAATATACATACATAACAGAGCTCAAAGAGAACTGGTATAAAATATTCTATAGGTGGTATTTAACATCAGAAACACTATCGAAGATTAGCAAGGGTAAAACAAAAGATGAACGTTGGAAATGCAGAAAGCATAAAGGTAACTTTATCCACATGTGGTGGAAATGTAGGAGAGTAAAGAGTTTCTGGCATGAAATATATAAGATTAAACTAATCCCGAATATTAAATTTTATTTATTTACTTACTTACTTACTTACTTTATTTATATACCCCTTTTCTCAGCCCTCAGGCGACTCAAAGCGGTGAACAACATCAATACAAAACATCACGAGACAAGTATAAGGCAATTAAAAACAATTGTAACATAAATCATTAATTTTAACCACCCTTTCCCCGTCCCCCGTGGTTTTTGCCCTCTTTCCCTCTTGCCTTTCCTCACGTTTATTTCTTTTTCCCTACTTTACTATAACTCATTGTTCCCACTCTTTTTATGTAAATATGATGAAAATACAGTAACTCTCCTTTCGTTGCTCCTACCCTCAAGGAGCAAATTTATTCTAAATAAAAACAACTTTAAAAAAAAGAAAAGTCTGAAAAATAGAAAAATGGCAAGTGAAGTTTTTTCTATTGTTCATTATAGGAAACCATCTGTTTAATTTATGAATGCCAAAATTGCCTTCACGAAACTAGTACCCCTTTCAGACATAAATAGAATGAAGTCCTTAGATATACTGTAAAACAATACATAAGATTAGAATTGCCCCACTCTATTTCTTAACATAACCTCAGTTTAATTTTTGGCATCTTTGAGAGAATATCACTGGTGATCCCGAAACAACAAAAGTTTGTAAAGTAAAAAAACATTCATTTCACAGGAGACACCATCCCATTACCAATTCCTTCTCTCTCTCTCTCTCTCCTTCTCCTATTCCAGCAAAATTAAGTCATTAGACCAGTTGTTTCCAGATGTTTTGGCCTACAACTACCAGAATTCCCAGCCGGTTTAGCAGCTGTGTTGAAGGCCAAACCTCTGGGGACCCACAGATTGAAAACCACTGTATTACAGACAGAGACAGAGAGACAGAGGGGCGGCGGTTGCTTTGCCATTAGCCCATCTACCTAAGATAGGTACCCACACATTTCTTTACCGGAGAAGGCAGGTCTATGTTATCTCATTGCTGAGTCATTTCAGCTTCACTAAAGCCACAGGTTTGCGGTCCGTGCGCATCTAGCTTCCCAAAAGGCCAAATCAGACATAGATGGATAAAAGGCAAAAGCAGAGGTTTCTTCTCAATGGCCACAGAGGATATCGGCGGAGAAAGCCCTCCAAAGTACTGACATGCCACCCAGTCTCCACAAACCAGTGTTTCCTTCATGGGTTTATAGAGACCAAAACACACACCCATGAAGGATGGGCTATAGTCTTTAATTATTTCTTGTGACACATTAGAAGTATTCTCAAGATCTGCTAGCACCCCCTTATGCTTAGTTTAAGCATAACTATCAACCATTAGATTCTTATCAGAACATTTCAGTGCACTACAGAAAATCCTCTGTTTTCAACCTCTGATGTTTTCTGCTCCAAAGGATACTCCAAATAAATACTTATCATTGTTTTTGGGGGCAACACTTACATTTTTCACCAAAAAGGTCTACATACCATTTCCATCCTGTTCTTGTTCATCCAGAGATAGTGACTCTTCCGTTGTTCCAGAGCTTTGCCCACTGCACTTGTGTTCTTTCTGTGCCCCTCTTGCAGCAATGATAGGCGGATCTTCAGGTTGAAATGTTCCTGAGTCTGTCTGGGCATTGCGACTCTCACCACCAATGAGAATAAACTTGTTAGGCCCATTATCACCAGATTCTTTTCCCCTGGTCATCAGAGCCTCAAGGATACTTTGGATATTTGCACTGGCAGGAACAGACACTACCTGTGTATTTGACAAGGTAGGATGATCAATGATCTTAATTCCTGTAAGGACACTCTGAGGCACAGGTTCGAGTCTGTTTGTATCACTCTCATTGCTTCTGGCTTGTTCCTTCTGGGGGGATTCTTTACTTGGTTCACCTTTTACTTGTGTGCTAGATGAATCAGGGGGTGAGAGAGACAATTTCCGTCTTTTGAGAATCAAAGGCCTGTGTGGGCTGCTCTTCATCCTCAACGAGCGCAGTCAATCTCCATCAATGACAAAAGAACAGGTCCTACAAAACACAAAGAAGTGCATTACAATACAAATACAAATGTCATATTACAATAGACGCTTTGGGAAATAAACAGTTTGTTTTCTCCACTCAAATTTTAATGCAGGAACTATATTCTATAGCAGGGGTCCTCAAACTAAGGCCTGGGGGTCGGATATGGCCCTCCAAGGTCATTTACCTGGGCCTCACTCAGGGTCAACCTAAGTCTGAAATGACTTGAAAGCATACAACAACAACAATCCTATCTCATCATCCAAAAGTAGGTCCACACTTCCCAGTGGAATACTAATAAGTTTATATTTGTTAAAATTGTTCTTCATTTTAATTATTGTACTGTTATAAAGTGGGGGGTTTTTTTGCAGTACAAATAAGATATGTGCAATGTGCACAGGAATTCATTCATGTTGTTTTCAAATCATAAACCGGCCCTCCAACAGTTTGAGGACTGTGACCTGGCCCTCTGTTTAAAAGGTTTGAGGACCTCTGATCTATAGCATATCCTGGCAGTAAAATAGCATTTCTCCCAAAGTACCCTGGGTGGCTCACAACATAAGTCAAAACAAAGTACAGCCAAAACAATGAGTATAAGAGTTTGAAATAAATACCCATATTAAAACAGTTTAAAAGGTAGTTTTACATAATGTTGATGATAAAAAATACATCACTTCCCAATGAAAAGACCTCCTGAAAGGGCAATTTACAATCAGAAGTGTTTACCTGCTGGTTGAAAGAGAACAGAGAGGGCACTAACATAGGCAGTCTGGGAGCAGCCACCATCAAGACCACATTCTGTGTCACACCGAATATGCTTGTGATGGGAATGCCCCATCCTTGGGGCGGGGGGAATGCCCCCTGCCCCAAGGATTTTAAGAATTGTACAGTCTCATCTGGAAGATATATGGCCTGGGTCCAGAGAGCCTGGATGCAAGTCATATAGTTATATATGCAAGTCATATAATATATAGTCATATATGCAAGTCATATAATATAATGCTAATAATAATACAATAATTTTATATTTCATATTACATGTAATATGTAATATTATTACAGTATTGTGGTATAGTACAACATAGAAATATATAATAAGAATATTGTGCTATGCTAATAATATAATACATTGTATGTACACATCACTTGTAAGCCACTCTGAGTCCCCTTTGGGGTGAGAAGGCCAACATATAAATGTCGTAAATAAATAAATAAAAGACTTTATAGGTGATAACTGGCACTTTGAATTGTGCCCAGAAATGAATTGGTACCCACTGAAGCTGTTTCAAGATTATGTGTTCTCTATAACTCTGATCAAAGGTCTAGCCACAACCCTTTGGATCCATTAAGTTCCCAAATAATTTCCAAAGGCAGCCCACGTAGAATGTATTATAATAATCCAAATGGGATCGATGAATTGATATACTACTGTGTCCAGATCTGAAATTTCCAGACACAAGTGCAACTGAATCACTACCTTGAACTGTGCAAACACACTTCTGAGCACTGCCAAAATGTGGGCCTCTTGGCTCAGGGCTGGATCCAAGGGTATGCCCAAGCTACAAATCTGAGATTTCAGAAAAATGGTAATGTCACCAGATTCAGGTTGTATACCTATTTCTTGATTTGCTTTTAAACAACCTCTGACTTGTTTGGATCTAGCTTCAGTTTGTTTGCCCAATTCAGTTCGTTACTAACAACAGACAGCTTCCGTGGAATTGGATGAATAGAAGAAAGTTGTGTGTCATCAGTGTACTAGTGACACCAAAGCAAAAACTCCAGACAACCCTACTGGTTTCATGTAGATGCTGAATAGCATGGGGGGATCAAAATAATATCAGGGTACCCTGCAAATCAACAGAAAACCCCCATCACCTCCTTCTGAATGAAATACCTTATAAATGAATAGAAACACTTTGAAAAAGTGTCCCAAAGTGATTACCGTATATACTTGAGTATAAGCCGACCCGAATATAAGCCAAGGCACCTAATTTTACCACAAAAAACTGGGAAAATTGATTAACTCGAGTATAAGCCGAGGTTGGGAAATGCAGCAGCTATTGGTAAATTTCAAAATAAAAAATAGATACAAATATAATTTCATTAATTGAGGCATCAAGAGGTTAAATGTTTTTGAATATTTAAGATAAGACTGCCCAACTCTGATTAAATCATTCTGACCTTCTTCAATGTAAATGTGCTTGTGTATCCTTCCAATAAAAATAAATACATTAAAATAATAAAGGTAATAATAATAATAGAGTAATATAATGGAAATGTATTATAAATACATTTGTATTTATAATAATAAATAGAGTAAAATAATAAATGCAATAATAACAACAATAATAAAGTAAAATAATAAATGTAATAATAATAATGCATTTATTATGTATTTATAACAGAGTAAAATAGTAAATAACCTTGACTCGAGTATAAGCCAAGGGGGACTTTTTCAGCCTAAAAAAAGGTTTGAAAAACTAGGCTTATACTCTAGTATATACAGTAATTACAGTATTGCTATCCACCAGAGAACATAAATTAGTTGCTTGTTGAAATGGCTTAGTTCTTAACTTTGGGTTGTAAGGTGTACCTATTTCCCTCTTTTTGTTTAATTGTTAGGTTAAAGTCCTTACAGTCATGCCATTATTTTAAAAACTTGTGAATCAATTAAACTTTTAAACTTGTGAATCAATTTTCTTTTCTCAAGTAAGACAAGAAATAAAGGGTGCTCTCATTTTACTGCCCTTTAGGCTTGATTTTCTACTATGTCCTCTTTTTGCAATATAGCTTTATTTAATCTCCAATTCTTGGTAATTTTTTTCCATTATTATTTAAGTCATTAAGATTTTCAACAACCAATAAATATCTATCCTCAAGTTTTATTTATATCTTTCTGAAAAACAGTTGCAGTCACCTCAACTGCAATGACTTATGAGAACTGTCAATGAATAGACCTTGGACTGGAACTGTGGATTATAATTTGGATTTGGTTGTGTTTTAATACTTTAAGGGTCAATATTTTAATGTATTTTTATAATCTTGTTGGTTTACTTAATATTAATTGTCTGTACTGCGATTGTTTGTTTGTTGGCATCTAATAACTGCCAGTTGTAAGCCACTCTGAGCCCTTTTTGGGGGGTTGAGAAGGACAGGATATAAATGTTCAAAATAAATCAATAAATCAATCAATACATTTTCTTTTCTGTATTTTATTCTCCATCCACCATGTAGTCTTAAATTACACTGTGTAACATATTTTTTTGTTCCTGGGTTATAAAAGTCATTCCCTAGTTGGTTCTATCATTAAAACAGAATAAGTTTATTAAACTGCAAAAACTTTGTTTTTGTGGAACATCCTGCAGCACATTTTGCTATAGTTTTTCAGTGACTCAACCAGTCACCCAATTCAACATAGTTTGTGGCAGCCACAAACTATGTTGAATGAGTAACAACTACTCTGAAAGTAAGGATCACACAATTATACAGGAAATAAAACTTTCAAACCAGGAACAGATGTTTTTTCAAATTTTGTGACATAGTGTTATCAATAAAATTGGAAAATCCCTGACAGATTTCCTTGATACTGTTTTATGTCTGGCTTTCTTTATCTGACGAACTTTGGTCCAAGAAGCCAAGTTGTTCCTTGCCGCACTATCTACAAAGTCAGTTATCCACTTCTGTTATCCTTCTCTCCCTTCCTGGGCCATGTCTTTGAACTGGCCTTGGTTGTTGCTGAATAAACAATTTCTGTTCCTGCCTTCAACCTTGTGCTTATTGGATTGATACTCTAGTACTTGAAGAGGACTTGAGATTTTGGATAACACAGATGACCCAGGACTGCAGACACCAGAATAACAGAACCCTTACAAGCTTCCAAACAGGACTCCACTCAGCTCACACAAACAATCAGCCTTATCGTAGATACAAGTTCACTAGAACACAATAGAATGAGAAGACCCTGACGAACACACAAGCTTGTTTTCTTTCTTTAAATAGAAACATGGTATACTTGTGCAAAACTATTACAGGTTGAGTATTCCTTGTTGAAAATGATTGGAACCAGAAGCATTTTTAATTTTTGAGTCTAAACATAAAACTAATTTATGTGTCGTATATGTTGTATACACAAAGCCTGAAGTTAATTTCATACAATCATAGAGTTGGACCATCAGGCCATTCCATGCAGGAAAAGCACAATCAAACACCCCCAACAAATGACCATCCTGCTTCTTTAAAAGCTTCCAAAGAAGGAGCTTCCACCACACTCTAAGACCGCACATTCCACTGTTGAACAGCTTGTATGGTCAGGAAGTTCTTTGCTAATGTTCAAGTGGAATCTCCTTTCCTGTAATTTGAACCCACTATTCTGAGTCCTAGTCTTAGGGCAGCAGAAAACAAGCCTCCTCCCTCTTCCTTATGACATTCTTTCAAATATTTAAACATGTCTCCTCACAACCTTCTCTCTTCTACAGCTAAGCACGCCCAGCTCTTTAAGCCACTCCTCATAGGCCATGTTTCCAGGCCTTTGATCCTTTTAGTTACCTCTTCTGGATATCTTCCAGCTTGTTAATATCTCTTTTAAATTGTGGTATCCAGTATGGGACACAGTATTCCAGATGAAGTTTAACCAAAGCAGAATACAGAAGCACCATGACTTCCCTTGATCAAGACCAGTGTTTCTCAAAGGTGTTTTAGACTTCAGCTCTCACAATTCCTAACAGCTGGTAAGCTAGCTGGGATTTCTGGGAGCTAAAATCCAAAACACTTGGAGGAGCAGAGTGTAAAAAACACTGATCTAGACGCTATATTCCTTTTGATGCAGCCCAAAATCCCACTGGCTTTTTTAGTTGCTATATCACATTGTTGGGTCATGTTCAACTTGTTGTCCATTAAGATTCCAAGATCTTTCTCATGGACTGTTGTCTAGCCAAGTGTCACCATTTTGTATCTTTGCATTTCATTTTTTCATAGTTTTGGCCCAGCTCTCTAATTGGTTAGGGTCATTTTGAATTCTAATCCTGTCTTCTGGAATATTAGCTATCCCTCCCAATTTGATGTAATCTACAAACTTGTCCTCTAAACCTTTGTCCAAGTCATTAGTAAAGCTACTGAACAGCACTGGGCCCAAGACTGAATCCTGCAGCGCTCCACTGGTCACTTCTTTTCAGGGTGAAGATGAACCACTGGGTTCAGTGGCTTAACCAATTACAAATCTACCTAACAGTAGTACTGTCTAGCCCACATTTTACTACTTTGTTTCCAAGATGATCATGGAAGACTTGGTTAAAGGCCTTACCGAAACCAAGACATGCTACATCCATAGCATTCCCCCCATCTACCAAGCTTGTAACTCTATAGGAAAAAAAGAGATAAGATTAGTCAGGTATAACTTGTTTTTGAGTAACTGATGTTGACTTTTAGTGATCACAGCATTCTTTTCTAAGTGACTACAAATTGCTCCCTTAATGATCTGCCCCAGAATCTTTCCGATTTTGATGTCAAGCTGACTGGATGGTAATTGTTTGAGTTCAAGATAGGGACAGCATTCGCCTTCCTCCAATCTGAGGGACTTCTACTATTCTCCAAGGATTCCCAAAGATTATTTGCCCGTGGTTATGAAATTACTGTAACAGCTCAAATAAATTTGTGCCTAAAACCAAGTTTTTGAACATTGAGTCATCAGAAATCAAAAGTGTTACTATTTCAGCCAACCATGTAGACAATTTTGGATTTTGGAGTATTTTGGAATCCAGGATTCCAGATAAGGGATGCTTAAGTCCAGAGAATTTTGAGGACTATATCTCTCTGTATGTATCTATTAGAACTCTGCAATCATCTGGGGAGGACCTTCTCTGTGTCCCACCACCCTCTCAAGCTCAATTGATGGGAACAAAGAAGGCCTCTTTGGTAGATGCTCCCAGACTCTGGGACTCCCTCCCAAGAGATACCAGGAAAGCCCAATCTCGTCTTTCACAGGCAGGTGAAATGTACCTTTGCTATCAGATGTTTATGAAATGATAAGAGGCAGGCTGCTAGGGATGGGGTGAGTGGGACTTTGGAGGCCTGTGTAGTTTTTAAGTGTCCTTTAAATGTATTTTAATATTGTATGTTCATGATACCAAAGATTTAATTGCTTTTAAAATGTTTCATATTAATATTTTAATACATTTGCCCTATGTCCCTATAAATGAATAAAATCCGTCATAAGCTCAAAATTAGTAAGAGGTAGACGACGTAACCAATCTTTACTAGTTGCAATTCCATGCTATTTACTAGTATTTTACCATGTAAAATATATGGTTCATATTAAGTCATGTCACACTTTGCATACGAGTAGAAGCATATGGGGATACTGCAAAGCATGCCGCAAGTTTACCATAAGAGTCTCTAGGACCTAGGGATTTCTAGAGAGAACATTATATGTTAGATATATTATAATATAGTGTTTTCAGAAAATTGAGTTTCTTTTTAAAAAAATGGAGCCACAAATTCAGTATACATTTTATTATTTTGTTAAAGTATAATAAAAAATGAGAAAAAGACTAGGATTACAAAATATCTCCAATTTTCTTTTTGGTCGTGTCAGAAGTCGCTTTTGGTGGTCACTTCTCCAATGGGATTATAAAATAAAGAGAGAAAAGAAAAAGTACTTCTGATCCGCATATCAATATCTTCAAAACCTCTCTAGTTTCACCTATTTTCAAGAGTACTAATCTACTAATAGTTGATCAAACTAAGCATCAATTACATTATCTTTACTTTTCCTCAAAACTTCACAAGGTTTTCCACTCTTCAAGGAATTTTTCTACAGATCCACCTTGAATTAAATAGTCAGTTTATCCTTCTCAGCTAAGATCATCATGTTTACTGTCTAATCATCTATGTTTAGTATTGCTAAATATTTCAATATCAGTCTCACTACTTTGATCATATACTGCAGTAATCTTTCATAATCTTTCTCTAAGTGTTAGTCCATAAGTCCACAAAGGAAAAAGAGAGAGAGAAACCAAGCTTTCTTTGAGCATTTCCTTACATAATCCTCTGGAACAATGTATGTATTTGTATCCAAAATGTTTTAGCATTCTCACAAGGCATAGTAAGAAATGCCTTTCTGTTTTCCACACATCTATCCTGTATTAGCTGCATCTCTAGACACCTTAAACAATTTCTTAGGAGTGACATAAACAAATCTATTTAGTTTTGCCAGGTTATGAAGAGGACAAAACAAAGTAGCAACCTGTTAAAACAGGAGAAACAATTAACAGTAGCAAAACAAAGGTTATTTTGTTTCTACTAGTCTTGCACAGTGTGAAACAGACATAAACCGTGCACATTGTCATAAAAAGAGCCAAAAAAGGAAACCAACACCACAGATTGCAATGTTATGAGATGCTGTAAATAATCTTGCACAAAAGTTTATTTGCTCCATGGCTTTTAGAAATAATGCAGGAAGATAAAATATTTGAACCCCTTATCTTAAAAACTATTTATTTATTTACTTATTTACTTACTTCTATACTGCTGTTCTCAGCCCGGAGGCGACTCACAGCGGTTCACAGCACACAGGAAACATCAAAATTCAATGCACCATTATAAAAAACAGTTAACAACCTAATCTAATACACAGTTAGTACACAATTACTATAATAACCATTCACTAGCGTCTCATCACTAAAAAACACGATCCAGGTTCGTCATCCATTGTTCCATTCCTATGTCATTACCAATCATTGCACTAAATTATTTGAACGCCTGCACAAATAACCAGGTCTTTACTTTTTTGCGGAATACCATTAGAGATGGTGCTAATCTAATGTCTGTGGGAAGGGCGTTCCACAGCCGGGGAGCCACCACCGAGAAGGCCCTATCTCTCGTCCCCGCCAGCCGTGCTTGTGAAGCTGGCGGGATCGAGAGCAGGGCCTCCCCGGAAGATCTCAAAGTCCTGGTGGGTTCATAGGCCGAGATGTGGTCGGATAGGTAGCTTGGGCCGGAACCGTTTAGGGCTTTAAAGGTCAACGCCAGCACTTTGAATTGAGCCCGGTAGCAAATCGGTAGCCAGTGGAGTTGGCGCAGCAGGGGGGTTGTATGCTCCCTGCGTTCCGCTCCTGTTAGAATCATGGCTGCCAAGCGTTGGACTAGTTGAAGCTTCCGAGCCGTCTTCAAAGGCAACCCCACGTAGAGAGCGTTGCAGTAGTCTAGGAGGGATGTAACCAGAGCGTGGACTACCGTGGCCAAGTCAGACTTCCCACGGTACGGGTGCAGCTGGCGCACAAGTTTTAACTGTGCAAATGCTCCCCTGGTCACCGCCGAAACCTGGGGTTCCAGGCTCAGCGATGAGTCTATTAAACTATTCTTCATCAAAAGAGAATACTCCACAACACATTAACCTAAAACCCACCAGTTTTGGGGAAGAAGCTCATCCTTTTCGAGCCACCATCCTACCCACAGGTTTTCACATCTCTAAGGATGCCCTCATACAGCTGACTTAAAACATTCAAAAAATTCAAAATTATACCTGATTTGACATTTGTTTTAACTGTTAGAATATTTAGGTGTGTTTTATAGTTTACATTAAATATTATGATACAACAAGGTATATCTATATATAAGAACACTAAAATAAGTAAGATTTAGGGGGCTAGTGGAGGCCCAGAACACTGTGACACTACTTACTTGTGATGGAGAGAAATGGATGGTGAGGGATGTGCTATCGTCATCCACATCTGTGCCATGTTTATTTTCCTCTTGGAAGATACAGGAAGCAGTATTTGAAGAAAGTACAAGCTGATTGCCCTGCTGAAGGAGAAACCAAGGCAACTTGAGGCTTGCCTAGCAACGTTTCAGGGAAAAGTTTTGAAGGAAGCACAGTGGACACTGAAAGGAGGAGAGGGATGTTGCAGGCTTCCGAGAACACAAGTAGAATAATTTCTGTGGATGGAAAGGGTCCCTGCCAGTTCCTAGAGGACAACTAAATGTTGTGAGCACTCTGTATCAGAGATGGTTATTCAGAGGTTGTTGGAATGAAATTTCCATCACCTTTGGCTAAGCTAGTGAGGGTTGATAGAATGTGTGTTGGATACCATGTAGAAAGTGTGTTGGATACCGAGTGACCTTGACAAATGCCTGTATTTCATCACATAATCACCGCACTCCCATTGTTGGCTCGCGTAATAGTCGCACCCTTGATTTCCCAGTCCCCCCTCTCACCATCACCCATTTAGAGACCCACTTGCCTGCTTCACTCACCCACTGGCTCATCCAACAGTAAATCCACAAGCACGCCCTCCAACCCACTCACGCAAGTGGTCACACATCCATTTGCTGACCATCCCCTTCCAGCAACACTGCTTGAATATGCATTATTGGAAGAGGGTGGTCAGAGAATGGACGGGCAACTGGGTGAGTGCATGACAGTGTGTGTGGGCAGATGGATGAATGAACGAGTGAGAGAGTATGTGCACGAGTGACTGGGAGAGAGGGCCTTTGGGCATTCTCCCCTCATATAATAGTCACAATCCCCAAAAGGGGTTTGCATGCGATTATTATGCAATGAAATACAGTAGTTAGATATTGCATAATAGAGAAATAACAATGTACATAACCATATAAAAATAGCCAAGAAGTACTGTATACCTTAAAGGCATCAGATCCTGTCTGATTTTGGAAACTAAGCCAGGTGAGCCGTGCATAGTACTTGGATGGGAGATTAATGATGAAGGCCACGTGTGAGACAGTAAAAGAAAACACCATTGTGTCCTAAACACAGGCGCACGCCTGTAATCAAGCTGCGCGGAGGCTGAGAGTGGTGGACAGCGTGAGCTCAGGAGTTCTGGGCTGCGGTGGGCTATGCCGATCAGGTGTCTGCACTAAGTTCGGTGTTAATAGCACAAATGTTGCCAAGAGGAAACCTTGTCACCATAAGTTAAAAATGACTTTAAGGCACGCAACAAAAATGCTATATTTCAGTGAAAGATCCTGGCAAAACCATCTTTAAGTATTCATCCCTATGAAATTCTTAAGTTGACCCGCAACATGAAGGCACATACACATGCAAGCAAAAAGCTACTTCTGGTTTTACCTTCTAAGACTTTTGGTGCAAGTTTGGGTTGTGGGTTATAAGAAGATGGCAAAATATGTTTTAGGTTGCTTTATTGCCTGAAAATATAAAATGATGTGTTGATGGGATTTAGGAGTCCATTAAAAGTGATGGGAGGCATACTTTGCCCCATCCCTACTGTATGGTTTACTGAGATACTGTATTTGAATCACACTGAATACTATAGATGCATCTGCAGTAATGAACCCCAATGAGTTCAAAGGGACTTAATTCCAAGGAAGTTTCCATCATGTTTTGTCCAAAGTGCTAGAGACTCAGAAATTAAGCAACAAAAGGAAAGCTACAAGACTGGCATCCATCTACTATTAGTAAGTGGTTCATAAGAAACGTCTCTGACATTTTGTATGAAGTCTTTTAAAGACAAATGAAATGATCACAATATTGTTTCCCCTGAAAGTTTAGAACACAATATTGGATTTTGGGACTGGTAGCAGAACAGAGTTCTCATTAGTCTTGTGGGCTGTGCTTGAAGGCTGGCTTTCCATTGTCCTGTTGCCTATAAAACTGTGAAGAGAGATCCACATTGCAGAAAACACTTGAGTCTCTTGCAACCTCTTGAAAGACACAGACACCAAATTCTTCATTGCAGAGTCAAGCAAAGAGGGGTGGCTTTCTAACAGGCACAATGAGTAACATGACTGCCCACTTCAGACAAACCTACATAATGGAATACCCCTTTCTTCTAAATACTGGTTTGTGTTTGGCATTTGGGGTTTTTGAACACAAGTGTTTGCATATATCAGTAAATGCTTAAGGAGATATCTTGGCGTCCCTACATGAAATTCACTTACATTTCATACTAAAGTATATACCCAATATTGCCCAGGTGTCGGAGGGCCCATTGCTTTCACCCCTTCTTTTTTTGTCATTTCTTCCCTCTCTTCATACCTTTCTTCCTTTCCTTTCGTCCCTCGCCCCCTCCCCTCCTTTCCTTCTCCATTCCTCCCTTCTGCAGCTCTGAAAGGGCCTGTCTTACAATGTCTCCATGGAAATGCTTGGTGGCTCTTTCCTCCCTCTCTCCAACACAGGTCTCCTTTCTTTCCCAGCAAATCACAAAGGGCTACTTCACCTAGCAACAGCTTAAACCCTTGTACCATATGTCAGCGGTTCGAATCTCAGGAGAGTGGGTTGAGCTCCCTATTTTAGCTCCAGCTCCTCGTGTGTGGACATAAGAGAAGCCTCCCACAAAGATGGTAAAACATCAAAACATCCAAGCATTCCCTGGGCAACGTCCTTGCAGGTGGACAATTCTCTCACACCAGAAGTGACTTGCAGTTTCTCAAGTTGCTCCTGGCACACACACACACAAAAACAAACCCTAGCAACAGCCTTTGTGGTACAGACTTATGTATAGATATACATAGTAGTAGTAGTAGTAGTAGTAGTAGTAATTTTATTGATTAGCCCTCAGGCCATATCACAATAAGAAACAGAACAACAAGGCCTGGCAAGACCTGATCACACTCCACGTAGTAAGTTAAAATAAGACACTTATAACAATACAGTAAATAAATATGATAAGACAGGATAAAACTGATAAACTGATCAAGCTTATCAGTGGCTTGTTCTCGGTCTTGCAGCTATTCTGATGTCTGAGGTGGAGTATTCATTGGCCTGTAGAGCACAGTTTAGGTGGTTCAGTTCACCTTGGAGGAGGTGGGGTTCGCAGATTCTTTTTGCACGGTCTGCAAGACCAAGAACAAGCCACGAGAGTCAAGACAAAGATCCACCCAGAGGAAAAGTGTTCTTGCCATACATCAAGGGAACCACTGACCGCATAGGGAAGCTGATGAGGAAACACAACATACAAATTATCTACAGACCCACAAAGAAAATCCAACAAATGCTATGTTCAGCAAAGGACAAGAAGGATCCTCTCACTTCTGCAGGAGTCTACTGTATACCATGCAGCTGTGGACAAGTCTACATAAGGACCACCAAACGCATCATTGCCCAAACACGAATCAAGGAACATGAAAAGCACTGCAGACTACTTCAACCAGAGAAATCAGCCATAGCAGAGCACCTGATGAACCAACCTGGACACAGCATATTATTTGAGAACACAGAAATGCTGGACCACTCTCACAACCACCATGTCAGACTACACAGAGAAGCCATTGAAATACACAAGCATGTGGACAATTTCAACAGAAAGGAAGAAACCATGGAAATGAACAAAGTCAGTTAGAGCAGGAGTAGAGTCCGTATGCTGCAGTGAGATGTCAGTTAATATATGAGTCTGTTTGCAGCACTGAGTTGAAGTATAGTACAGTGTAGTACAGTTTTAAGTTTAATTCAGTTGACATCTGTTTCAATAAGCAATGTACCTTCTTGCTAAATACACGAAGCTTGTAAGTATATCAACTATGTTAACTTTTAATGAAGACTACTTTTTTTGGTCTCTTGAGAACATGATTTTAAAACAATATATTTTATGGGAGATTATATATTTTTGTGCAACAGAAATAACACTTCTGAAGATCTGCTACATATTTTATGCACTGGCATCTCTTTGTTCCTAGCGGTTCAAAGAGATAGCCAAGTATATCAGTCTAACAGCTGAGAAGCCTAAATTGCCTTGTATAAATACTAGTAATTTGCCACTAAGGTAGTGGTTCTCAGGTGTTTTGGCCTGCCAGAAATCCCAGCCAGTTTACCCGACTGTTAGGATTTCTGGGAGTTGAAGGCTGAAACATCTGAGGACCCACAGGTTGAGAACCACTGCACTAAGGAGAAGATTGACTCAGGTGAGTTTGTAACTCTTCTCGGGAAGATCATACTTTACAAAATGGTTACGATCTCTATCAAGGTCATGCCTTTCCAAAAGGTTATGATTATTCCAAATAGTCTGGCTACCAGTATTTAAAAAACTCTAAAATTACAACAGCAAAACAACAGAGAGAAAACAATCTGGGACATGTAATCACCTCTCAACAAAAGACTGCCCCAGGCACTGCCAGGCCATCAAATGATAATCAAGGTGGTTAGTTGAAACATTCACACCTAGCTACAACACACAAGAGTCCTTTGTCCCACCCTGGTCATTCCACAGATATATAAACCCTTTTTCCTAGTTCCAAAAGACCTCAGTATCTCTGAGGATGCTTGCCATAGATGCAGGCGAAACGTCAGGAGAGAATGCCTCTAGAACATGGCCATATAGCCCGAAAAAACCTACAACAACCCAATAAAAATAGTGTTGCATAGTGTAATCTTCTTCGCCATAGGCGCTCTGTGTATCCCGCCCTCCCTCCCCCTCCACTCTAAGCTCTCTCCCACCAAACCTAAAGGACTGGTCCCTTCCCCGGCCTCTTGACCCCATCCTCGCCTCTCTCACCTGTTCTTGGGGCTGGAGCGGCGGGGACTGGCTGCAAGCCTCGTCCTCCCCCGCCTTGAAGGGAGAACGTGGCGAGCCAGCCTCCAGCCCCTCAGGCGGTCGGTACCGCCGTCTTCCGCCTCTTGTGTTGTTTGAATTTGGCGCCCAACAAGGACGTTCGATGCCACGTGACGGTGCCGGGCCAATTAGAGCGCAGGGGGCGGGGCCTGTGAGGAAGGCGAGAGAACGGTAGGAGCAGCGGCCCAGGCGCTTCTCTTTCGGAGGCAGACTTCTTGTGTATGTGTTCATATGGATCAGGATAGGTGTTTTGAGTTTGTATGTGGGTGCCCTCACCTGCCACAGTCATTCCCCAGCTCTGGCCCTCCACGGTTTGGAAGGGACTCCAACTCCCAGAAGCCTCAGCTGCTCTGACCCAGGATAAGGGATTCTGGGAGTTGAAGTCCCAGAGGGTTTTCATCCTCCAATGTGGTTTTGCCAGTTTCTTCCTTTGACATGTTGCCTGCAACAGCTGGCATTTGTTAGCGGCGTCCCATTCAAGAGCTGGCCCTGCTGACTTTGCAAGATCAATCGCCATCTGGGGCATTTAGGATTTCTGTTGACGGTTAACTGTCCTGCAGTTCCAGAAATAAAAGGAATCACCAAAACAAAGATATTAATAATATTGTAAAATAATATTTATACTTAATAATATAATATTTTATAATAATATTTATACTTATGATATAATACAATATAATATGATATCTATATAAATAAAAATGTAATGTTCGTTTGTGGGATTAACAGAACTCAAAACCAGTGGGCCAATTGGCACCAAATTTGGACACAAGACACCTAACAACCTAATGTATGTCCTTCACTCAAAATCTTCTGATTTTGTCATTTGGGAGTTGTAGTTGCTGTGCTTTATATTTCACCTACAATCAAAGAGCATTCTGAACTCCACCAACAATGGAATTGAACCAAACGTGGCACACAGGACTCCCATGACCAACAGAAAATACTGGAAGGGTTTGGTGGGCAGTGTCCTTTGGTTTTGGAGTTGTAGTTCACCTACATCCAGAGAGCACTGTGGACTCAAACAATGATGGATCTGGACCAAACTCTACACGGATACTCAGTATGCCCAAATGTGAACACGGGTGGAGTTTGGAGAAAATAGAATCTTGACATTTGGGAGTTGTAGTTGCTGGGATTTAAAGTTCACCTACAATCACAGAGTATTCTGAACCCCACCAACGATAGAATTCGGCCAAACCTCCCACACAGAACCCCCATGTGGGCCACAGCAATGCGTGGCAGGGGACGGCTAGTCTATATAAATAAAAAGTAATGTTCATTTGTGGGATTAACAGAACTCAAAAACCACTGGGGGAATTGACACCAAATTTGGACATGATACACCTAACACCCCAATATATGTCCTTCACTTAAAAAGCCCCAAAAAGCTAAATGACGAAAAGCTAAATGACAATACAGAAAAAAAGGAAGAATGAGGGGGAAGGGGAGAAAAGAAAGAAAGAAAGAAAGAAAGAGGGAGGGAAGAAGGAAAGGGAGAAGGAAGCATATAAGCAAAGAGAAAAGGAAGGAAAGAGGTAGAGAAGGAAGAAAGGAAAGATAGGGAGGAAAAGAAAAAGGAGGAAGGAAGGAAAGTTAGAGAAGAAAGGAAGGAGAGAAGGAAAGAAAAAGGGAAAGAAGGAAGGAAAGAGGGAGCGAAGGAAGGGGGAAGATGTAGAGAAAGAGGGAGGGAAGGAAAGAGAGAGGGAAGAAAAGAGTGACATCAGAAGAGAAAAAAGGGGGAAGGAAGGAAAGAGATGAGAAGGAAGGAAGAAGAGAAGGAAAGACAGGAAAGAAGGAAAGAGGGAGTGAAGGAAGGAGGGAAAGAGGGAAGGTTGGCCACAGCAATGCGTGGCAGGTACCACTAGTAATATAATATTATTTATTTACCACATTTATATGACGCCCTTCTCACCCCGAAGGGGAATCAGAGCGGCTTACAAGATATATATATATATATATATATATATATATATATATATATATATACACACACACACACACACACACACATACACGCTGTGCCACTAGGGGGCCCCAGTAGTATAGTACAGTATAATAATAATATATTTATTTATTTATTTACTATATTTATATACCACCCCTCTCAGCCCACAGGCAACTCAGGGTGGTTTACAGTCAGTACCAATACCAAAAAGTACAATGAAAACATTAATATAAATATAAAAGAAGTAAAAACAATCAATATCAATTAAAAACATATATAATTAGAGTCTCCTTGTTCAAACAGTGTCCAGTCACGTCGTCCAGTCTTTCCATTTTTCATCTGTAGTAGTAGTAATTTTATTGATTAGCCCTTAGGCCATATCACAATAAGAAACAGAACAACAAGGTCTGATAATACCCGATCACACTCCACGTAGTAAGTTAAAATAAGACACTTATAACGATACAGTAAATAAATATGATAAGACATGAGAAAACTGATAAACTGATCAAGCTGAGTATATACATCATATTTCATTATCACCCCTACAACTTACCCCAATCAGCCCTACATATGTGGTTCTCAGACGTATTGTTTTGCTTAAGTACAGAGCTGTTTTGAATGTTATTTTTGGGTCTTGACCACACATAAAATATGTTGTTCTGATGTGAGATTCCCAATACATTGTCCATTTGACAATCTAACCATTGTCTCGAGCTGATCAAATCTGACTCGAGTGAATACCTCCCTGAGATTTTTCATCTGTAAACGCTTACTCGGCCCCTCTTCCTTTTTCCCTCCATTTTCCCCAGCATCATTTTCTTCTCTAAGCTTTCCTTTCTTCTCATGATGTGGCCAAAGTACTTAATCTTTGCCTCTAATATCCTTCCCTCCAGTGAGCAGTTGGACTTTATTTCCTGGAGGATGGACTGGTTGGATCTTTTTGCAGTCCAAGGCACTCTCAGAATTTTCCTCCAACACCACAGTTTACGCTATGCAACACTATTTTTGTTGGGTTGTTGGTTTTTTCGGGCTATATGGCCATGTTCTAGAGCAGTGGTTCTCAACTTTCCTAATGCCACGACCCCTTAATACAGTTCCTCATGTTGTGGTGACCCCCAACCATAAAATTATTTCTATTGCTACTTCATAACTGTAATTTTGCTACTGTTATGTATCGTCATATGAATATCTGATATGCAGGATGTATTTTCATTCACTGGACCAAATTTGGCACAAATACCTGATATGCCCAAATTTGAATACTGGTGGGGTTGGGGGGATTGATTTTGTCATTTGGGAGTTGTAGTTGCTGGGATTTATAGTTCACCTACAATCAAAGAGCATTCTGACTCCACCAATGATGGAATTGAACCAAACTTGGCACACAGAACTCCCATGAACAAGAGAAAATACTGGAAGGGTTTGGTGGGCACTGACCTTGAGTTTTGGAGTTGTAGTTCACCTACATCCAGAGAGCACTGTGGACTCAAACAATGATGTATCTGGACCAAATTGGCACAAATACTCAATATGCCCAAATGTGAACACTAGTAGAGTTTGGGGAAAATAGACCTTGACATTTTGGAGTTGTACTTGCTGGAATGTATGGTTCACCTACAATCAAAGAATATTCTGAACCTCACCAACAATAGAATTGGACCAGACTTCCCACACAGAACCCCCAAGACCAACAGAAAATACTGTGCTTTCTGATGGTCTTTGGCGACCCCTCTGACACCCCCTCGAGACCCCCCTCGGGGTCCCGACCCCCAGGTTGAGAACCACTGTTCTAGAGGCATTCTCTCCTGACGTTTCGCCTGCATCTATGGCAAGCATCCTCAGAGGTAGTGAGGTCTGTTGGAACTAGGAAAATGGGTTTATATATCTGTGGAATGACCAGGGTGGGACAAAGGACTCTTGTCTGCTGGAGCTAGGTGTGAATGTTTCAACTGACCACCCTTATTAGCATTTGATGGCTAATCAAGGTGGTCAGTTGGAATTTCAAGCATAATCGGCATTTCGGAAGATCTGTGCACGATGGGTACCCAGGATGCTGACGCTGGTTGCGGAAACAGAGTGTCGACTTGTTCCGTGACGGCTTCAGAAAACTTGTTCATTGTTGGCAGAAATGTATCCAATTGTCTGGTGATTATGTGGCAAAGCGAATAGTGGTAGTTTAAAAGCACATTCTAAGGATTATTTCTGCGTTTGATTTATTAAAATATTCCCATCCAAACTCAAGTAACGACGGTGGAGGCATTATTTTTCATTCAACCCTGGTAGAGAAAGATGTTGAAGAGCCCTGGGCCCAGGACTGAGGAGAAGGCCGACGTCACGCTCTTTGCAAGCTGATGCGTGGCTTTGTTTTCCCCCCTCACCCCGCTCTGGCTGCGCCCAATGAGGAGCAGGCGTTGTGCGCACGCGCCGCCCAGTGCCTCGCGGAGGCTCCAGGGGCGGGAAGGCGGAGGAGGGGGGCGGTCCCAACCCGGCGAGGGGGCCGCCCCCTCCCCTGGTTGCCATAGCAATGGCAGGATGGCCAGCCGGAGCGGAGTGACTTTGGCTACCATGGGAGCCAGGTGAGGCCAGGGCCCGAGGGTCCTCTTGGCGGGGCGCCCCCTTTTGGGCGAGGGGGGTGCTGGGGCCGCAGCAGAGGCTGGAGGGAAGCCCAGGAGGGCGACGCCCGGCCCGCGAGCTTGCAGGGATCCCCGCCAATCAGCAGGCGCGCGGAGGCCTCCGTGTCTCGAGCTCTGTGGCCGGAGAGAAGGCTTTTGCAGTGTATCATAGAGGCGCTGCTTCCTCTCACCCGGAAAGAAGGGAAGGGGGCGCCATGACGGCCGCTCCTTCCCCCATCTCCTTGGTCCTTTTCATCAGTCAAGCCTATTTTTATCAGTGGAAGGGAGGCGCCTAAAGGGGAAGAGCAAGGAGGAGGGCACCCAGATCGCTGGAAGTTTTGAAGCAAAAGCTGGATGGCCATCTGTCGGGGCTGCTTTGATTGTTCTTTTCCTGCATGGCGTGGGGTGGGCTAGATGTGGTGACTTCCAGCTCTGATTCTTCCATCACCTTCCCCCTAGCAACAATATAGTACTATAGAACACTTTTTTTTTGTTCTGTCAGGAGCGACTTGAGAAACTGCAAGTCGCTTCTGGTGTGAGAGAATTGGCCGCCTGCAAGGATGATTTGATGTTTTATCATTCTTGTGGATGATAATGTCCCCGTATGAGGAGCTGGAGCTGATAGAGGGAGCTCATCCGCCTCTCCTCGGATTCGAACCTGCGACCTGTCGGTCTTCAGTCCTGCCGGCACAAGGGTTTAACCCAATGCACTACCAGGGGCTCCTATATAACACTAATATTGTGCTATGCTAATCTATATAAATAAAAATGTAATGTTCGTTTGTGGGATTAACATAACTCAAAAACCACTGGACGAATTGACCCCAGATTTGGACACAAGACACCTCTCGGGCCAACAAGTGACCATCACTCATAAAAACACTGAAAAACACAGCAGAAGGGACTTTTAAAAGCCAAAAAATACATTACAACGCACACACAAAACCACATATATATACACAAACACACATATATACACACATATATGCATACACACACAAAACACACACAGGAAGGAAGGAAGGAAAGAAGGAGGGAGAGAAGGAAGTAAAGAAGGGCAGAGAAGGAAGGAAGGTGGGAGGGAAGGAGAGAAAGAAGGAAAGAAAAAAGTAGGAAGGAGAGAAAGAGGGAGAGAAGAAGGAGGAAAGGAGAGAAGGAAGGAAAAAAGAAGGATAGAGAAGGAAGGAAAGAGAGAAGGAGGGAGAGATAGGAGGGAAGGAGAGAAAGAAGGAAAGAAAGAAGGGTAGAGAAGGAAGGAAGGAGAGAAGGAGGGAGAGAATGAAATAAAAAAGTGAAAGAGGGAAGGAAGGAGAGAAGGAACAAAAGAGAGAAAGAGGGAGGGAAGGAAGGAAGGAAGGAGAGAAGGAGGGAGAGAATGAAATAAAAAAAGTGAAAAAGGGAGAGAAGGAACGAAAGAGAGAAAGAGGGAGGGAAGGAAGGAAAGAGACAAGGAATGGTGGAACCAAAGAGCAAAGGAAGCGAGAAAAGAAACAGGTAGAGAATCATAGAAATCATAGAATCAAAGAGTTGGAAGAGACTTTATGGGCCATCCAGTCCAACCCTCTGCCAAGAAGCAGGAATATTGCATTCAAATCACCCCTGGCAGAAGGAAGAAAGAAGAAGGGAAAGAAAAAGAGGAAAGGAAGGAAAGAGGGAGGGAAGGAAGGAGAGAAAGAAAGAAGGAGAGAAAGAGGGAGGGAAGGTTGGCCACAGCAACGCGTGTCAGGTACAACTATTAATATAATGTATTGTATATATATATATAATATTGATAATAATTAGTACAATATAATACTAATAATAATACAATATAATAATATTAATTCTATATTATATATTACATGTAATATTACAGTATACCAATATAGGACAATATAGTAATATATAATGCTAATTTTGTGCTATGCTAATAATCTATATAAATAAAAATGTAATGTTCATTTGTGGGATTAACATAACTCAAAAACCACTCGGCGAATTGACAAATTTGGACACAAGACACCTCTCAGGCCAACGAGTGACCATCACTCATAAAAACACAGCAGAAGAGACTTAAAAAGCCAAAAAATAAAGATACATTACGACGCATGTGCAAAACCACATATATATACATATTTATTTATTTAAAACATTTATATTCCGCCCTTCTCACCCCGAAGGGGACTCAGGGCAGAGCACAGCATATACACAGCAAACATTCAATGCCAAGACACAAATTCTTATATACATACATAAACATTAAAAACATTTATCAAAATATTAAAATGTACCATTTAAAGCCGTCCTAGTCATCCACGTCAAATCTAATTGGCCTTGTAATCTTTCCTATTGCTGCTTTATTGCCCTGTCCCGAAGGCTTGGTCCCACAGCCAAGTTTTACCATCCTTCTAAAGGACAGGAGGGAAGTGGCCGACCTGATCTCACCAGGAAGGGAGTTCCATAGCCAGGGAGCAATCACTGAGAAGGCCCTGTCTCTCGTCCCCACCAATCGTGCCTGTGACAATGGCTTGATGGAAAGCAGGGCCTCCCTGGAGGATCTTAATCTCCATGATGGTTCATAGGGAGAGATGCGTTCGGACAGGTAATTTGGGCTGGGGCCATTTAAGGCTTTATAGGCCAAAGCCAGCACTTTGAATTGTGCCCGGTAGCAAACTGGCAGCCACTGGAGCTGGCATAACATGAGAGTTGTATACTCCCTGTATGCCGTCCCAGTTATTAACCTGGCTGCCTCTCGTTGGACTAGTTGAAGCTTCCGAGTAGTCTTCAAAGGCAACCCCACGTAGAATGTGTTGCAGTAGTCTATCCTAGATGTAACGAGAGTGTGGACCATAGTGGCCAAGTCAGACTTCCCAAGGTACGGGCGCAGCTGGCGCACAAGTTTTAATTGTGCGAAAGCTCCCCTGGCCACCGCTGCAACCTGGGATTCCAGGCTCAGTGATGAATCCAGGAGGACACTTATACACAAAACACATAGACAAGACTGGGCCACAGCAACGCATGTCAGGGGACAGCTAGTATAATATATTGTATATACATATAATGTTATAAAGTAATACAATATAATAATAATAATACAATCTAATATTAATTATATATTACATGTAATATTACAGTATACTGATATAGTACAATATAGTGATATATAATGCTAATTTTGTGCTATGCTAATAATATATTGCATGTACATATAACTTGTAAGCTGTTCAGAGTCCGCTTTGGGGTGAGAGGGAGCAGGGTATAAATGTAGTAAATAAATAAATAAATACATATTGTTGTCCAGATTATACTATGACATCCACCAATTACACTATGTAACACGATTTTTTGTTCCTTGAAATTAAAAATATAATTTCCTAATGGGTTCTGACATAAAAAGGAAAGCGTATTAAACTGCCAAAACTTTGTGGTTGCGGTCGGCACATTGAAAGGTTAAAAATGGCATATTTTCATTAAAGAAAATTACCAGATGGAAGGAAATAATAGTACTACCCTCAGCCACAAAAATGAAGTTTCTGGAGTCTAACAACTACTTTCAAAGTCAGTGCCACACAGTTAAACAGGAAATAACACTTTCAAACCAGGAACAGATTTTTTTTTTCAAATTTTGTTACATAGTGTTATCCAAGCCTTCCTCAAGGTATAAAAATGAATAATAATAATGATAAAACTTTATTTATATTCCACTCTATCTTCCCAAAGGGATTCAGGGTGAATTCCAAACATAAAAGACAAACATTCAATGGGAAAATGAGCACTGTATGCCTACAGCTCCTCTAAGTGATAGTCTTTGTTTTCCTTTGCTTTCTGTGAATGTTCTGGAATTAATGGGGGGGGGGGGGATGAAATCTGGGATGTTGAATGGTTTTCCAGCTGTTGAATGGTTTTCCAGCTGTATGGCTGTGTTCTAGCAGCATTTTCTCCTGACATTTCGCCTCTGAAGGTACCAGCTGATGCAGCCAAAATGTCAGAAGAAAATGCTTTTAGGACATGGCTATAAAGCCTGGGAACAATACAACACCCCAGTGATTCCAGACATGAAAGCCTTTGACAATAATATGAAATCTGTTACTTCTCTCCCCCCCCCCTCCTTTTGCTTACCCTTTTGGGCACCATAGATCTGGAGAACAAGCCCTATGAGAAGCGGCTTAAAGAGCTTGGCATGTTTAGCCTGAAGAAGAGAAGGCTGAAAGGAGACATGATAGCCATGTATAAGTATGTGAGAGGTAGTCATAGGGAGGAGGGAGCGAACTTGTTTTCTGCTGCCCTGGAGGCTAGGATGCAGAACAACTGCTTCAAACTACAAGAAAGGAGATTTCATCTGAATATTAGGAAGAACTTCCTGACTGTAAGAGCTATTCAGCAGTGGAACTTTCTGCCCGTAGTGTGATGGAGGCTCCTTCTTTGGAGGCTTTTAAATAGAGGCTGGATGGCCATCTATTGGGGGTGCTTTGAAGTCAATTTTCCTGCTTCTTGGCAGTGGGTTGGACTGGATGGCCTGTGAGGTCTCTTCTAACTCTATGATTCTATAGGAGATTGGATTGTGCCTGCACACTGTGGGGCTATCTACTGGCTTCTGCTCGCTGTTACTTTGTTCCCAGAAAGTGCAGCTTTGGTGGTTGATCCTAGAAGAAACAACCACTTCAGTTTTGTTGCTTTCTCGTGTAAATTCTCTTTGGGCAGCACAGTACACTGAATTTTGTCCAGTGAAACATATCTTTCCTGCTATGCTGAGCATCGGGATGCCGAGGAGGAGCAGCTGCTTTTTTGTCTTGCTAGAGGTAGCAGCTGGATGTGTGTGTATCCTCAAGTCACTTTAAGGTGGATACATGTATTTCATACGGTTTCATTAGGCAACAGTTACTCAGAGTAACTGTATTATGTAGTTTTCTAGGATGTGCCTTCCTTTAAAACATAGCCTACTTACTCAAGTACTAACTAGGCCTTTAGGATATTTAGGGAGAGCTGTTCACTCTTCTTTATCATCTAGCCCAGTGGTTCTCAACCTGGGCCTTACAACTCCCAGAAATCCCAGCCAGTTTACCAGCTTTTAAGATTTCTGGGAGTTGAAGGCCAAAAACATCTTGGGACCCCAGGTTGAGAACTACTGAGTTAGTGAGTTGTTACAATAAAGGGGTTGTGTGCTCCCTATAACTAATCCCAGTTTAATAGTTTTGCTACAAATTTTAGGTGAATTTATATTTTTCAATGCTCATTGAAGGCAGCCTTGATGTACCGTACCACTGCAGTAATTCAAACAGGATTAACCGAGACATTTCTAGGAGTGTGTGCAACTGCTGAACTAGTTTTAAATTTGCAAGTATGCTCCTGGAAAGCTTTGAAACCTGTGCCCCCAAACACAGGATGGAAACTAGGAATATGTGCATGTTATGAACCTGTATTTAATTTTATTTTGGTAGTGTACTCAATTTTATTGATGAATTTGATGCTTGTTAATTTTTGTTGTTCAGATTATACATTGTTAATACATGGGCAAACTTCAGCCATTTTACCAGATGTTAGGAATTGTGGGAGTTGAAGCCCAAAACACCTAGAGGGCCAAAGTTGCTTATGGTCAAGAGCAAGTACGGAAATCAGGAAATCTACATGTTCTTAGACTGCAACTAGCCGCACTTTGCACCTTTCATTGGCTGTGCAGACTAGTGGTAATTGGGATAGAAATCTAATCAGCTAACAAAATAATGGTTAACAGGCAACTAATTAATTTAAGTAAAAATACAAATTAGATAAAAGAATAGTTAAATAGTAACAGATATCCAATATTGTCACAAATACTTTTCTTAGCAGTTAGAAGTTGACTCTAGACCTCTGCCATTTTACATTGTTACAATCATATCTCATCATGGGTGTTTCTAAAAAACTTGAATAGCTAACACTTCATTTCTTTTTCAGTAGCTTTGAGGATGAAACTTTGAAACTACGTCAACTGAAGCTAGAGAACCAGGTGAGACAAACAGGTGTGTTTGCATGGATGTAGTGAGGGACAGCACAAAGTGACTTTGTGTCTCTTGGGGCAAACCTCTCCAGTCCTAGAGTGTCATTAGAGAGTGATTGTTGGGAGAGTTTGTTGAACTAATGGAGAAGTTCAACAAACTTAGTAAATCCTCACAACCTCAGGTTCAATTATTCAAATGATATTTGCTGTAGAGTGAATTAATCTAAAGCAGGCTTGTCAACAGTGAAGCCTCTCTCGTAATCTAACTACTGCTTTCAATAGCATGGGTTTTCAAGCGTTACTAAGAATCCTTACCTTGAATAAGTAAATTATTTTATTCTTTGGCAGAGAACGCTTCTGGAGAAGAAGCAGAGGAAAAAGCGTCTTGAACACTTGATGGTTCAGCCAAACCCAGAAGCAAAGTTGTGCAAATTGAAGTCCAAAGTGGGTGAAGAACAGACTCCCTTAGTTGCATGCACTCGCTCTGTTCCTCGTGGTAAGAAAAATCTTACATTTGATGAAACACTTTTTTACTTCGAATAATCCTTCAAAGAAAAGCACTTCTAAAAATTCGGGAACAGTAGGCTATATTCTGTATTATGTAGTTTTCTAGGATGTGCCAATCAATATGTAGCGAAGTATATAGTTAAGTTTTGGTTAAAGTTGGAAAGGACGTACCTGGCTTCCTCACTGATTTATTTTAAATAGATCCATAAAACCAGGTCCTGTCTTCAAGACAAAAAAAAATCGTACTCGTTTTGTATTGTCTGTTATATGTATTGTATTGTCATGATTTTCACAACAATTTACATTCCAGTCGGTCTTTGGTCCTTAAACTGCTTTAAAAAGAATTGCCTTTTGCCCCACATTCTGGCCGAAGATCAGAATGAGTTCCAAAGTCTTTTTAGCAATAGACACGATTGCTCCGGAATGTCCCCTCCTGCATAGCTGAGCTAAATCACCTCCTTGTCTCAATGAGGAGCTGGCAGTGATGAAGCATGTAAAGAGGGAACTAGAATGCGTGTAGCGTTCAACTCGCCGTGAGTCAGACCATACACAGGTATGTGCCTACATAAGGGCATATGCTGCAGCAGTGAAGGCTGCAAGAAAAACTCTCATTGCGGCCAACATTGCGTCTGCTAAGAACCGTCCATCTGAGTTGTTTCAAACAGTCAGAGGGCTGTTAAATCCCATCTCGCAAGATGGGATCCCTGACCATTTGGCAGCTTGCTGTCAAGCATTGCTCGGTTACTTGCAGACAAAGTCACCCTGATTCATTCTGACTTGGATTCCATGTTAACGGCAGTCTCTGAAGATGTAACACAAGCACCTACCTATCAGGTTTTAATGGATTCATTTCAATTAGTTCAGCTTGAGAATGTGTACAAGTTCCTTGGAGAAGCGAGGGCAACCATATGCATCCTGGACCTCTGCCTATCCTGGCTGTTTTACAGTGGCTCCAGTCCTTCCTGGAGGGCTGTTCTCATAAGGTGTTGTTTGTTTGGGGACACCTGCTCAACCCTGCAACCTTATCCTGTGGGTTCCCCCAGGGCTCAGTATTGTCCCCTATGTTGTTTAACATCTACATGAAGCCACTGGGAGAGATCGTCTGGAGTTTTGGAGTTTGATGCCATCTGTACTCCTTTCCACCTGCAACTAAGGAGGCTGTTCAGGTCCTGAACCAGTGCTTGGTGGTTGTGATGATCTGGATGAGGGTTTACAAATGGAAATTGAGTCCAGACAAGACAGAGGTACTCCTAGTCAGTTACAAGGCTGAACAGGGGTATAGGTGTTACAGCTTGTGCTCGACAGGCTTATACTCCCCCTGAAGATTCAAGTTTGCACTTTGGGAGTCCTCCTGGGTTCATTGTTGAGCTTGGAGCTGCAAGTCTCGGCAGTGACCAGGGGAGCATTTGCAAAATTAAAACTTGTGCACCAGTTGTGCCGGTACCTTGGCAAGCCAAACTTGGCCACAATGCTCCACGCTCTTGTCACATCCTGAATAGACTACTGCAATGCGCTCTACGTGGGGTTGCCTTTGAAGACTTCAGAAGTTTAAAGAAGTCCAACGGGTGGCAACCAGATTCCTCACTAGAGTGATGTATAGGGAGCACACAATTCCCCTGTTATGTCAGCTCCACTGACTGTCAGTTTGCTACCAAGCACAGTTCAAAGTTCTGGCTTTATCCTATAAAGACCTAAACAGTTCTGGTCCAGCTTACCTGTCCGAACGTATCTTCCTCTATGAACCATCATGGAGGTTAAGATCTTCTGGAAAGGCCCTGCTCTCGGTCCTACCTCCTCTGCAGGCGTGGTTGGTAGGGACGAGGAGCAGGGCCTTCTCAGTGGTGGCCCCTCGGCTGTGAAACTCCCTCCCCAATGATATTATTTGAGCTCCCTCCCACGTAAAAACATGGCTATGGGACAAAGCCTTCGGATAGCAATTGCAGTGCAATAAATGGATACAGAATATTTGCAATGACAACTGGAATGGCTCCAAACTATGGACCGTGGTTTTAAGAATTGGTGTAATGTTTAGATGTTTTAATTCTTTGGTTTTAATGTAAATGTTTATTTTAACTGTATGTTGTTTCTATGGCATTGAATTGTTGCCTATGTGTAAAGCTGCTCTGAGTCCCCTTCAGGATGAGAAGGGCGGGGAATAAATATGGTAAATAAATAAATAAATAGTTTGGCTGTGCCCAATAGCTTATTTATTTATTGTATCAGAAGCAAACCAAGGGTACAGTTGTAATGGTTTTTTTAAACAAAAACAAAAACAAAAACACAAAGTTTAAAAAGTCAGCATTATATTAAATGTCCTTTAATATAAGAAGAAGAAGTCCAATAGCTGGGGAAGGACTTAGGGATGGCCCAAACTGGTTGGTGGGAGGTGACAAGGACCAGTAGGTCATATGATTGTTCCACCGGGAAGTAGGTTCAATCACAGCTGAATTTTAAATTTTCATTTTGTTGCTGATTACTTTTTAAAAGAAAGTATATGCAGATATTTAAAAATCAATATAGTAGTATATCAGTATTAGTGCACCTCCGCATAATAGGATTACTAAAGACATTTTAGGCGGATGTACACATATTCACAAAAAGCAGTACAAAAGGAAAGCAACCAGTGCCATATGGCTGGCCATGTGTAACCGTTTAAGATGAACACATCACAATATGCAATCTGCATGTGGATCTAATGGGGCAAATGCAAAGTCTGTGCCGATTAGGAAAATACAAGTCAAATAAAGATTTTCCAGGTATAGACTGGCCCTTTTTATTTGAAAATCTATTTATTATTAGAACTTGTCCAATGCATTTCCTTCCTCAGGGTAATCAACAAATAAACATAAAATATATAGATGCAATTAGCCAAGAAATATGTAAACATATTATTTGTTATTATTTATCATTAACCCATAGATATTGAAGGCAGCTAACAACCCCATAAATACATAAATTAAATGGGTTAAAACATAGGGAGAAAAACTAATCAACTCCAACCACGAAGAACAAAAGATCTCAGCAGCAACAACAGTAACAACAATAATTTTATTTCTTATTCGCCTCTCCTTGTGGCTCGAGGCGGGTTATAACATACAACAATTGTTATAATACTTATATACTCGTACTCATGGAGATTGGTAGATGCCAGAATAATGTAGTTTCTGGTTGCTTGAGAGTTACTATTAAAAATAGGCCTAACTAGTACTATACCCCAGGCATTCTCAAACTGCAATCCTCCAGCTGTTTGGGCTTCCAACTCCCAGAATTCCTGACCACTGAACAAGCTGGCTAGGGCTTCTGGGAGTTGGAGGCCTAAACAGGTGGAGGGCCACAGTTTGAGAATGACTGCTATGCCCCATAATATACTATATCATAAACTCTGTATTCACTTAATATTAATATTGAAATACAGGAATTGAAATCAAAGAAAAAATAACTTAATGTAACATTTCTGGTACATGGAGAACAAACTGGAGAACAAAAGGAAGCATGAGTCAGTATGTCTAGAAATAGTACCTTTGAAGTTGGATGTTCCTGAAGATATTACACGACTCCGACATGGTTTGTATAATGTCAAGCTGTAAAGTGGGATCAAATGGGAGTTCCTTTTGAAGCATTTTATCTGACAGGTTAGTCTGCAAAATATTATTTTCTGTTGGTTCTTCTGATTCCCCGTCATGTTTTTCTTGCTGAAATTCTTTTTTAAAAGATAATCTGTTCACTGTCACTGTCAGTATCTGGTGTAGTATGGTAAAACAACTGCTCCTTGAGTCACAAACCTTTTTCACAATTTTGATGCAAGTTCTAATTCACAGTTTGTCTCCTCGCATTGAGGGTTTAGTTTAGTTTTTATCTTTATTATTTCTTTCCATATATAAGGCTCAGACTAATTTGGAGGCTGTCTGGGTTGACTTTGAACCCTGGTTGTGAAATGAAAAGCTGGATGAGAGCCCTTAATATTAATGTAGAAGAGTGAATTTAAGTAGGTGTGCCTTGTTAGGAATGTACTACTTGCTGAAATGACCCTTTCTGCACAACTATTAAAGGCATAGGACCCCTGACCTATATTTCTGCCACCCTGCTTTGGACCCAAATTTGAAGGGTAGTTTTAAAAATTGAAGGTACATTAACTAATATAGGAAACTAGCCGTCCCCTGCCACATGTTCCTGTGGTCCAGTCTGGTAATCTGGAAAATAAAGTAATGAGAAAGTACTGGTTTCTACTGTATGTAATTTCTTTAGGCTTGTGGGTAAACAGTATTTCTTGTTGTTTCTTTGACAGTGTTGATGTAGAGATTGTCTGGTTTGCCAACTCTGGAACATGCAACATTTCTTTAGGGGTCCCTTTCAAATCTATAGTACTATATTGATGTGTGTGTGAATCATATATATCTGTCTGTCTGTCTATCTATCTATCTATCTATCTATCTATCTATCTATCTATCTATCTATCTATCTATCTATCTATCTATATCTATGGCTGGATGGCTCTTTGTCAGGAGGGCTTTGATTATGTTTTCTTACCCTGGTGAAGGGAGTTGGACTGGATGGCCTTGAGTATTATCTGTTGGTCATGGGGGTTCTGTGTGGGAAGTTTGCCCCAATTTTGTCGTTCATGGGGTTCAGAATGCTCTTTGATTGTAGGTGAACTGTGAATCCCAGTGACTACAACTCCCAAATGTCAAGGTCTATTTCCCCCAAACTCCATCTGTGTTTATATTTGGGCATATTGAGTGCTTGTGCCAAGTTTGGTCCAGATCCATCATTGTTTGAGTCCACAGTGCTCTCTGGATGTAGGTGAACTACAACTCCCAAACTCAAGGTCAATGCCCACCAAACCCTTCTAGTGTTTTCTGTTGGTCATGGAAGTCCTGTATGCTATGTTTGGTTCAATTCCATCATTGGAGGAGTTCAGAATACTCTTTGATTGTAGATGAGCTATACATCCCAGAAATTACAACTCCCAAATGACAAAATCATTTTTTTTAGTAGTGGTCACTTGGGTTAGTAGGTGTCTTGTGGCCAAATTTGGCAGCAATTCATCCAGTGGTTTTTGAGTTATGTTAATCCCACAAACGAACATTACATTTTTATTTATATAGATTCTTAATTAGCCATAGTTTTGGGCAGAATGGAATGAAACTTCAAGAGGTAATGAAAACCACCAAATTTCACACATGAGTCTTTCTCTTAAAGTGAGCTATGCTATTTATCAAATAGAGTTTTAACCGGTTTTTGGGGACAGGTAATGTTCATTAATGGTTCGTCTTCCTGTGATTTACAGGCCAAAGTCTTTTTCTTCCTGCTCAGCTCCTCTTTCCTCATTCTCCTCTATTTGGATAGTTCTTAGCAGTATCTATACTAGGAGCATGGTGAAAGAGGGCAGGACAAATATAGGTTTTAATATATTGGTTTGCAGCAGTATGCATAGTGCTGTACAATGGAATACAAGCCTGAACTGGGAAATAATATGATTCTACTCCAGTAATTCTACTGTAGCTGTATATACTGTTTATTGACAAGCAAGGTAAATAGCAACCTTTACTCAGGGATGCAAAGAGAGAGAAAAGGGGAACGCAGGTTAGCTTGCCTCACCTGTCATTCTAGAATGTAAAAAAACATAAATCTATAGACCAAAATGAAAATGCATGGATGGATTTTGGAAGAAGTTTTCAAATGGACTCTATAAAGTTCAGAATATTTTCCCTTTATGCAAGGCTTACCTTTGTTTTATATAAGCATAATGTTAGTTTTGAACAAGAGGTTTGATGAAACTTGTTGAACTGCTTTTCTTTTTTTGTAGTGCAGGAACCTCTTCCTATTCAATTAATGTGATTTCTGTCTCTATGACCAAATTTTCTATTAAAGAAGTCATGTTCATAAATTCATCTACTTTGTTAACTGAGCTATGCCAGTAAACAAATGGATGGTCATCTTGTTTTTGTGTGGAGCGCTCTAAGTACAGTCAGCTCTCCACATTCATTGGAGGTATTAACAGAAGACCCCCCACAAAAGTGAGGAAATGACAAGTAAACACCTTTTTTACCCAAGAGAACTCCTCTCTAGGTCTTCCAGCACAAATTTGTGGGCGGTTTTTGGCAGATATTCACCATATTGTGCTGGAAGAGCCATATATTGTGTTATTTTGAGTTATTGTGTTGTTGTTGTTGCTGCTGTTTTATTGTTGTATTTGGGCTCGGCCTCTTGTAAGCCGCACCGAGTCCTTTGGGAGATGGTAGCAGGGTACAAATAAAGGATTATTATTATTATTATTATTATATTAATAAAACTCATAACTAATGAAATCTGAAAAAGTGAAACCCATAAATATGAAACCTGCAAATGTGTGGCACCTACTGTATATGTGGTCTGTTTTCTACATAAATTTTGTATATTTTAATTATTGTATGCACTATGTTTTAGCAATCTATTTCACTCTGGTCAGCAGGTATTGATGCTCCAGCTGCCTCTCTAAATCAAATAGCACAAGACCAGATTTCTGTTGGATCATCCATAACAGAGAATTACACTGAACCAGAAAAACACGAGGAAATTCAATCGGATGTAGTTTCCAAGATGGATCTGCAAGACCTCTTACAGAAACGAGGTGAGAACTACTGAATTTCTTCAGTTCTAGGATGCACTTTCTCCCCCATATAAACATATCTAAAAATGAGGTGCATCTTAGAATTGCAGATATATATGTATATACATATACATACATACATATACATACATATATATGTGTGTGTGTGTGTGTGTGTATGTATATGTATATATTCTCTCTCTCCCTCTCTCTCTCTATATATATATATGACTTTATTTCTGTAGGTGGTACTGAAAGTAGTGTGTGTCTTACAATTCATGACATCTTAGAATCAAAGAAACATGGTAATTATGTAATGTAATTCAATAAGGATTTTGAGTCATTCGGTTTGCGTCATATTTTTGTTACTTATTTCACTGAATCTGGGACGCCATCGATTTCAAGAAGTACCCCTTCCTCAATTTTTGAGCTTCAATTTTGAGAAAAGGGAATTTTCAATTCCAAGATGCACCCCTTGTTTTTGGAGCGTCAATTTTAGAATTTTTTAATTTTATTTTAAAGAAACTATAGACTTTGGAATCTTATCTGCATGACAGATTGGGGGCGGGGGCAGCTGAGAGATCACTGGGGCTCCCCACTTGCTCCAGGGGCAGCTGTGTGAATATGTGTGTAGCAGCCTCAGACTTTGGGTAGGCAAAGCTAAATTCCTCTCTTGTTACCAAACACCTCCAAAAACGAGTTCAGGAAGAAGCTTTCCACACAGATTACAGGTGAGGAAGAGCAGCAGCTATCTTCCTTGAAAACTGTACCTTGCTGCTATGAGTTTGAGAGGTGATTTCCTAGAAATCTTGTGACTTCACCGAAACTTGGGGTGGGGGTGGGGGTGGGGGTGGGGGGTTAAAAGGCAGGCAGAGCAGTCATGGTCTCCATTGGAAACCACTTTCTGCATCTTGCTGTTATGAGTTTGGGAGACATTTTTCCAGGGAGATCATGACACCCCCCACCCCTACTTAAATGACACAGGGTAGGGAAGAGCCATTCACTGACTGCATCTACACTCTCGAAATAATGCAGTTTTACACCACTTTTAACTGCCATGGCTCAGTCCTATGGAACCAGGAGTTTTACAACATCTTGAATCCTCAGCGAACTACAACTCCCATGACTCCATAGCATTGAGCCATGCCAGTTAAAGCAACGTCAAACTGCATTATTTCTACAATATGGATGGACCCACCATTTGTCCTGCAAACGAATTCCCTAGCCTCTCTGGTATGCCATGGAGCTTGTCGCTGTTCTGACTTCCCCAAAATCATGTATGCTTCCCTAACTTTGCTGCTCCAGCCTCCAATGATTTGGGAGGTGATTTCTTTGCCACTTTTGTGGCAGTTCCTGTTCACCTAACCCCCGCAAAATGTTATGGGCCAACTATATTTCTTTATCCCTTTGCTTCTCCTATTATCCCAAAGAGACTTTATAGGTTACAGTTCTTCAGGTGATCATAAGTATTTCACTTGCAAGAGCCTGGTAATAATAATAATAATTATTATTTTATTTATTTATTTATTTATACCCCGTTTCCATCTCCCCAAGGGACTCAGAGCGGCTTACATGAGGCCAAGCCCAACAACACATCAATAAACAAGAAAGCAATAAACAAAAAAATAACAACAATACAGTTAAATAAATCACATATAAACATTAACATGCAAGGATTTAAAAACCTATGGCCGGGCCAGATGTAATAGTTAAAAATTAAAAAATAAACACTGGGCATGAACAAGGTAGGATATATCTAATAGGAGGGTTTTAAAGAAGTGAGGGGAGCGCAATCCAAGCGGATAGTTAAAGTACAATTGAGGACATTTTGCTGGGAATTATTTCCTTATTCTGGGAAGGCACACTGGAACAGCCACATTTTCAGGCTCCTCTTAAAGACTGCCAATGTTGGGGCATGCCTGATATCCCTGGGAAGTGAGTTCCAGAATCAGAGGGCCACCACAGAAAAGGCCGTTAGGAAGTTTTTATGAGTTGTTTCTTTCTGAAGTACCCTTCTGCACTTGTTTATTCCCTCTTTTTAAATATATATATATTAAATTTAAGCTTCAACCTAAGTGAAATTCTGGTTGTTTTAAGAGAGAAGATCTCACCCAGTCTGCTTAGTTACTTTGGTACAAACATTCTCTGTCTGGATTGAAAGAAAAACAGGAGGAAATTAGGCTGATTGCCCATGATAATATGATCACAAGCCTGCAGATGTCTCACTCATTGTCTGGGGAACTCTTTGCATTGGGTAAAAGAGAAAAATATGATGGTGATAGTCATTGAAGAGGGTGGAAACATTTTGCCAGGGAGATCATGACACCCCCCACCCCCACTTAAAAGACACAGGGCATTACTCTCCTCACTCTGTGGAAATTGAGATATTTCAGCTGACTTGACGGTCTCATAAGGAATCAATTCCTGGGAAATTCCCAAATAATGAGACCTGGAAAATCCCCAGAGAACATTTGCTCAAATTATGTAACTGCAGTATTTTATATCAAGCCACTAGGTGGTTCCAGTAACTTCCATAGAATTTTTGCACTTGAGACAGGTTTTAACAGTACCCCCCGTAACTCTAGCTATTTTCTCAGAGACCTTTTCCGAAGTGTCCCTATTTGCTTTTTAGGCATTTGCACACTTCACATACTTTGGGAGTAACTCTCGTCAGAAAATGCTGAAGAAGAGAAGGAAAAAATAAAAGCCAAGGAAGTCTTTAAGTCTGTTCAGCCACCTTGTATGATGATATCATTCCTCCAGCAGTGATCCCTCTCATCTCTCCGTTTTGAAGCTCTTTTTTGGACAAATACGGCCATGATTTAAAAAAAAAAATCATTGTGATTATGTTGATTTTGGATGAAATAACAAGGAAAGCTTGACAGGAAAAGATCATGTGTCATGGTGTGGGGGCTGTGTGTGATGTTCCCACTGAATGTTGACAGTTCAGTTTTGTGATTTTCGAGAGCAATTATAATCCTCGGAGGGGGCGGAAGCACATTGTTGGCATTACGAGCCTCAAATTTCGCAGCATGCAGTAGTCAGATTTGGGATTAGGTATATAGGCCTCCATGAAACCTATAGTATGCATGGGAAAGGTTTTGGCTGGAATATCATGCTCTGATAGAAAGAAGCAAAATATACTTTTTCTTTCCTCTTTAAATTTTTAAACAGTTGCAATACCATCATTAAAATTCACACAGGCAACAGCATGAAAAGTTAATTAGCTAAGTAGCACCAGTATATAGTCTTTAAAATCAACCCGAGAGAGTAAAAATAAATATTTGAAAGGCTGTCATAAGGAAGAGGGAGCAGGCTTGTTTTGAAACCCTTGCGTGTTATTGTTTATATTTTGAGTTATATTAATTGTACTATTTTATTTGCTTATTGCTTGTTGTTTTTATTGATGTGTTGTTGGACTTGGCCTCATTTTAGCCGCTCCGAGTCCCTTGGGGAGATGGTGGCAGGGTATAAATAAAGTTTTATTATTATTATTGTTATTATTGTTGTTGTTGTTGTTGTTATTATTTTCTGCTGCCCTGGAGACTAGGAAACTGAGAAATTACAGGAAAGGAGATTCCACCTGAACATTAGGAAGAACTTCCTGACCATCAGAGCTGTTCAACAGTGGAACTCTCTGCCTCAGAGTGTGGTGGAGGCTCCTCCTTTGGAGGCTTTTAAACAGAAGCTGGATGGCCATCTGTCGGGGGTACTTTGATTGAGTTTTCCTGCACGGCAGGGGCTTGGGGTAGATGGCCCACGTGGTCTCTTCCAACTAGTGATTCCATGAAGGAGTCCCAAGTCTCAGGATTGGGAAAGAGGTGGACTAATAAGATCAATAACTATTGTAGTTCCTGCTGTTGCTCCTTGCTAGTACAATCTTAATGGATATAGAATTTCAATGCCAAAGTAAGGTACCTCCCAGAAAATTTCCCATTCATTTTCCCAGAACTTGTCAATTTGCAGGAGTTGAGTTGAAGTCTTATCATGATTCTCATTATGATTCTTGTTGAGTCAAGTCCTACGCATTTTCTTGATGGGAGGAATGGACAACAGTGTGATTTGCTGCCTGGACAAATTACCCCAGCATTCCTGTATGGCTCCGTAGCTACATTGTGATTTGGATCTCACAACTCAGAGATTGTGAGGACCTCACAACCTTTGAGGATACCTGCCATAGATGTGGGTGAAATGTCAGGAGTGAATGCTTCTGGAACATGGCCATACAGCCCGGAAAACTCATAGCAACCCAGTAAATGTGTTGTAGGTTTTTCGGGCTATATGGCCATGTTCTAGAAGCATTCTCTCATGACATTTCGCCTGCATCTATGGCAGGCATCCTCAGAGCATCCTCACAACCTCTGAGGGTACCTGCCATAGATGTAGGCAAAACATCAGGAGAGAATGCTTCTAGAACATGGCCATATAGCCCGAAAAACCTACAACAACCCATTTACTGGGTTGCTATGACAATTTTTATGCTTATATTTTGTTTTGTTAATCTTATGGTTATGTTGTTTTTTACTTTGTATGTTTTGTGATGTTACCTGGGAACTGCTCTGAGTCCCCTTGGGGAGATGGAGTGGTATATACATAAATAATAATAATAAATAATAATAATAATAATAATAATAATAATAATTATTATTATTATTATTATTATTATAGAACATGGCCATATAGTCCGAAAAACCTACAACAACCCAGCCATGAAATCCTTTGACAATACAAACCCAGTAAATGCCTCTTTTAAAGGTGACTCTATAAGCACCTAAAGAGGCATGTTTTAAAGGCAACTGAAGAGTGTTACCTGTTATGCCAACAACTAACTCATTCTCCACCTGTACTTTTGCTTTTGGGATGGTGTTTTGTTAAGCTGTTATTAGGGGGAAAGGAAGAAAAGTTGTTAACTTGATAACTTGTTATAGATAAATAAATTGCTTACAATGCGTTACTTCTGAGCTCTGGATATCTGTTGATAAATGGTATAGTTATGGTTTCTTCTATGTAAATGTAAGATTAGTAATCTAGTTGCTGTGTCATTCTGGCAGGTATCTCCGGAAGCCTGAATTTTGATGAGGAGGACACTGAAGAAGAAGATGCTGAGAAGCAGTCAGGATCCCATTCACCTGAATTAGACTCTCAGAGATCAGATTCTGCAAACAGCCATAATTCTGCTAAAGTAAGCACAAACTCTTGGGACCAGTATGTCCATCCCAGACCATCTAGTGTTTTCATAGTATTAACTTTGTCACTTTGTCACATTCATTTTATAATCATTGTATGGAAACTGGCTGGTGTGCTTATCTGCCAATTCTAACAAAGGAGTATCCCTGGCAACTTCCTGCAGTTTTTCGACTTGAAGTGGCAGCATCATAATTGTTTTTACAATTTTTACATTTAACCTTGTTTTATTTACATTTTAAAATTGGTATGCAGTTTCCTCCTTAACTCTATGTTGTCAGAGGTTGTGGGAGGGACTACAGACCTTGTGACCACTGCGCCTATGACTTAACAGTTCACTAGATAACTGTCCCCTAACTGTAATTTACCAACAGCTCCTGCACTATAGCACTGCGCCCTGCCCTATAGACCTGGCATTCTAATGCCAAATGATACTACCCTTCCAGCTCTAACGTTTATCGGATGTTGCACTTCTCCTTTAGCCCTGTCCTGAAACTATTGCACAAACTCTTAGCCCTCCGAGCACAGTATTCATTACTGTTCAGGCTGGGGATTGTTTTATGATGTTGTGTTGTGTTATTGAGATGTATTTATTTTATTTATTTTATTTTTGTTTATTTTGATTTTATTTCTCATTTCATTTTATTGTATTGTGTTTTAACTTACGTTTTTCCGGTCTTGTCCCTAAGCTGCCCCGAGTCTCTTCAGGAAGATGGAGGCGGGGTATAAAAATAAAGTTATTGTTATTATTGTTATTGTTATTATTATTATTATTATTATTATTATTATTATTATTATTTCTATTTTCAGCAAGCTCAGAGTAGTTATTTTGCACCCAATCCCCCTTTTAGGGAATTGTGTGAGGTAAGTAAAGCTCAAAGGTAGTGACTGAGCTTTATGGCTAGATTGGAATCAAAACCAATGTTTTCTT